TGTTCAAGCTCCCCTTTCTCCTTAAGTAGCTCTCGAATGATAAGATGCTTCGCACTGCAACCCAAATCCTCACAAGTAGCGTCACGAGCCTCGTCACAAGCATTATCAAGCTTATTATCGCAGATGCTGCAAGTATAAGTGGGCGAGTGATGTTTATGGAGATAACTCGGTTCAAATAGCCGATCCATGACAGTTCCTGGGAAGCTGTATTTCGATCTCACCCTAGCCCGACTCTTCCTCCTTTTTGCTTTCCCCTGAAGCTGCTTTAGGAACTCGGCTGTCTGGGTTTGCAATAGCTCCAAGCCCCGATCTGTCTCAAAGGTCTTCAGCAGGCCTCTAATATTCTTGCTTGCTTTGCCCAAGTTGTCGTCTAAAGTATCTTTGCGAGTAAATTGGTCCGCGTATTTCATACCAAAGTCATATTGAATAACACACTTGCTAATCACAACATCGCCAAGTAGAATCTCCATCTCACTGCCGTTATAATAGGGAACACCTCCGCAAATACCGACGAGAAGCACCAATTCGAGTTGACTATAGCTCGATCGAAGATTAGCTGCTGCAGCAGCAGCATTGATCTTTCCCATCTGCGGCAAAAGAGCAATAACAACGTTGTGTTTGCCCATACGACCTGTGGTATAGGTGTTGTTATCGCCTATGGCCCGTCCATATTGCTCGCCATCCTCATCCCAAAATTCATCAACAACAAGACAGACAGCATCATACTCGATAGCAATCGCGCATATAATAGCGATACCAATGTCATCGCGATGAGATGGAGGGGTAGCAGCCATAACTTGATAGACAAAATAATAGCTATTACAGATGAACAAGCTGAATGTAGTTGGTAAGCTGTTTCATTACTAGTCAAAATAGCTTTTGTTGAGGGGTAACTATTCGTTATTAGGCAGCAATACATACAGATAAGACCAATTAGCTGTTACGTACCTCCGACAAAAATGTTTAATCTACTTCGCGGCTATTGGCTATACGCGAAGACGCGGAATCCTTAAAATTGAGCTTCGCCTTGCACATAATCCGCGAACCACTGCTGGGCTATATAGTGCGGGGTAGATCTTGGATCTGACACTGCCAGCCCCACCAAGATCTAAACATAACGCCTGGATGTAACGCAGCAAGAACCAAAGTATTTTCCCTTGTGTTACACAGTGATATTTATAACTACTTTGATTACCGTTTACGAAATACAGGACACGGACGCAACCAAGAAGTCAATACGAGTCTAAATATATCTTATATGGCAACGTCGCTCAGAAGCGTGCAAGCGCACACGGTGGTAGGAAGTCAACAAACCTCTGGGGGAAACATTATTAATTATTTCAGCGAAAGTAAATACTTTGCCTATATAGACATAGTCCTAGATAATGCTGATATTTTTTCTTTAGGGCAGCCGGAGCCTCGACTACCATCGATTGCGCCGAAGCCTATTGTTCCCCGGGTAATTCGTGTTAAATGCGAGACTTGCCCTAAACAGTTCAAATCTCAAGATGCAGCAAACGCGCATATGGCTACCACTAGACACCGGAAACCAAATATCCCTTGTCAGACATGTGCAAAGAAATTCCGCAGTCGAGAAGCGGCTGATCAACACATGGAGGCCCGAAATCATTTGAAAAAAGTTTCCAGCCGAAAATAACTGTTTAATGGTAAGATTTTCTAATATTAAAACTGGTTATAATTAAATTAAACGCTAATAAATGTATATTTAGCACTTTTGGTTAATAGCTCCCTATAGCATTAATCATATAATATAGTATCAGCATTATAACCTTTTCTCTTGTTGTAGACTCTGCCGCAGCGATAAAGCGGCGAGGGATCTGGCATCACGAGCGCTCTCTTTTTATAGGCACCACCTTGAGCAACAAAGTTTCTCAATCAATCGGTTCCAATAATCAGTGCCGATCATAACATCACACTGACCAGGGCATCCAGACTCTCTCCACACATTTCTCCTAGATATTGGATAACCCTTTACAATAATGCACCGCCCATTTAGTCGCGTGCCTGAAGTCTCTTCCATCTCAAGTTGATCTTGAAATTTACCTTTTCAAATGATGGTTGAAAGATCGAACTGTGCGGCATCATATTTCCTGAGCCCAAATCCTTGATGATCACTGGCACACAATACGCAATCTTGTCATTGTCTAGAGGCGAAGCTCTTACAGCAGGTCTAAGCCAAGCAAGCTGCTCTCCGAGCTCTGCTACAGAGACTGCAGACCCGTAAGCTTCCACCGTAAGTTTACCTGTGGATTCATCAATAGATGCGCTAAGTTTTGTCCCGTCCGGCATTGTCTCTACAGGTAGGTTAGACGCTAATAATAAACTGATGGTTCTCGAGATAATAGTACATACTCTTAAAGGCATCGCCTTGCTAAACACAAAGAGCACCTCTAACAAGCTCGGTGATTGCCTTTCCTGTTAGAGGCCAAGTTTGATGCATATAATTACCGCAAGTTGCTCCTTGAACATCTAAATCGGATCCAGTCATGGTGAAAGCCGCCTTAAGGCCCTCGCCTGGCCGATCTTCAGGATTCTGTGTTTCGGAAAAAGAACGAAGATCGCATTCAAGCTCAAAGACAACAGCGCAATTTTGGGGTTCGCCGTAATGGTGTGCAGGCAAGAGAGAAGACATAATTGTATCTTGAATTCCTTGAATGATATTTGGTTCTGTTGAGACTAGACGAAGTTCCGTCTGCAGTTGAGTGCGTAGCCATGCAGAGGCACGGGTGTTGAAGACGAATAACCAAGTCTTATCCGCATCCTTTTAATCTTGTTTGAAACGAGCACTCAAACATTCTGCCGAAATCTCGCTAGAAAAATCAGGTTATTAGACTGATGAACTCTTAGTCAGATAATACAACTTGCTATTAGGATTGGTATTAGATTTGCTGACTTGCACCAAATGATGTCAACACGACCATTAAATAACCTACTAGCTATGATCATCAATAAAAGTTATAATATCCTGATGAATTAGATATTCAGTATCATAACGAAGCCTAGACGCAAATCCCTTGATTAAATTTGGCAGAATTGCTGCGACCCTTGTTCGTGTGTCTTGGTCTGCAGTCAACCAGTCTCTGCGGATAGATTCGAACAAATGTTCTGCTAGCGCTTATATGTAGCCCTGGTCTTCCCAAAAGGCCAGGCGATATCCGGTCATATATTCGGTGTCTGTAAACTTGGTGCCCTGCACTAACTCCTCTACTGAGTTCATATCGTCCGGATCGTAATGCTTCCATGGTGTGTTAGTCCAGAGGTCCATTGCAGGTTCTGAGGGGTATCCCTCATCGGCGGATGGAAATGCTAGGGCAATTGGTAGCTGCTTTTGCACTTTTACCAGAAAGTAAGTTGGGGCTGCTGTGGGTGTGAAGATGTGTCAAAAGTCTGTCAGTCGCCGAAAATATTGACCATCTCTATTGCGCCCTCTTTATATTCCAAAACGGCCAACGTACATTGTTATTGTCAATTGCTGAACGAATAGAATTAAATTTCACACAAAGAGTTGAACATTTTTTGAGATAACAAAGCTTGTAACTTCTACTCGTTGTTGCATATCTTTGTGTGTCAAAGCCGTTATGTGTTACTTGTGTATAGAAAGTGTTATGCCTCGTATATGCATCGGGTTTCTACGGCAGAACTTTGAGACTGGTCTGAACTAGAGTGGCATAGAAGCTTGTCGTAGCTACGTATAACAATCTACCTTATAAATTATTAAATACCATTTATATCTATGAGCTTTTAGGCCTCAATATCCCTTATCTCTTCTTTCATGAAGTCAGAGCTGAAGATATGAGTTCACATATCGCCAATAAGACCATTTATGATGTGAGAAATAGGAGACATCTCATTATAGAGACTATGGGTCATTAAAGCCACGAGATAATTTTTAAGTTGTTCTTTCTTTATTGGAGTCGAAATAGTATACGGCAATACTCGCATAACTTCCTATATGATACAGATGCGAAAGAATGTAGAAGCTACTGTCATAGCCTCACCGCTCAAATCACAACCCCCAGTCTTCCTTCAATGAACCTATCCATTCCTTCACTGTTACAGTCTCACCTCCCACACGAACACCGTTGACTAATTCTCCGCGTACGTGGACGGTGCCCTCTCGTGCTGCCATGTTACCTCTTGGGCTGTACTTGGGGATCGCCAGCCATTCATGGCCAGGACTGCATATCATTTTCTTCAGTTTGTTATCCTTCAATAATGAGAGACAATCACCGCAGAACCCCAAGTCCCAGCAGTACTTGCACGGACTCAATGCGTGATCAAAGTCCCACACCGTGCCACATGTGCCGTCGCAATTTCTTTGCGATATCCTTACTGTCCAAAGGTATCATAGACGCGTCTCCAGAGGCACCATTCGTTAGGCCTTCGTTTGGCGCCAAGGCTGATTCTAGCACATTTAGTGCCTTCTGAATGTCTTCTTTTGCCTCTAAATTGTCTGATTCACCGGCTTCTTGACTAAATGTAGCTATCCGTGTCTGTAGTTCTTCCTGAACTGCTTTGATTCGCTCGAGCTGTGTGGCTCCAAGTGGACATTTTGCTTTAACAAACTCAGTAAGCTCATCTATAAGCGATTGCTGAGGTCCTCCTTCGAGCATGAATACTTTCGTCACAAGGTCCGTCTCTACAGGCTCAAGTAAGGACCACGCTGTTAATGCGTTTAGATCGTCTCCGCTGGCCCACAAACATTTTGACAAGGTATAGGCGGCCCAATAATCATTCTCATCGGTTTCGTCCGACAAGTTCTCGATCGAAATCCGCACGTACTACGCAGTGGGCTGCCGTAACCGTAATCATCTGCCTGGCTGAGTAGCGTTGAAGCGAGCCGAGAGAGGCCTGGCTCTTTAGAGTTAGGCTCGTTCATAGCAATTATAAAGGCATGGGTCTTTCCCTCAGGACCGGAGTCAATCCGGATGGTCAGGATGCCACTGAGGGCGTCTTGGTTATCTGGGCTGACTTCCAAAGCCTGCTCATAATGCGTCACAGCCCGTTCCGGCTGCTGTAGTGGGATATACCAACTGGCAAGGCGCAGATAAATGCTCGTCAATTCCTCGTTGTCCGGCGACTCGGCTGCCTTGACTAAACTGAGCGCCTTTTCCATGGAGGAGCACGCGGAGAGAAGCTCATCATTTTCGTAGTATGATTCAGCCAGGCCTTTGAAACAGCTGAGGCTTGGGTTTTCTAACTCGATAGCACTTGTGAATGGAGATCGCCAAGCTATATTCAGATTGTCCTTGAGCAGTCTCTCCTATTCTTTCGTACGAAAGAGAATCGCGGCTCGTCGGCGACAGTGCATCTTGGCACCACTTCTCGGCCCTCTCTAACTCTTTCGAAACAGTCATTTCGTTTTCTGATTCAACCTCTAGCGGGTCCTGTTGAAGTTAGCAAGACAGCTAGCTGTAACGCGTTTACAATCATACCAGCGTCAAAAACCGGCGCAGAGCACCGAAGCAATCTTTGGAACCCCATGTACGGTCTTGTAGCCAATGGGGCGCGATCTTCTTCATCAATGGAATGAGAAGTTCTCGATTTGGTCGCTGGCTTGCGCTTACACTTTTGAGCCAATATTTGTCAAGTCTACCAAGATGGCCGATTGCGCCTGGATCCTGCAGCCATTTTCGCAAAATCTCAACTTGGCTATCCTCGCCAAACCAAAGAATATATTTGAGAGATTCCCAGTGTCTTTCTATGACTTCTCCAGAGACTAAAAGAGAAAATAGCCCATCCCCAATTTCTTTTTTATCAGATGAAAGAATTTCATCGTAACCGTCTGCTTGGCTCAGCTTATCCAGTTGAGCTGGAAGCTTTCTTGCAAGATAATCTCCAATAGGTTTTGTCCTGACATCTGGGGCGGATGTGAGATAGTGTAAGGCGTGCTTGACTATAGCAGGATGAGCATCATACATGTTTACTTGGATTTGATTTCCCTTGCGATATGGCTTTTTTGGGTGGATATGGGATCGAATTCGAACTTGTCTACCATAGACTTCTGGAATAGGCTCCAGAGGAAGATTTGCACTGTTGTGATATCAGCGTTAGTTACAATGATATTGAGTGAAATCTTGGGCGCATCTTTGCCGACCCTTGGGCGTTTTCTGTCTTTAATGACAAGCGATTCGATGGTTGGTGATAAAGCTATATAATTGTAGTGCATGTAGAATATTTTGGAATAGTGCCGTGAAACTCATGGATTGACTGCGGGACGTCGAGCAACAGTGACAGGGCGTTAAAACAAACGCTTTCAGGTAGAAAAACCTTATAAGTGTTAGATAAATACAACAATGAAGAAGGGTTCCCTGTTTTGAGTTACCAGTTCAGCTCCTTAGGCTGCTACTCCGCCTAATACCTTTAAACATGACAAGATAGTTAGGCCAATCTCCTTGGCTTCTTTATGATTTCTTTTTAAATTTACTGTAGAAGAAGGATTATATTAATATATTATTATTTCTAAGATATTATTAATAATTTTTAATAGCTTAAAATTAAATAAATTTTATATATAAATTAATAATTATTCTTTAACTTTCTTTTATATACTTTAGACGTTTAATTTTATTATTATTATAGTAATTATTAATTAAATTATAATAATTAATATTATATTAAAAAAGTTTATATATAATTAAATTAATTTATTTATAAACTTTATAAAAAGATTTTTTTTTTAAAACAAAAAGTTAGCTATAATTATAAAATAAAGTTAAATTATATAATTAATTATAGGTTAATAGTCTATAACTGCTATATTTAGCTATATTTATTTAGCAGTAAACTAAAAACAAGCCCTATAACTTTAAGCCTCTTACCGATAGGATTATATTTTATCTTTATATTACATTTTGCGCCCCCACCTGACCATTCTCCTAAAGAACGCCTACATGCTCCATATGGAAGTTGTGATACTTGACAGTGACGATTTAATCCCGAACTCAAACTGATTGGCGTGGGGTTAAAGTGGAGCTAAACTTTAATCAACCAGGGTCCTGTCAAACGTGGCAGGTAGAGTGAGAACCCTGTCGTCATTACCCATAGCCTTTAATTGAAGCCCGCGATTACAGATTACCAACTCACTTGTCACTCCGTGCGCCCACCAGACTATAAGACCACTGTGACCGCCTAAGCCGTAGAAGCTTTCTCTTCACACAGCTCGATACCTATTTGTCTCCCAACTTGTCTGCACCCTCTTCAACAGCTCCCATTTTGGCACTATGGCTCAAGATAACCGCGCGCAAGTGATTGTTATTGGCGCAGGATTATCTGGTCTCACAGCCGCCTCGGAATTATATAGTCAAGGCATTGACGTCATTGTCCTTGAGGCATCATCCAATGTAGGCGGCAGAGTGAATTCAGCCAATACCAAACTAGGGTCACATTTGGATCTTGGTGGACAATGGATTGGGCACGGACACCACCGCATCGCTGCTCTGGTAGGCAAGGCGGGAGGCACGATATACCAGACATACTCACGAGGTCTACCGACGATTGTTCGTGAAGGTCGCACTGTGTCCATTTTCTCACCATCAGTGCTTCTTGCGGTAGTTTATCTCAGCTTCCTCGAGTTCGCGAGCAGGTTGTATGTTCCGCGACGATGGATTACAGTCACATTGGACAAAGCCCTTACAACATTGGTTCCGTTGGATATGGCTCGAGAACTTCTTTACCTTCTCATTCAAATCTCTTCTACCTCGGAACTAAGCCTTTATTCGGTCTACAGCTTCGCGAGATCGATTCGTGTATCTGGGGGCTTGCTGGCTATGCTCGGGACCCATGGCGGAGCTCAAGACAGCTTGGTTGTGGAATCTATGAGCATCGCCACCTCCATGTTGGCCAGCGAGCTCTCTCACAGGGTTATGACAAATATGCTGGTCACAAGCGTGTCTCAAAATGGTACCGATGGAGTGACGGTGCGTACGGAGTCAGGCCGAGAGTTCCACAGCAGGAAAGTCATTGTCACGGTTCCCCCGCCAATGTTAAAGAGCATCACATTCGACCCGCCGATGCCCGCCTACCGTAAAGCGCTTCAAGAGAATACCCGCATGGGCGTCGTCTATAAGGCCATCGCTGTTTATGAAGAGCCTTTCTGGCGTGAGGGATTGGGTGGAGAATTTCTAGTGCTTGACGATCCCGGATTTGGCGTTTTTGACTCTTCATCACCTGATGGCCCTGGGCATTTGTGCTTCCTCGTAGCCGGTACCCCCGCACGCCAGCTCGACACGCTTGATTCGAATTCACGACGCGATTTGCTATTGTCGCGGCTTTTGCCACATCTCGGGAATCGAGTAATGCAGCCTGTGGACTGGCACGAAAAAGCGTGGCATTCGGACGAGTATTGCGGTGGCGGCTATTTAGCATACCCCATTGCTGGTACCAGTGAGGGTCTTTTACCAATGCCTCATGAACCAATCAACAATCTGCACTGGGCGGGAACTGAGACGGCGCAGGAACATCCTGGATATCTTGAAGGAGCTGTGCAGTCTGGCGAGCGTGCCGCTTGTGAGGTTGCACATGCGTTGCGCGGAGCGCAAACCATCGAACAGAACTAAAAGCAGGTGGAAGTGTCACGCTTTTCTACCATCTTTGGCCCCTAGTATACAATCATGGTCCGATTGGTAGCTATTGCTCACCAAGCATTGATATATTGAATCTAGACAACAAGAACCATCTTGGGAACCTACTCAGTTTGCACGGTGTAACAGGGACACTTTGAACGGTATTTTTGGATCATATTGGGAGAGCGTCCATTTCTAGCCACAAATAGATTTGGCCCTACCACCAAAGGTGTATGCCTTGGCGTCGATCGAGACCAATGACGGGCGCCGAATTTAGTTGATCATCGTGAACCTGGGTAGTAACTCATGTAAGTAATTCAAATGACAGATGAGTTGGGAGGGTCATTAAACTTTGAGTTAACATTAAATACGTAGTGATCCTTAATGAACAGGCTTGTGTTGTGAAGGGGCTAGAAAGTTATATATATTGTGGATGCACCTCTGCCTCATTGATGAAACAAACCTGTAGACCGCCGTTATTGGTCCATTGGTAGCCGTCAGCAGTACAATTCATTATGAGGCGCGTGATTGGACGTGGGAGAGGTAGAGTTGAGCGTTAGATTAGTAATTTATTGAGCTGAAATGATAAAGGCAGATGATTCTTTCCAGTTCGCATCTATTGCAGAACAATTGACAGTACTAAGTAGCCGGATATATTCATAGCCCCTCACTTTACCTTCTCTTCCAGTCGAGCATCACTTGCAATAGTTTGATATCACAGAGGCATGTTCTATCGACGAATCGGAAGATGATGGTTTGGTTCGGGCCTAGGGCGACAGCGAGGCCCCGAGGTAATCAAAGTCGATAGCTTCAATGTGTACATGTATGGAGCAGGTCTGGCTGTATAAAGATGATGTGGAGTGGCCCATCTCACTCTACCTGCTGTATTAGACTTAGTTCCAACACCACCCACATTAACCTTTGAGGCTTTGCAGGCGCCACACCTACGCCACGTTGAATCGGGCAAGGGATCTGCGGGGGAGCAAGGGGGGCCTGCTTATCTGGATTTGTTGCATGATCAAGATAATGACCCCCTTTGACCTCATGCCATTTCAGAAAGCAATCCTCTATCTATTCCCGTCATACTGAACTGCACTTTGAGCTGACATTACCCAACTCGTATTCATAATGGGCACCCGTAAAGGCTGCTATCAGTGCAACAAGCGCCGGATTGTCTGCGACATGGGTGAGCCACGGTGCTTGAAATGTACTAACAAGGGACTCGAGTGCTCCGGAAACGGCCTACGTTACCGCTTCAATGATGGCATCGCATCGCGGGGAAAGCTTAGGGGTCTTTCCAACCCGATAGATCAAGCCTGTCCGCCGTCCACTACAAACCGATCGTCTCCAAGAAAACAATCTCGAAAAGATACGATAATCGCTCCAAAGTCCTGCCGCGCCTCAAAGGGCGTGATTCACCGCTCTATCTCAGATAACAAATATGAAGTAGGCGTACTTCCATGCTTAGAGTCAATAGACAGCAACACTCGATTATTGTTAGACTATTGTAAGCTTCTCATCCTGTCCGTGTTTGGGCTCGGCGTGGTGAGGCTGATATTGTACGTAGTTTCCATAAATATGGCACCGGGCATGGTGGTGCTGGATAGCAAGAATAACGGTTACCGTAATCTTATTCTTCCTTTTGCGGTACAAGATAAGCTGGTTAGGCAAGCAGTAATGAGCATTGCTGGCCTCCAGTTCGCTCGCACCTGCCCTGAAATGCATCCCGCGGCGGAGCTTAGTCGCGCCCAAGTCATCAAACAGTTGATGCAATCTTCAATATCTTCAGCTCCAGAGCAAGTATTCAACATCTCATCTTGGATGACTGTACTTGTACTCCTTATTGGAGAACTAGCTCTCGGCGGGGATCATTACTCGTATCTCCTGCGAATGATGCGTTCTATTAAAGACCATGGAGTAGTTGATCCCAACCCGGAACTGGTGCGCTTCTTGACCCTAGAAACAAATATGTGAGTTCATCAAGCCATATCAACGGTTTATCTCATCGAATGGTCTGACAGAAAACCTTTCAAGGATTTCATACCTTGCCCGGCCTTTTGTTGACGATTCAAGCGATGTGGAAAACATGGAGTCTGAGAGGAGCTTACGAAGCTTGCTTATGGAATCCCAAGGTCCTAAATACAACAACGCCGATCGGGAGATACTCAACATCGTCACAGAAGCAGCCCAAGTCTGTTACGAAATATGCAAAGACTGTAACTTACCACAGCGACGAGAGAGGAATTCAAACCTGCAGCATCTAAAAAGACTTGTATCCCGAGTCCTCCCGTGTACTGCTGGTGGCAATTCAATGGTATGGGTATATTTCATTGGAGCAGCGGATAGCGAAAGCTTTGAGGATCAGAGCTTTTTCATTGGCTGTCTCATTGACATCTACAACTATACAGGGTGGGAAAATATAGCGAGGGGAATTTCCATGCTGGAACAAATCTGGCAGCGCCCACCCGGACGCTCATGGCGCTATATTTTACCTCAGTTGTCCACAGCTTTCGTCATGTAGACAATTTAGAAATGAGATCACTCTTCCACAAGCCTGGGTCCATGGTATAGTCCTTTCCCGTGAATGAACCAATTGATCGCGGTAAATATTGCCATCGTACCTAGCACGGCGGAAGTATAGTCTGAATGGGATTTAGCTCGTGCAGATGAGGCCTAAAGTAATACACTTACTCATATTTGAGCCCGTGACCGGGAGAATGACTGGAAAATTATAAAAAACGAGCACAGTAATAGCGAATATGACTGTTAAGATATTCGCTATCCAGCCCAACGGACCGTAGAGTTTAAATAATCGCTTTCTTGGTAGGACATTAACCGCTCTTCGCCGATATAAGAGTAAAGCAGCTGGAAAAGCATACGACAATTGCTGAAGGATAAGTCCCGTGCCGATGAATGCATTGAAAGCCGTTGAGGAGCCGAGATATATGCACCCAATAATGAAGACGACAGCATTATTCACAAGTAGTCCCCAGATCGGGACGCCCAGCTCCGGATGAATGCGGCACACAAATTTGGAGCCGATGAGAGCATTGTCTCTAGCAAAGGACCAAGTTAGTCTTGATGCTGTTTGCTGGATGGCACTCAGAGCAACGAAAGCAGCCACGAGCAAGATCGCCATGAATACGGTAGCCGCAGTCCCTGATCTAGTGGCCTGGTGCCAAATCTCATAGATGGGGAAGCTATAAAGTTAGTTTATGAGAAGACTGCGAGGTAAAGGAGGAATACTTACCCCGTTGGAGTATTGATAACGGCATCGAAATCGACAATACAGTATATCATGGACACTGTAAAAACAAAACTGGTGACGAAACCAATCGAAATAGTGCTCAAAATCGCTTTGGGCACAACACTCTGGGGATTCTGGCACTCTTCGCAAAGATGAATGGCTCCATCCAAACCAGCATACATGTAATTGGGGGATATGAGCCCAGTCAAAAAGCTGATGCCATCCGGCCAACCACTGTCATTAATAAAATTGGTCCAAACTAGCTGACTTGGTTGTTTTGGCGAAGCACGGGCCAGACAGGTAACAAAAATGATGAAAAACCCTGACAATGTGAGGACAACTTGAGATGACTGTTAGGACTCCATCCAGAAGCACGCCAGAGTTGGACACCACTCACAGGACGCATCATTGATCCACAGCGTTCGTTTGAAGGTAAATATATTATGAATGCAGGCCAAAATGTTCACGCCTTGGAAGACGAGAAAGTAATGCCAATCCTCAGGTACGTAATCTGGTTGGTGGAAGATGACCATGGCTAGAATAGCTTGGGTTGTGAGAATCGCGACGCCAGATGTGCCCGCGATCCACGCAAAAATATTGGCAAATCCACAAGCGTAACTCTACAATGGGTTAGGGAGTAATAAAACCCTTCTGATATGCTTTGAGAGCGTACCAAGATGCGTGAACATTTATCTGGGCTCAGGATAGATGTCCAATGGTATCTTCCTTCGGTTAGCGACATCCCAAAAAGGAAGTAAGCTGGAGACATACTGGCCACCCGCTGTTGGATATATAGAAACTAGCTCAGCCATTGTTAAGCCGCTGCAGCCAACCATGACGAAGCAAACGATAGCTCCATATATGGGAGTTACCGAGCCGCCCAATGCAATAGTCAAGGCCAGAGTTCCAGCGACTCCGGCCCAACTATTACAGATGTTCCAGCCAATGCAGATAGTTTCCAGTGGTCCAATATCTCGGGACACCTGTTGTTTCAATCCAAGGGTTGCAAGAGCTTCCTTTTCTTCGAGAATCTCAGCATCTTGAGTTTCCACTAGCAATGCTGTTAGGATGTGTAACTAGAGATTGACAAATGTTGGTACCACAAACCATGGACTGCCTCTCGCTCCATCGACGAGCGGAATAATACGTTGTCAGCAGGAGATTTCATGATGTTCGTACTGTCCATAACTGCGAAATTGATGAAGAAATAGATTTCCAACATCAAGAATTATTTGACATTTTATATCTGACACACTTACAGCTTCTCATGGGAGACGAAGGAGTTGCTGTCATTATCTTTCAATGTATTCCCAAAACGGAAGCTAGAGTGAGTTGAACTCAAACGTGGGGAAACATGACGCCCCCAGATTTCAAGCCACGCTAGCACCATGCATCAGGAGGGGATGCGTGGAGACCGACACCAGAAAGGGGGCATCCGATCGACATGGCGAAAAAATAAAAAATCGGTATCATTTACACAGCTACGCCCCGCTGCTGCATTATCTCCAGAGCCGAGAATATGGGCGATACAAATCCGTTATCCTTCTGTTATCCTTCTCACTCTACTTTCCCGAAAGAGTAATCCAAGTCACTATATAAGATAACGTAAAAGAACCCCTGATGACTGATTCCATATCCTCTTAAAGCAATACATTCTATTCCTCCTTCAATTGTCGCGAAGCACTAGACCATTACAGATTTATTACTACATTGACCCAAGTCATGACTTTCACTCGTGAGGGTTTCCAGTGGACCCCTACAACTGGTCTTCAACAGGGTTTACCTTGTGAAGCTGTCATTCAGCCACCAGAGATAATCGAAAAGCCTCGTCAAGTCTTTGATGTGTTAATCATTGGGGCGGGATATACAGGTCTTACCGCTGCAAGAGATCTCACTACTGCGGGTGCGTCGTCTGTTCGCTCAATTTCTCCCCTTAAGACTAACCCGGGGCAGGCTTTAAAACTCTGATGCTGGAAAGCCGAGATCGGGTTGGTGGCAGAACATGGACATCACACGTTGATGGTTACCCATTTGAGATGGGTGGAACATGGGTTCATTGGTTTCAACCACATGTATATCGTGAGTTGTCACGTTATGGCATGAAATCAGAACTGGTGCACTGCCCGGATTATTCTAAGAAAAAGAACCACTTTACATTCGTCACGAAGCATGGCCGTAGAGACATGAGCCACGAGGAAGAGGTAAGTGGAGTTACGTCATGTGAAACAAGTTACACGCTAATATGATCTAGCAAGAGCTCACGGCTAGAGCACTCGGCAAGTTTGTGGATATAGATGGAAATCGTGGGAAGACTGTGATGCCATTCCCATTCAACTCAGGCTGGAACAAGGTCATTCTCAAGTTCGCACACATGTCCGTGGCTGACCGTGTGGAGCAAATCAAACATCAGCTCTCAGAAGAGGAGCGCCATGCAATCGAAGCCGTCGTTTTGGTATGCAGCGGCGGCACGCGAGAGAATTCTGCATTTTTGGACTTCCTCCGCTGGTGGGCAGCCAGCAATCATGACTATGAAACTTTCATGGACTCAGTCATGGTATTCAAACTCAAATGCGGGCAATCAGCGTTTGCGTTGAAATTCTTGCATGAATCTTTGCAAACAGGGAACCTGTCGTATTCCTTCAATACTGTTGTGTCTCATGTAGACTCATCAGGTGACAGTGCAGAGGTGCGCACCAACGATGGGCGACAGTTTTTCGCCAAACGGATCATAAGCACAATTCCGCTAAATGTACTAACTAAAGTTCATTTTAACCCACCGCTTGATCCTTCGAAGGTGGAAGCTTCCACACTCAAACATGTCAACCAATGTGTGAAAGTGCACGCTGAGGTTAAGGACCCTGAAATGCGGTCTTGGAGTGGCATCACGTATCCTAACAATAAGCTTTTGCTTGGTGCAGGTGATGGCACTACTCCCTCAGGGAACACGCATATTGTGTTCTTCGGCTGTGAGCAGAATCACTTGCAGCCTGACGAAAATGTCGAAGAAACTCTGCAAGCTATCAAGGAGTTTACTCCTATGGATGTAGAGAGATTAGTACGTCCATGCTTCAAACCAAAGTGAAACGGGACAAACATTAATATTGATAATTTTAGGTGTTCCATAATTGGTCCAAAGATGAGTTTGCTGAAGGAGCATGGTAAGTTCACAAATTGAACCTGGCTTTGTCGTGGAAACGTCTGACAATTTCTAGGGTTTGGTATCGCCCGGGTATGGAGGTCAAGTATCTTGACGCATTGAGAAGGCGACAAGGGGGGGTATTGTTTGCAAACTCTGACTGGGCGGAAGGAGGATGGCGTAGTTTTATCGACGGAGCTATTCAGTCAGGTACAGAAGCAGCTCTGATTATCAAAGATGAGCTGCAGCCAAAGAAGCTAAACAGTAGGATCTGATATGTTTACCCAACATATCATTTTATAGTTTTTCCTTTCATAGAACTCCATCTGTGCTATTATGCTTCTAGTATGTGAGAAAATGGTTATATATCTATACGGATATCACCGTGCATGAGTGATCATTGGGTCTACTCCGAAATGCGATTTAGCTTAGATTCGAGTCTGATGAAAAACCTGTTGGGGCAGTGTAGAAATGTTGAAAATCGAAATTCTGATCATAATAAAAGTAAAAGAAGTTGATTTATCTACTACCAATCCTTCAAATACATAATTCTATGCTTTGGAAGGAAACTAATAGCCGTCCAACTTGCCTTCTATTACTGCTCCCACAACACAAATTAAAGTCCTAACTTAGCACCTTTGGGAGGCGATAGCAAGATTAACTAACTCATAAAAGGCCATATACTATACCAAGGTGGACAAATTATAGGAATTGTTATTAGATATCTATGTCTTAGACTTTAGTTGCAAGTCTAATCAATAAAGGCTATAAAATACCTACCCCTGGCCTGAGTGCTGGCAGGGGAGAGTAGCCATTTTCCGTACTACGGGCTAAAATAAAAAGTAGAGTCTGAAAAACAAAACAGATTTACATTTCTTTACATGTATTATTCATTACTACATATTCGAGACATTAACACTACCACAACATCAAGTCAGGCTAAGCCATTATTACTCTAGGCTTCCTCGCAAAAGGTCACGAAACAAGCTGGGATATGGGAGATATCTCGAGTTTCATATGGACTATTATCTGGTTAGTAAAACAGATACTGCTCTCAAGTTATGTTACTTGAGAAAATAGCATGGTCTAAGTGTTGTATACAAGATAAGATTCGTCAACGGGCGAAGGATGCTAAACCATTATCTTGCCTAGTCCGTGCGGTCGTAAGACCAGTCAGACCCGGACACCACGCGGCTCCCGTCGGGCGAGAAGGCCACTGAGCTCACGGGTCGTCGTGCCCCTCGAGCGTCGCCGCGCAGGCATCCCAATCCAGATTAACCATTGGCAGCGGGAATAACCAGGCTGGTAGCTCACCATCAAACGTCTTTCGGATAATACCGTTCTTAGGTGCAAATACGAGAGCTGAAACGTAAACTTGTAGGGGCCATTTGTCAACAGCAGCGCGGTGGCTAAGGATAACTCGCCGCGCATCTCGTAGGAAAACCGATACCTCGTGGCTGTTCTCCTGCACATAATCAGTAAACTCTTATCATCGCAATCCATTGAATGGCTGCGGGAACCTACCGTAAGTAAGTTTGTGAGACCATCTACCATGCTCACACTTTCCGATAAACAGAACTTTACTTTCCTTCCAATAGTGTACCCAATATTGACAAGCATATTGGACTTCAGGTGGGAGAGACGTCTCTATCGTTTGCTGTGGAATGGCTGTCCGCGGAGCTCCTGGAGCCCGCATGTTACATAGATCCCTTCGGAGGTTCACCTTCATGATACGGATGCAATTTTGCGCTATCGCACTATGGGATTGCATCTCATCTATACATAAAGGGGTCGAAGAGCGATTTGCGGGATCGACTAGGAAATCTCGAAAGGATAAGTGTAACATACGCACGGGAATGTTTTGAGATGAAGGTGCGTCTAATACAGCATGCAGCCAATCGAGCCTAGCCATGATACTCTTTTGAGGAACATCGAGGATGGCACTTAGAGCTACAACCGAGAGAGGTCTAGAAAGAAGAACAATAGTGCCGATAACATATCGGAACTTCTCAATCACTTCCCCCTCGTCATCTGATGAGAGGTCATCGATCTGCTGCGCTAGGACTGGCAAGTACGTCTTGTCTAATGCACTTGTATTAGCTTTGTTTCTGTATTTTAGCACTTTCTGTAGCCGCGCATTAGGATCATCTATCTTAGGTTCCGCGACAAAGCGACACGCAGTGTCTGCAGAAATGAAAAGTGGAAAGGCCCTGATAGTGGACTTCCCTGTCCCCGCCATGCCATTCAGCCACCACATTCCTTTTGCAACTGGATCGTCAACCCACCTCATAATCTGGCGGATGAGTTGCACGCGGGTATTCTCAAGACATGTTAGGAGACGCGCCTCTGCTTGGGAGTTGTAAAAGGCACCTGCAGCTACTGGAATGCCTTTTGGTCGATCTGATCGGTGTCTCTTTGAATGTGCTTGCGCCGGTTCTCTTCGCGATCGCAGCCACGTTCTCCGGCACTATTTGGCAATGGGGATCCGGAGCTTCTATCGCAATGTGGGTGCTTTGTGGATGTACCACTATCATTTGGATCCTACAACAAACATTTTCTATTCTCACCACACCGAAGCAGAGGGCATTCCAGTAGGCTGGACTTTGTGCCAATCTGGTTGGCTTCAAGTTGCTCGGTCGTTGCTTATGCTGTATACTGTATTACACTCCGCTCTTTTTTGCTTTCGCTCGAGGCTACGATGCTATGGCGCAGACCGAAAGACCTCTACCATTTGTGATTTCCGTCTGAATCTACCGTAGAAGAAGGATCGTATCGATGTTCTATCATTTCTCGAATGTCGTTAATGGTTTTTCGGCGGCTTAAGATTAAAAGAATTTTATATATAATCTAAAAAATAATCCCCTGGCCTTTTTTTATATACTTTAAATACTTAAGTCTACTATTGCTACAGCAGTTATTAATTAAATTATAGCAAGTAATTTTATATTAAAAAATTAATTATATATAATTAACTTTATTTATGATTTTTAAAAAAATAATTTTATAAAAAAAAAGTTAATTATAAATATAAAATAAAGTTAAATTATAGAATTAATTATTAATTCGCAGTCTATAACTGCTATATTTAGCTGTATTTATTTAGCAGTAAACTAAAAACAAGCCTTGCAACCTTAAGCTTTTACTTATGGGATTATATTTTATCTTTATATTGCATTTTGCGCCCTTACCATCCTCCCAAAGAACACCTAGCAGGAAGGCAAGGTGTGATTCGCTGTCCATGTGCTCAGTTGACCCTTCTTGCATGTGACAGAGGCTCAGTGAGGCTAAGCTTCGCCTCATAACCCCTGAACGTTAGGCTTTCTTTACCATTCAAGTACATAAGTTAGGTGGGGCCGGTGATGACTGCTCAAATGAGAGCATTGCCTTTGTGATTTGATTTGTCTTCTGTCAAACTCGGCAACAATTTAAAAGAAAATGTCGCATTATTAGTTTAGTAGGGCCGCAGCATACTAGAGAAATACGCGAAAAATGGCGCCAGCGCTTACGGTTCCAATTTTCCATAACTGAGGCTCAGAACCATCATTCCGCTTGACCAGTATATCCGGATATGCTTCATCGTTTACCACATTATCTTAGCTGCTTTTTCACCTGATAATGTGCCATTAACAAGCTCATTGCAAATTATTCCATCAACGTGCTAAGGTTCGATTTTTTTTTTTAAGAGCTGCCGATTCTTGTATCTAATGTCATCGGAAGAACAGAATCTCGCGCCAAATGTCGCTGCTGCTAAAGACTCCTGTTTGACGAAGAAACATATGATACCCAGCGAAAGAGAAGAAAAAAAATATGGGCAACCCTTGGGCATCTTGTAGGAGTGGCTCCTACGACATATAAGTTTCTTTAGTGAGAATACGGCGATCATCAATATTTTTCGAATAAAGTAAGCATAAAGGGAAGCATCATTGGTATGAATTTCGACTCAGAACCGCGCAGCTATCTAACCTCTATCATTCATTGTACCGGAATCAATATACAATGACAAGCCCTCAATGCGCTCATCCAGCCAAGCATTTTCCAATATTGCTAAATGACAAATCATATGTCTGAAACTACGGTTTTCGAAGCCTTGCATGTCGCTATGATAAACACTTTACTTTCTCGTACACTTTCAATATGGATACATTGAGCTTTAAGAAAGAGGACTTATCCCGCCACGCAACTGTCAGACATTTAGCATTCTCTTAACCCGTCAACATAACTCATAAGGCATCGTCATCTACTTGTAATACTAATTGACAGTTGCCTTAATTCATTATATTATGTATTATTTTGATTCCCTATATCTAGTTTCTTTATATTGGATGTAACCCAGTTCGTCCCCCCTTTCCACTCTTAGTCTATGCATCTTATCTTCCGAATCGTATTGCATTAAATTAAGCGCAGCGTAGGATTGATCTTGCCCCTCTGGTTCCGCAGGAACAATTTTAATCTCCCCAAGTTCAACATCTTGGCATGGTCATAGCGAGCATTTCGTATCATATCTTCTCAATAAGAAAAGAGCCCGTCACCTTCATATCGGATTCATGATCCCATTTAAACAATCTGTCCAGCCTGCCTTTGACTTATAGCTTTCCAGTGTCTGCTTCAGCCAGTATGGGCTCTAGTTTCTGCTGAGATTGCTTGCTCATGTCGGCATATTGGCTCGAGTGATACCTAGAGTCTACTCCATCAGACACTAGCGGCAATACAGCCTCCATCTTGCCCTCATGCGGTTGGTGGGCGACAAGGCTCTTGCAACTTTCGCAGTGGTGATCTGTGTCAGCGCACCAATTGCACACGAACGGTACAAACACAGGGATGACGCCACAGAAGAGAAAACAGCCAGCAGCTGCAAGTCTACGAGATAGCTATATTAGCAAACGGTGGCTAAAGTTTTGTGTGCTTTGATTCGTGAATAGTGCAACATACTTTGTCTGGCTGGTAGACTGATGGCGAACTTCAGTTTTCTGGCGTGTTTTGCAGTATGGGCAATCGATATAATCAGGAGCTTCCCCAAGGTACTCTGGTTTGATAACATAGTTCTCTGGCTTCATGCATGGCTCTACACCCGGTTGCTTGGTCACGAGCTCTGTGCTTTGTGATTGGACAGGTTCAAGGATAACATTTGCTGTGTTTAGAGTCACCTGAAGGGTCTCATCCTCCTCTGATGTAATAGCATTCAACTTCTTATCTGTCTCTACTGCGTCGGTAGCAGGGAAAAAGACGATTTTATAAGTGTCATCGTGACCAGGAGAGTTGAGAGTGGATCCTTGCGTGTCCATAATGCCTTTAAAGGTGATAGGGAAGAGAGCTTCGACCAATCCGAGCACTTTCGTAAACTTATACACTGAAAGAAGAAGAATCACTGCAAATGGTGCGAGCCTCAATCCTTCTTTTTATTCCTATGCGACCGGCGGGCACGTTTGCGCTTATTCAAACTAGAAATCGGGGTAAGGCAGAAGAGGCATAGACAACGCACTGAAACAGCCCAACCAAGCACCTCGCCACACTTCCGAAGGATTCATTAGGATCGTTGTGTGCCATGCAAAGCTACAAAGAAGATGCCGGGGGATCAGAAAGGCGCGAGGGTCGCGAAGCAATCGGCGCATTGCGCCGTCATTTGCGAGTTTCGCTTGGAAATCCCCTGCAACCCCCTGAATGGATGATCTTATGAATATGTATTTGATAGAAATGCTACGTTGAGTAAGCTGAGTTTTAAATATAGCGTATTCAAAATGCTTTATTTTATGATGAAAAAGAACTATAAGAGCCTCATTTTTCTAGACATTTTCTATATGTATCCGCTGTAAAGCAGTGACCTACGTCGCCTCACTGCTTGATTAATCTCGGCTATTTGCACAAGCAGGGATAACACGCTTACAGTGGATTCCGTATTGGCTGTAACCTAGCAACATTCGATGCCATCCTGTTGGTAGCATATTGGCACAGCAAGCGCTGCACACTAGGGCTGATAGTTTGATCTAGTCCTGTCGCGATAGCCATCGGATTTCTACGCCGTCGTTCTTCGGCACTGAAAGACCTACGAGATATGAATTTACTGAATGTCAAAACTCTACAAGTCGAAAAGTGCCGAGATGGTATATCCTCTGCCATATTATCCCATTGATGAACTGATGGGCAGGAGTTTCTCTACGCGCATATCACAAGCGATATGACGGAAACTCAGAGAAATGGCCACCCAGGCTACGCCAAAGTTGTCAGTGCATGCAAACAGGCACGACTTGACGGCCATGGATACATTTGGATTGATGCTTATTGTTCCGACAAAAAAGGTAGCGCTGAGTTGAATGAAGCCATTAACTCAATGTTCAAGTAAAGGAATATGTTCACGATAGGCAGAATTGTTCATGCTGATAAAACTTTAGCTATTGTAAGCAAGCTCAAGTCTGCTAAACCCCACCTCTACTACCGATTGAGTCACCCATTATTACTCATTTCCTCCATTTTCGCGACTAACTTTGTAATGATATTGTTCTGGCATCCATATCTGCTAAGACTGCCGTAGTAGCTGATTACCTGCTGAACAAAGTGCGCAGATATATATTTTTATTATTTTATATCAGAGTCACTTACTCTGTTCATCTACCTCGTCGCCAACTTGCCAGCTTCCGTATCATCTATGTGATTTGGCATTTGATAATTTCTATACCCAAGCACTATCTACGTATCTATCATAATATATGCGCCTTGAACAAAATGGCATTGAGGGAGGAAGATGAGCGTGCCTTCACTCAGCGGGTTCTTGACGAACTGGCACATACACCATATAGTTGCTCGGGTTTGACAAAACTAAGTGGCGGAACAGCCAATTTCCTCTACCGCGGCACCCTTCTCAAACCACTTGAAGGAGATGCTAACATAAAGGTCGCTCAAACTGTCGTGGTCAAGCGTTCCACTGATTATGTTGCTACCAATCGCGATTTCCCACTCGAAATCACGCGCTGCATCTTTGAAGAATCCATGCTCCTTGCTCTAGATGGAATTGGCTACGCCATCGCCACTTCTAGCGGTCCATCAGTGGTTACGGCACCGCGACTCTATATGTTTGATCCAGACACCTACACTCAAGTTCATGAGGATTTTCTTGGTGCTACCGATCTCACCACCATCTTGCAGTCCACCAATGTCGATCAAATCTTGCCTAAATCTAATCGCCAATCTATCGGCTATGCTCTAGGTTCTTGGCTGCGCTTCTTTCACAACTGGACCTCAGAGCCGGCCCAGACTGCGCTTCGGGAAAGAGTAGGACCTAACAATGGTATGCGCCAGTTAAAGTGTCTTATCACCTACGACAGCTTCATCGAGATACTAGAGCGTCACCCTGAGACTATAGAAGGCTATAAAGAGACATTAGAAGCGGTCAAGAGTACCATGAAATATGAGTTTGAGCGACCGCCAACGGAAGGAGATGAGATTCGCGGGCTTATTCATGGAGATTTCTGGGCTGGAAAGTAAGTTGAAGCGTTTCCCAAACAAACAGCCTTTATAACGAAGAATTCTTCGTTGGTCAAAGGTAGATGTCTAATTATGAGCTCTGACAAAAAACATAGTGTTCTGCTTCCAGATAGCTCATGGAATGATGCGCAACAGTCTACCCAAGAGCCTCATAAACTCATCGTTATCGACTGGGAGAACGCCCAGTTTGGTCATCGCGCCGTGGATATTGGTGGCATACTGGCCGATCTTTATGAGCGCAAACACTTTAAAAATATCGATGCTAGTATTCCTATTATGCAAGGATTCATGCGGGGCTATGGCCCGATGAGTGAAGAACTGGCATTCAACATTGCTATTCATGCTGGTGTGCATCTCATTTGTTGGTATTACCGACGAAATAGGAACGACCCATTGCCGTTCCCTTTACCAAAGGTTTTAGATGCCCTGACCCTGGGAAGAGATTTTATTCTCAAAGGGTGGGCTAAAGACAAAAAATGGTTTGAGGGCTCTGTCCTGGCGCCTTTGTTTTCGGATAATTAGCAGCCTACAAAAAACTGCATTGTCTTATATGTCATTAAAGTTATGATATACCAAGACTGGACGCGATGAAGGCAAATATTTAATTACCGAAGCAGGTTTCGGGAACTTAGTTACCGGATGGAAAAGGGTACATTAATTATTCCTATATGTCTGTATATCACATGTTTCCAACTTTTCTGCGACTGGTTTCGCTCAACATGAAATCTTACTTGAAGATATAAAGTGCTATCCGCTACTAGTTATCCTATCCCTGTGCTTGAGCCCAAACAATGCAGCCCACGGTCTTTCACACCAATAGATATGACTAGATGTTGCCCTTATAATATTTCTTTGGGAGCCCATAGATTCAGTTTCAGCTGAGCCAATAAGCCTAGCAACCCTGAATAACATCTCCGCAGCATTCGTCTCAAGCATTGATACAGATGGCTTCAGACGGAAGCAGATAGTTCAACAATCCTCCAGTCATAGGCTCTCCAATATTACCTACCTCACAGAGGTTGACACCTTCTCCACTGCATTGTGCACCGTATATTCCATGACTATTCTAAGCAGAGCGAACAGGCTCTTGTTCGGAGACATTGCGTCCTAGCTTTACGTCATTTCGTTAGCATTGAACTCGTTCGATGTAATATATGCATATGAAAGGCATATACTTTCTTTCAAACATCTTCGATATTATTGAAGCGGAGGAACACGAACCCACAACAGTTCCGGTTTTCCGGCGTGGCCGCAATTATCCAGGAAACCTTTCTCTTTGATGATTAGGCTCATGTCCAAGTCTGCACATACGATACCTTCTTCAGAAGGTGGTAAGTCGATTGTCAGGAGACGCCCGTCGGGGCCATAAATTCGGGCATTGCCACCGCCTGGTTGATTAAATAGAGGTGTTCCATCAACACCTAGCTTATCAATAGATGGCTGTGAGATTACAGCAGTCGAGTGAATAGTGAAGCATTGCGCCTGCATGGAATAAACGCTTGAGAAAGATGCAACAGCTATCTCCAGTAAGCGAAGTATAGAGACAGAAATGAACGAGTCATACTTACCCTCATCTGCCATTGAGTATGGAGCCGGTCCGCCTGGATGAGGCGCAACAGGTGGCCAAGCAGAGCAGTGAATCTCCTCGCCTTGAGAATATGTATTGTATACGAGAAGTGGGTTAAAATGGTCCTAAATTAAAATTGACAATTTGTAATTAGAAAAGATATGGCGCAAGACGATTTGCAAAGTAGATATTTACCGCGCAGGAAAGCTGTCCAACTCTTCCAACACCAGTTGTTCCAACATTGTTTAGAGAAGGGCCATCTCCGTCTCCGAATAATGTACGTTCCATATGGACAGGTTTGAGTTTTCGTCTCGACATTACCAGCTCGCCGGTATTGTCGATAGTACACTGACCAATGTATAAAGAATTACTTTTACGCTCAGAATAGTTGATACACACAACGATATTGTTTTCAGCTGCACAGGACTGCAGTTGCTTCATCTCGTCCGAGTCAATAGCGAGGGAGTTATTAGCGTAGCGAATGTTCATCTCGAAATCCATGGCGCGGACCCTTGTTCCTGACTTAGCTACGGCTGCTCTAATTATCAGGATGCTAATACATACCAGATCCATACAGGATACCCAGGAACAAAAGCTTCAGGAAATGCAATAATTTGAGCCCCTTTGGAAGCCGCTTCCTTAATTATACTGCATGTTTTTGCAACAGTAGCCTTCAGGTCAAACCACACAGGCTCTGCTTGGACTGCTGCCGCTTTCACAATTCTGGGTGTCGAAGTCATGATTTGAGTAGACTATTGATCATATGCGTATAGGCAACTGGAACAACAGAGGTAAAGAGGCTTCATTTCTCATATTTATATACCTCAGGCGAGCTACCCCATGCGGTTCATTACCTGTACTACCGAACTAACCTAAACAGCAGTTGCAGTATACTTGTAAGCTGACATCAATTGTTTCCTATATACGGATCGTTAATCTATCTTTTTTAAATATAGAAGATGATAGTTTGTGTTCTTAACGTAGTCCGTCGGTGAATGGACAGCTCCATTCTGACAAGCGGGTTAGTAGTGTTTGTGGGCAATGGCGTTGTCAACTCTCGGGGCCATATCCTGAGCAGCCAGTGAGTGGCGTAGACCCACTATCAGCTCGGTACTATCCCTGATATAAGAAGTGCGTATTTCCCAGCCAATCGGTTTTAGTGCAGTCCAACACCAGTTGCTCTTTTCCCCCACCCAAAGATTAGAAATAAGAAGATACTCGGAATACACGGGTGGCTTTTTGCTGACATACTGATATTTGCTCGCCGTTCCTACACCACCACTATCCTTCAAATAAGAAGCATACTCAAAGTGATGATTTTAGTGATATGGTAGAGCTGGTATAATCGAAGTCATCTACCATAGGCAATTTAGGGCGATGGTATTGATAAAGTTGCAAATATGCCAAATTAACTTTACAATGGGAGGTAACACTATTTCAAGCATTTATGATGCTTATATACGACATATACAGTGCTACGCATTTTATAGTTGCTATTACTTGAGCGTCGAGCAACCACAGATCCTAGTTTAAATAGATGTTCTTTGTTCGATTTTCCAAATCTGAGCGGAATATTTTGAATCGTCTCTCCTTTCGTGTCCCATCACTGTTAGAGGCAACCGGGGTGAATACAATGTTCAGGCTCGAATAACCGGTCTCCCATGATGCGCTAGTCCACACATATCGACCACTCGCTGGAATATGACCCGTAGCGTCGCGACTCTCCTCTTCCAAAGCCATAAGCTGGCGCCTAGCCAGTAAACTAGCCCTAGTATCCCAATTAAATGAACTCGATGTCATCTTCTCGAAGCTGTCTAAGGCTTCTGAGCGGATAACTTTGTCTCTGCATTTTTGTGAAACGAAGTTTAAAACTGGAAGGGTGTAGATGTCCAGCGCAGTTTCAAGGTGAGAAAAGCGCTTCAATGTGCCCCCGAGAGAGCTCGCCGTCGAAGCAATTTCCCGGAATTTGGAGCTGAACTGATCATATGACATTTCCGTTGCGTCGAAACAGCAGCTCATGAGAATAAATACCGCTTTCTGACCCATATAAAAAGTGTTAAAAAACTGACAAATGATGGGATTTTTCTCTGCTTCCAGTTTCAGCAAAATGGCCTCTTCCCAGCCTTGCAGTCGTTCAAGGAAGATGGCCCGATGTGCCAAGTGGAGCTCGAAATCGTTTGTATGGTAACCATATTGGTGTCTCTGCATGACTTTGACAATGAATATGACAGCTCTTGTGATGAAACTATTCCACATGGCTCCGAATTCATGCATGTCGGTATCGACCCCAGGAACACCTCCAGGGATTGGTCGCGATTGCAATCGGGACCAGCAAGCTTTCTGCATTGGGAAAAAGGGCGTATTCAGACTGAGGAAGATTTGAAACCGAGGTAAGATCCGTTCAGCTTGGTCCAGCCCTTCGTCGTTAGAAGGTGCAACGTAACTATGAAGATCCTGTCTATGGTATTGCGAATTCATCTCATCAACAAGTTGATCGCGCTTCTGCTTTAACAGCTCGACGCTGCTTGTCAGTAGCTGATCGGCGCCTTTGGTGTTTCCGATCAAGAGCTCAAAGAGAAATAGCAAGAACATGTTGATCAACACGTTCCTGCGCGAAATGGTGTGAAACTCCTGTCGCATCCGCATATGGAGCGTGGTGGTGGCTTTGGCATGGTACGCCATAGCAACCTGGTACGCACCACCACCGCGTTCTTCAAGCAACTTCACCGTTGGCTCGGGGTTTGAAGAACGCAGGGACAGCATTAAAGCTCCGATACTTAAAACGGACCACCGCACACACTCGTCTCCCATGGATTCTCTAGGGATTACACGATTCCAGAACTTGGTGCATGGAGTGTATGTAAAGTCTTGGAGCATCTGGGCTCTAAACAAGTCAAAATATGGAGCCTCTTCGGCTTCTAGATGGCTCGCTCTCGGGCGAAAATGGAGAGCTCTTGTAGCAACTACATCAAGTGTCTCCTGTCTCGGAAGAATTGTCCTTTTTGGGGGCGCAATGCTACCATGCTGCTTCTCTTTGGGTATATCATAATGGCAAACTCGGGCAGATTTCCTGCATTGATTGCATATCGGCTTCTCCTCGTTGCATTTTCGGTGCCTGAGTTTACACTTTGGGGCAAATGGGTTAGCAAAACCACCTGGCAACCAGGTTAAGAAGCAAGGATTAAGAAGCAATGAAATATGAAGATACAGCGCCAGCTCTATGATTTCCATCCACCTGGAGAGCGGGGATCATTTCATCAAACAGATGCTGGGAATCTTATTTGCTGGCCTGTTTATGAGACACATGTAAACGCACCGATATGCAGCCGCCACGGCTCTTGGGTTTGCCTGCGCGCGTATGCTTCTTTCCGAGGATATTACGCGGCAGCGAGTTGACAAGCGCTGTCGTGGGAATCATCATGCTGTACTTGTCTACCGAAAAATGATGTAAAAAGGAACTCGGAGTTGCGAAGACTTGAGACGAGTGATTGGCACAGAATACGCCGAGCCACAAAGGGCACAGTGGCCTGTAATACGGCGTTTGCTAGTTGGGCGCTATAGAGCTTACATGCACTAAAATAGTGCTTGAGGTTGATAAAGCTGCCACTTTACAAATACTGTTAGAGAATATTATATTGTTTAGTAAACATAAAAGGAAGGGAGAGGAACAGTGTAATACTCCATTTGTCATTGCATTAAGATAAGTATACATGGAAATCAGCTGGCTTCTGTAGGGTCGCTGACGATGTTTGGAGAGTACCTTGGACAGTAGCTTAAAATGTATTCCAGTAGTATGATCCTCTTGAGCGCACAATCCCCTCTAAATCAGACAAAAGTAGCGATTAAAAGATCTACATTTCCTTTTCCTTCTAAATTAGTAGTTTTGAAATGGAGAGAATAGTGTTTCGATCAACTAGGGAGGTCAAACATAAATAACATCCACTGCGGCAAAAATAGAGCGATAAAGAGACGATTTAAAACTCTTACCCATTGGTCGACATTCTTCTCATTGGTCTTGTATTCCGCAAATTTTTCATCCAGTCTCTCTATGAAATATTAACATATATCAAGAACGAAATGGCTACAGAGTTTACTGAAGTAATAAATGTTGTCCGGGCAATGTCTTGATCATTTCTAAGAGACTCGAGAAATTTTGTGGCCGACTTCGCCGTCCCTATCTGGCCGATCATGAACTTCACGGCTTTCATAAATCTTGTTAGTAGATAAAAAGGCGAGAAAATCAGTATGCTTGAATTTCACATACTTTGTGGAGGGTAGCCGTTTTCTTGTAGCTGCCGTTCGCATTCTAGGATGGCCGTGACAAGTACGGAACTATCTTCAGGCTCTGGCATCCCATCAGTAATAATAATAATTAGCAGTGGTCTCTCAAGAGTTTTATTTTTTATCTTGTCATAGACTAGGTGCTGGAGAATTTTAGACTGCAGATTTGTTCCAATAGGAGTGTCGCCGCCAGGTTGCCAGGTCATGGGCTTCAAGATATCTCTTATCCCTTCAAGAGTTAGATTGGTAGCGTTGTCAACATCTCTATTAATAAAATGCAGAGCAACGCCCTCACCCTCCGGGAGAACTAGTGTAGTGACCTGAGTGGTGCGCCGGATGAGCTCTTTCTGGCTTTCCCAGCGCCCTTCGCGCTTCATCGAGGTGCTGTCATCTGTAGATATTGCAGTTAGACAAAATAAGGGGACATGATGCATTGTTTTAGCGTTTAGGATAACTTGCCACAGTAAATGACTTGCTGGTATAACGATACTTTGATCCTTTTTTGCAATAGGTCCTTGCCGCCAAGATCGATGACGGAGTTTTGCTCCAGGCTCGCAATCTTCCTAGCGAAATTTTGTATAAAGTCTTTCTTTCCCTTGAAAAAACGTTCCAATAGTTGGCGGTTCTCAAGATATTGACCAATATTTTCCACATATTCTTCCTGGGTCGGTTCCTCGCCTTCGTTTATGACCTATGTATCCAAATTAATACGCTATTTCATTACTTACTCGGTCCGATAACTCCACTCACTTTGTCTATATCTTCATTTCCCTCCGAATTTGCTATAGGTACCATGAAGAGAGCGCCCTGCACAGATTTTTTTACCCAATCAACAATGTAGAGTAGTAAGTCAACGACCTTGGAAACGAGTAAGCCAATGGCTGCCTTTTCTTCGTTCAAGTCAAGAGCAAGAGAGATGGCAGGATTATTTGCATATTTGGCCATTTGCTCTGTTGTAAATCCTTCTTTGTTCTTTATATCCACGGAAGCTCCGGCCTTTCGAAGTAGCCTAATGGATTCAAGATCCTTATTCTCAATTGCATACATTAGTGGCGTCTTCAAGCCCGCTATATCACAGGTTTTGTCCACAGCTCCCGAAGGAATCTTTTTAAGAAGCAGTTGGACGATTCGAGCTCGTTCTCCTTTAGCCTTCCAAGCAGCGAGGAGAAGGGGGGTCTCTTCATCCCTTGAGAGGCCATCTGCCTTGGCTCCTTTCTCAAGAAGTTCCTCAACCTCATCAGGGAATCCTTCAATTACGGCTATCGCTAGTGGTGTCAATCCCGAGTCAGAACTTTGTTCGTCAAGCATATTCTGGTCGTTCTTGATGTAACTATCAAGAACATTTCCAACAAGAATTCCTTTTTCGGCATCTTTGTGGATCGACATGATGACAGCTCAAAAATTGTAAGACGAATAATTAATCACGATCACAATATTAGGATATTTGTTAATTCAATTGCGCTCCATTTTTTCTTGGGAAATTTGACACATATAAGTTGCCTTTGCGAATGGGTTTGACATCAAAACCAGCCGACTCTAGCCTTTAGTGCATTTTATCTTATTGAAGGACTATGTTGGGCAGTATTACGGCTCAAGCTGCCAGCAATTTAATTGTATGTATCCAATAGACCTTCAGAACTCTAAACAGTTATTCAGCGGGAAGACTTCTAGCCAAACAAAGACGCATATTCTTCCTTGTCAACTTTCAGAAGCCAGCTGAAAACGGCGCGATAAGAAACTAATCTGCATGTCTATCCTATCAACAATGTGCAAGAGCCCACTTCCTTTGCATTGCCCAAATCATGGAACTGGGGTAGCATTTACGAAATAAAGGGCTGTGTTGGGCAGCACTGCGGCTCTAGTTGCCTGAGCTTGCTGATATATCCAATTGAAAGATAGATCGTTTTTGTGGGGAATGTCGCTAGCCAAAAAGAAGTGAATGTGCTTGCTTGTGAGCTTCAGAAGCCAGCTGAAAGTAAGCTGGGGAGTTTAATGTGCAATCTAATCCTATCAATGGTTTTCCGGAACCCACTTCTTGTATCATTTATCAGTTCAAAGCACGAGTGTGAAGAAAAGTTTTGAGAAGTGACGTATGTAGGGTACCTTCAACACGAGCTGAGTACAAAAATTGGAAAGGTGTAGCTCTTTAGATAACTAGAATTTGGCATTCACATTCACTCCGCATTGCTTCAAATGCAGCATTAAACTTGTATTGGTTTCAGTATGCGGCCATCCCTATGCATGCTTAAGTCGGGGCCGGGACAGATATTTAAATCTTTGGAGATCCCAGTCCTGGAGCCTGGACAAGTCGAGTATGACCGTGCAATTGCGACCTCGAACCGTCTTTTCCGCTTTTCCAGACCGGATTGCGTGGTTCAGCCTGAAACGGCAAAACATGTCCAGGCCATTGTTAGGGAAGCAACATCAAAGAATATTGATCTCACCATCAAATGCAATGGCTACTCTTATGCAGGTCATTCTACCGCCATGAAAGGTGTCTCGCTTGACCTTCGAAGGATGAGAAATGTTAATCTAGACATGAATTCGAATATTGTTACTATGGACGCCGGCTGTCAATGGGGCCGCGTCTATGAGACGCTCATAAATGGAAGGCACAACGGATATATCATCAACGGCGGACGCTGTCCTACTGTAGGAGTGAGCGGGTTTATTCTCGGTGGAGGTCTTGGGCCCTTTACCCGAAGATTTGGGATGGGGTGTGATACCTTAGCTGAAGCGACAGTGGTCACAGCAGATGGTGGCTTAGTGACAATTAAAGAAACTGATGATAGGAACTCCAAGGAGGCCAAATTGTTTTGGGATCTCCAGGGAGCAGGCGGCGGTAATTTTGGTGTTGTGGTCCAGATGAAGCTCAAAATTCAGAAGCTACAGAACCTTGAAGGCACAGTAGTTGCAGGTAGGTACCAATGGTTTCCGGAGGAAGGAATCTCCGACGAAGTCATGCTACAATGAACGATTTCTACACCACCGACTGGCCCAATAGTACTACTATTGACAGCACCTGGGTTTGTGATCTCCGTCAAAATAAGAGGTTGGATGGAATTCGGTTCAACGTCTCATTTGATGGCAGCAGGCTTAAATATGAGAGAGTCATCAACAAGCACATCCAACATGAAAAGCTCAAGACTCAGCTCAAGCGAAGAGCACTACCAGAGAAGTCGACGCGTTTTCTATACGAGACTCTTGTGAATTAGTGGTTGGAGGAGACTGAACGATCTTATCCAACCAACCAATCATATGAACTTTATAGCTCTTTTGTATTCAAGAATGATGATAAAGAAAAGGTTGCAAAAGTCACCAGCACCATTCGCGAGCTGATGAAGGAATTCCGGAAGGAGTTTACTGGAGAAGAAGTCAACTTCCTCGTCACTTGGATTCATTCTGGCAGTAAAGCAACAGAAAAGAATCCCGCTGATTCGGCCTTCTTCTGGCGTGAAGCCGTGTTTCATACATATGTCTCAGTAGGATGGATGGACAAATGGATGGAAAAGGATATGAGATTTTTCCTTGCAAAGGTCAAGACAACTCTGAGGCCGCTCTCTCTTAGCGGAGAAGCTGCATTTGTTAATTTCCCCGATTGTGACTTTCCAACAAAATTTCACGAGAGAGCGTATTTCGGCGACAATCGCGAAGAGTTGCGTCTCGTCAAAGAAATGTGGGATAAAAACAAGTTGTTCAGATTTGCCCAAGGTGTTCGTCTGCCTGGAGATCCGGAGGAAGACCCGGATGAAGAGAAAGACAAAACTGACCGACTTGCAAATGAACAATGGGAATCCGATAGAGCTCAATGGAAACCCTATAAAACTGGAAATTTCGAGAATGGTCTTGACTATTTGGAGGATCTGGCATTTTGAAGAAGTGAGACGATGAATTAGCACGGCGAGCAATGTAGGACACTATGACCAATATCTCAACTTACATATAAGTCAAATGTTTTTCACATTCACATGAATGCTATGTTGTTATGTTTTTTTGATCTAGTAGAGTGGATTGAATTCTAAGTAATATCTATATCTAGGTATCTGGCATGAGTAAGAACTTTTATACTGAGTTTCAATTCTAGACCGAACATCTCCTTTAATGCACCAAAAAATATCCTACATTTGACCGCCGTGTCTAAGATACCCTTATTACACGCCAATGTCCAATTGATCCACTATTTATTTAGCGATCTCAATACCCTTGGTAGCACCTAAAGTGGATGTATTGTCAGCACTGCTTTGTTTTCTTACTTTCTTCTCCCTCTTCCTCTTCTTTTTTTTCATTTTCCTTTTCTGAAGAAGAAACAGTAGGAAAAGCAAGCATAAAAATACTTACCGAGAGCCTTCTTGATATCTCCATAGATAGCAAACTGACCAGCGGTGAGACCGCCAACCATGAACAGTCGAGTAGGAAGACCAGCGAAAGAACCGCGAGGACCAAGCTCTCTTGCAATTTTGACGAGGCGGGAGACGATGCCCTCGCCCGGAAGGCCCTTTGTCTTGTTGATTTTAGACAACATAGTATCAGCTGGTTGAGAAACAATCGCAGCGGCAAAGCCAGCTATCAGACCAGATCCCAAGTTGACACCTGTTTGGGCACCATTTGACAAAGTAGACTTGTCAAATTGAGAGAAGATAGCTTCGGAAACCTTCTCAAAAGCAACAAACTTGGTGACGGTATAAGGTACCCTAGGTATCCTTGTCAGTCGAAAATGATGGCAGAGCTTCAGATAACATACTGTTTAAACAAAATGGGAACAAATCCAGAGTAAAAAGCCCCAATACCCTCCTGTGTGAGGATCTTGCTAAATCCACTGACCAGGCCGGTAGCAAAGCCAGGGGTCGAAACGAGACGGATGCGGGTTGCCTCGAGAGGACTCAGAGCGATGGAGGCGAAGAACTCAGCCGAAGCGGCGGAGACTGAGTAGACAGCGGCCCTGTGTTTGCGGGCTGTTTCAAGACCGAGGAAATCAATTGACTGCTGCTTGAAGAACTCATAGCCTCCGAACTTGAAGGCTCCCTGGATGAAGTATCCTGTAAACGTCGGGCCGAAGCCAGTCAGGAGGGCGCCAGCGCCCTCGTTCCGGACAACCTGTTGGAAACCACCAATCATGCCACGGTTATAAACAGTAGGTTCAAGCTGAATCCTAGTTTTAACGCTAGATATCCAGTAAATCAGTCAGTCCATTAGGCGACAAGCTCGACAAGGCCGCGGTAGCGTACACATCGACAGGAGTAAAGGCGCCATGAGTAACGGAGCATCCCAGAGCGCCAGCAAGAGCAAAACGAGAGTAAAGATTGATGCCCTGGGGCCCCTGGGCCGATTCAGAGAGAGAGGCGCTCACTGCAGCAGCCATGGCGATATATGATGCTGATGCTGGTGTTGTTGTTGTTGTTGTTGCTGATGCTGGATGAGTCAAGAACTCGAAATAAGAGGGATTATTTTACCCCTGCTACTATTTCATAGGATAGGTATGATGAAATGTACATATTACAAAAGTACCTTAGCGTAGCTTAAATCGGCTGGAGCTTATACGCCCTGACCCCTGGATGGCCCGCGCGCTGTGCGGTTGACTACTCTATTGTGAATATCATGGCGAAACTCTTTTTACCAAGAATGCATGCATATGGTTGGCAAACCGATGGCTAATGCAAATTATGGAAACTAAGCTAAACTTGCTACTTCGGAGTCTTAGAGATGCCAAGATCCCAAGTTATTAAACACTGATAACAGCATGAATAACAACAACAGCAACGCGAATGGGAAGAATTCGGAAAACTGCTTTTACTTAAAGTTAATGCCTCCTGAATGAGAATATAACAGGTGAGATGCTCGAGTATATAAGAGGAAAGATTGAATTCAGGTCCGGAGCTATGTCACTAATGTCCGCTACTTCCGTTAACTCCAATCCTTCGGTTGTCGTGCAAGCGTGCAAATAAGAATACCTGACTAAGATCTGACCAGTCACTGAATTATTTCTCTAACACAATACACAACTACCTTCAGAGGGAAGCCAAAGATCATTGTGGAGAGGTTCGTGGCTCAGAATTGTATCCCGCCCACATGCCTAGGCAGGTTGCTATCCTAATACAGTGGGTCCACAAAAGTGAAGATAAAGAGCACATCCTGTGCCGTACAGACGTTGACTGTCTGATAACTATGTAGTAGCCTCATCAAACCCTCCAGCAGTATTGCGTAGAGAATATACTAAGCTACCAGATGCTAGAGCCATATTCAGCCGTATCAATTGTCCGATATCCTATCCAAAAGCAATACTTCGTCCCGTAACCGCTAATTTTACTCAATGTCCTATCTGCTGGAGAACATCGACCTTATTACTTGACATCTCTTCTCTCCTTCCCCTTTCCGCCCCCTTTATTAAACTTTCTACCCTATCTCGGAAGAAGGCGATGAGTCGCACTTCGACCCAATAGTCGACGAAATTTACTTGATCAGCAAGATTCTTATGTACCCATTAAGCATCACGGCGACCAAGACCTATGTTTACTAGCACAAGGCTATCATATAGATTAAAAGATACTTTAGTTCATCAATTGACCTCTAGGCGTATCGTGGTGGACGCAGAGAAATTATAACTTGACAGTCTGTATAGATTTGAATGAATCTGTCAATATCATTGTGTATTATGCAAAAAGTCGCATAGCAGAGGCTTTCCATTAAATAGGAGGAAAAGAAGATTATACACAAACCTTTTCACTACATTTGAATGTAAAGTTATAAAACGAAAGAGGACAATATTAATTGGGAAGTATTATGCCTTGTAGGATGAAACGATGCCAAAAAATCACAGATTGCTCTGCTGCTATACCAAAGGTCCTGCACTCTGTCATGCCCGTTATCACTGCTATTGTTTTTTTCTTCCCTTNNACGTAATACGCGCTGGTAAACGCATGATGTCCGCTCTGCCAGGCTGGAAACTCAACCAACGGCCTTTAGACTTAGCCCCATTCAAAATCCGGACTTGGTGATCACACAGCAATTGTTTCTTCAACGAGATCTCTACAATTTCGTGTAGTATAATTACGAGATAACTTCTTCTCTGTTATAATAAGATATTACTTGACTAATGCAATATTCTCTATCATCATCATGGCGCTCATCAGTGACTGGCAGCAATCAATCAATTTCACCATCAGCTAAATCCCCTTTCATCCATCTCATAATTCTGTCCATTTCATACCCAAGATGTCGTTCCAATTTCACACTACTACTTTTGGCCAGCTTGTGCGCCTTCTTTCTGGCAATAGAGTACTCCGATATCCGGATGAGATTGACCCCGTACTATGGAAAAGGTTCCTTCGCCAAGATACACTTGAACATACGAATGTCTCCGGTAGAGAACCGAGTAAAGACGAGGTAGCCGAGGATGGCATTCCGCAGAATACTGTACTGCGTGATGACGATCAAGAGATCCTCCTGGTAGAGTGGTATGGACAAGATGATCCCGAAGTAAGTCATTTTATCTACTACCTATACGATATTTACCTGAAAAATGATACAGCTCTAATTCGAGTTCTTCGACTTGTAGAATCCTCGAAATTGGCCATTAAGGTGGAAGAATCTCATGGTGTTTGAACTTTGTGTCCTCAATTTTACTGTCTACATGGCAAGCTCCATCTATGCGCCAGGCGAATTAGGTGTCATGGAAGACTTCGGCGTCAGCGAGATTGTCGCGACTCTAGGGCTCTCGCTCTTCACTCTGTAAGGCGACTCAGCCCCTTTGCGAGATCTAAAATCATCATCACATCCTGCTAACACCTTATTTTTGCTGCCATCAGTGGATATGGCGTCGGTCCTATGCTATGGTCTCCCCTATCCGAGATGCCCAAAATCGGGCGTAGCGGTATTTTCTTTTGGACGCTCTTCGCCTTCATCATATTCCAGCTTCTCGTTGGCTTTGCCCCAAATATTGCAGTATTTCTCGTCTTTCGCTGGGTGACAGGCTTCTGTGGCAGCCCATGCCTATCGACTGGTGCAGGTACTATTACCGATTTATACGACCATTCTCTCGCCTCCTATTTGTTCTGCATTTGGGGAACAGCCGGTTTCTGCGGCCCAGTATTCGGTCCCATCATTGGCGGATATCTGGCCCCTTCTAAGGGATGGCGCTGGACAATATGTATTATTACATGGCTCTGCACACTGGTCCTGGCCGCAATGTTTCTCTTTTTCCCCGAGACCAGCGCAGCTAACATACTCTACAAGAGAGCCAAACGATTGAGGAAAGCGACTGGGGACAGTCGACTTAGGAGCCAGTCCGAGATTGACGCTGCGCATTATACCGCAAGAGATCATCTGATCGTCCTCGGAAGGGCCTTTACTTTGACATTCTCAGAACCCATAGTTCTGCTCATGAATTTGTATGCCGGTCTCCTGTATGGCGTGTTGTTCATCTGGTTCGAGTCGTTTCCCATCGTATTCGGCGGTATTTACGGCTTCAACCAGGGCGAGCAGGGTTTAGTTTTCTTGGGCATTTTCGTCTTTGCTCTTGTCTCATTAGCACTCTTTCTACAATGGATCAAAACTCACATTGCCACGAAAGTCAACGAGCCCGGTTTTACGCCAGAGATGATACTTCCTCCGACGTTTTTAGGATGTCTCGCTCTTCCAATATGCCTATTCTGGTTTGGGTGGACATCACGAGCGGATATACACTGGATCATCCCCATTATTGGATCCGGTTTCTTCTCTGTTGGCGTGGTCACGCTGTTTAACTCGTTACTCAACTATTTGGGCATCTCATATCCTACATACGCCGCATCCATATTCTCAGGATCCGCACTCTTTCGCGCCTCGTTTGGTGCTTCTTTTCCACTGTTTGTAAGCAATTGAGGACATCTTTCTGGCTTTCTGTAACTAAACGCAAGTCATGTTTTAGGCGCGCCAGCTGTTCTCTCAGCTCGGTGTTGGTCCAGGTAATTCGCTCCTCGGCGGTATTGCCGTGCTTTTCATGCCGGTCCCCTTTGTTTTCTACAAGGTAGGTCCAGGCTATCACGTACCACAACTCGCAAAGCTGACTGCCAAGCAGTATGGGGCAAAGATCCGCCACATGAGCAAGAATGCTCGACACGATTTATAATAACATCGATACAACGGCTAGGTTCTCATTGAAGTCGCCGCACATGAATAAATCTATCATGTATCAAATAAGGAATCATTTTGCCGATTGTTCTGGCACCTCATACACCGTGTACCGTTCAAAGTTGCACAAAGTAATTGCAGACACCTTTATTAGTCTCTTTCCAGCGATCCCTTCTGACTTCATCTTGCGCCTTTATAGGGTAAATTAGTATCAAGCTTCATAGGATATGATTTTTTTAATCATAGTTTAGAGCGCCAATTGAGCGTTTAATCGTGTCAAAACACCTGTGTTAATAAGATTTTGACAAGCAAGTGGCCTATGTACATACATGTATATTTAGAGGTCCCCAGAATAAATCAAAACACACGTTCCGTCACAACCGCTTTTTGCGCAATCGACAAAGTGTCCTTCGTATTGTTTACAGTCTCCATTATTTCGGCACCATTCCCCCGGCTTGTTTCCCCAATTATGGGCACCAAAAGTGGCAACGCACTTGCCCGAGCAGTCATTGCCCTTGTCGCATAGACATTCCGCTGGCGTACACAGACACTCAATGTCGTTTTCACAGTGCTCGCCGTGCCCTGCTCCGCGGGCAATCATAAAAACAGCGCTCAGAACCAGAAGTCTTGCGAGAAATTGCATCTTAGAAAGCCAAAAGAAATATTACGGCGCGTAAACTTTTAGTGACGAGCTGATAACGGTTGACCAGTTATTTATGCGTAAATGTTTTGATATCCTTCATAAAGAGTAGGAATAGATGCTATATCCCTACCTTATTCCAAGTCGCCAAGATAAGTTATGAGAAAATTATTGTTAGCGTGGAGTCTGTGGTTTGCCTAAGCGCTTCTTCGATTTGCGGATTTTATGTGTTTCATGGTGTTGTATGCAAAACTAACAAGCAGCATAAAAAAGAGAGAATTCCCAAACAAAAAGCTATGGCGTAACGCTTGTTTTATAATCATGCAATTGGCTGATAATATTTATACTTTCAATTTTTATGATAGACTGGTTGTATAACTTTCAGCTATTGTGATTTTAGTCAAGCTCACTATAGTGTAGTAAACCATTCCATTTTCAACCCAAAGTAAAAAGGCCCCCGCGAACTATTACATAGATCTTATATCATCGTTAACCTAAAACAGACACAATCCAGAGCGCCGAATGCCCAGACCCTTCTTCTCAAAAGCTTCAGAAGGCTCCTGTCGCTATTTTCTAGAATGAAGAGCCTTCAATAGGTTCCAACTAGCTTTTGCTAAAGACTCCGCTATTACACTTTGTAATAGAGACCCACAAGTGTAGTAGTTGGGGTGTGGTGCATGGTATGCCGCGCGCAATTGGCCAACTATATTCCATATCATACAGAATATAAAGCAGTCGTCGGAGAGGTATAGATAATTCCATTATATAGGTACTAAATCTAGTGCAAGTTTGACATGTAGTCTGGATCCAGTGTCCACCAGGCACATACAACCATAGGTAGTGGAAAATTCGGGGTCCCGTTTAGCTCTTCTTTTGAGAGTTAAATGTCTTCTTTTTTTTTTTTGGCATCTCAAGACTCCAAATTCGGAGTCACATGCTTCCGTTTGTGGATATTAATAAAACCCATGCTAAGATATTTTTGCTCCTCGAGATAATTCTCATTCAATACAATTGACGCATTCAGCACATTCAGAGCAGTCACGCTCGATCTAGGACTACCAGTCTATCAGCCGCACTGGCCAGAGTCCTGTCGTTTGAATGAAGATCATACCTGCATTTTCGCAATAGGCTGGAGTGAATACAATAAACGGAAATATTGAGGAGCATCAGTGCATTCGCCAGATACCAATCTCTTAGTGCATGCGCCTGCCGACCAAAACTGACTTTGCAGCCTCCTCAACGATATAGTAAGCCGACCAGTGCATCCCAGGAACTGTCTTCGTCTTCAACTTGGGCGTAGTCCCCGGTAGCAAGCAGACTAGCTTTGACCTTTACAGCCGCCTCCCGAAGAGGCATGGCATCTTCTTCTCTGCCCATGCGCTCCAAGACCTGTGACATACGCCATTGAATCCTGGCCGACTCGCCCGAGTTCCCTCTGTGCTGCTCATTGATCCTTGAAATGACCAGCGATTTCTCCAAGTGCTGCAACGCAAGAACATTTTCCCCTTGGAGCATAGCAATCCATCCCAGGCGGTACTGCGCTGCCATTACACTCGCGTGTGTAGGTTTGCCTGCAGATACCAGATGATGAGCTTTTGTGGCGAGTGAGTATGCTTTCTCAAGATTGTCACGCCAAGCTTCAATTTTGGCACGCTCATATTGGGTTCTGTATGGGTTACAGAATGATTTGCGTCAGTAATCATTGCTCACTGAAGGAAGAAAAAAAATAATAGATAGGGAGCTATCTCACTCTCCATCATAATGACTGCCTGGTCCATGGATTTTCTCCTGATAGTACTCCGCCTCATCAAAGTCACGTAAGGCGTCTTCGAAACGCCGCAGTTGCTCGTTTGCACGCCCTCTGTTGCGCAAGAAGCGGTCAATGTTGAACTGTCGCCAGCGCTTTGGCTCAGGTACATCCTTGGCCATTGAGATGGCCTTGTCAAGTTATGGTAACCCATCTGAAGCCTCGAAGGCAGAAACTCTTGTGTAACCCATATTGCTCCAGGTATTAGCAACATCGTTGCCCGCATCCTGAGAATATCTTCCAACAATCTCGAACTTCAAGGAGGCAGAACTCTTAGCACGAATGCTGCGGCCAGTTCTCTCATAAAGTCCTAGAAGGCTTCGGTGAACTTTGGTAGCGAATACGGAATCATCCTCCGCGTTCTCCAAGAGAGACAAGAGGGAACGCTCGGCATCCAAAAAATGCTGAATCTCGATCATATACCTAGAACTGAATTAGAAACAATGCCAGCAGTTTCCATTGTCAAATAGAGCCACACCAAATGTCATCATGAATGAGCTCAGCATACAACCCTTGGTCACCATCGTCCATTGGCTCTGTGGAATTCAAGGCAACCACCTTGTCTCTGAGGGCCTGAATATGGTGATGAAGTGCAGCACAACGGTTCCATTGCGAATAAAGATGGTTTGCCCCATCATATGTGGGAAAGTAGGATCTCAATAATACCAAAACATTATGAATAGATATCTTACGGGCTGCTGTCGACATGTCTAGGAAGTATGCATGCTGTAAGAGACGATGGACGGACATCAACCCTATCTCGGAGTTGATTCTAACAAGAGACGCTTCAAGTAGCTCGTCCTTGGCATCTTCAACTCTATGAAGCTACTGTTAGCACGTAATCTATAAAGCCTTGTGGGCGTAGAATAACCACCTGTCAATATTTTCTAACAAGTCTAGCTCAGTCGGCATACTCGTTTCTCTCGGTTGGAAGAGGTACTGTGGAATAGATTCAGGGCCTAAGATGCAAATTAAATTCATCAATACCGCAGCATATGGACTCAGGTTTTGAAAAGCTATACGCCAAATGTTGTCAAGGTCGTGTGGGTACCAGTAGTCCTCTTGCCCTTTAGAGCGCTTCGGTCGTGTATATCCCGCTTTTGGATTACGTCGCAAATACGGAATAAAATCCCGGACAGATTTGAAACGACGAGAGTGTTTAATATGTTTTGCCGTAATGTCAATGGCTAATGCCAGGCCGCCAAGCTCACCAGAAACCTCCCTTGCTGCCTGGACTTCTGTCTCTGGTGCTTCACATTGCTCAGTGATTCGGAGAATCATTTCTGTACTCTCCGACAATGTGAAGGGTGGAACTTCGAAAGACCGTGCGATGACTTCTGAACCTGCAAGAATTTCACTACGACAAGTAATAAGGATCCTGCCTTGGCTAACTGGGGGCCAATAGCTTTGTAAGTCGGCCTGGCCTTCCACATTGTCAAATACAAGAAGCCATGGCATATCTGTTGAAATGAACTATTCGTCAATCACCCTATTGTCTTTTAACATGCTCATCATCTCCACTGTCTTACCTGTTCGTTGGAGCCACTGAAAGACTAAGTGTTGGTTTTTCTCTGGGGTATTGATCTCGGAAAATTCGCTGAATTGGAGTTGCCTGGCCGCGTCACTGTAAGATTTTGCTCTTTCGGCATTTGTCTCACTTGAGATCCAGATAATGACATTGAATCCCTCCGACCAAAGCCTATTTGAATACTCTAATGCAATCTGAGTTTTGCCGATACCAGCAGCTCCCCAGAGAGCCATTGAAGTAGGACGGATTGGTTGTTCACGAAAAGATTTATCAATCATATCTAATATATCTTTTCGGCCAAAGAAGCTCGGATTTCGTATGAATGGTATAGTATGACAGCGCATGGAGGCAGTCAAGGGCGATGAGTTTGCAAAATGCTCTTCATACAGCTGCAAAAGCTCAGCATTTGATTTCATAGCTGAAACAAGGTTTCTAGCCTCAATTTCTCTGTGAAGCTACCTCAGACGTAAGTCTAGTCGCTTTAGATCTTTTGACAAATGTGCGCGTACATTACTCCATGCAGATTTGGGTGCTATTGCGGTGTCAGTGCTCATTTTCTGCCTGAAGTATTTAACAAGTTTCACTATATTAACAGTGAGTACCTCCAGGATTTCGAAGAATGCAACCAGTATTTCCTCATCTAATGCTCCAGAATGGCTGAAAATCTGCAGAAATTTGAGCGGGCCTCTGAATTTGGACAGTATATCGATAATTTCCGTCAAAACCATGTCTGACTGAGCTGCGACCTGGAGAGGAATTAATGGGATTTGCTTGCTCCAGCACATAGCGGTATACTAGCCTGCATGAGCACCCCATGAAGCCCTCACAAACACATAAATTACCCTGCAACTTCCATGGTCAAAGCCTTAGGTTAGGAATGTTGCAAAGCCCAACAATCTTTCAGGTGTGCTCGAAGGGGCTTCCATTCCACAGATTATGTGCTCTGCAAACAGAGCCCGTTAGCGTTATAAAGCCCAGCCAAGCGTTGCTTCTAGATGGCAAGGCATCGATTTATGGATCCCCTTTATCTTATATAAGGGCTCGGCCGATACCTATTGCTTGCATTATTATTCATCTAGATGGATAATAAGTAGCAGAGGCTCCTTGTAACGCAAAGTCGAGGAAAAGAAGCGCAGCCGGCGCCTAATACAGACATTCTTTCAGAGCAGCAAGCCAAAGCTTAGTGAAAACAAATAGAAATTCACGAATGCTCACGGTCTGCACGTGGGCTGCCGCTCAGGGCAGGATGGCTCCCAAGCTGAGCATCTCTCATTTTCTCAGGTCATTTTGCCACTTTGCAGATTTGGTTATGCCGTTAGGCTGCTCTTCCTTGAGTTGCTCGGCAATAACAACATTTCATTGGACGGGCGACGCGGGCAAGCATCACATGAATGACTGTTGGTGAAACTACAGGGCCACGTTAACTCATAGCTCCATTACTTCTCTACCCTTGTCTAGGAGCTTCTAAGATCTATCGTCCGGTTCGAAAAAGTACTTTCCCCACCATCTGAAGTGATATTTTAATCCAGCCTGAGTAATTTCCTCGACGTCCGCCGGCTCTAGCACTACTTCAGTAGCTGTGCTGTACTCGTCAAGGCGAGACTGGCTAGACGTTGTGGTAATGGGGGAAATATTTTGCCCAATGCACCAGCTCAGTAATACTACCGATTCTGTCACCTTATACTTTCCCGCAAGTGATGGAAGAAGCTCGTCAAGAGGGCCACCTTTGCCCACCGTGATTGGCGCCAAACTTTTGAAGGACGATACCTCAATGTCATGTTCGCGCATCCAAGGCACGAAATCGTTGGCGCGCTGGAGATAGGGATGGAATTCTAGCTGATTCATTACAGGTTTTATAGTGCATGTCTGGAGAAGGGTTTCGATGTGATGCCTCTGGAAGTTGGAAATGCCAATAGACTTGGCCTTTCCTTGCGCCTTGACGATCTCGAGCCCCTTCCATGCTGCCTGTATGCCTTCATTAGACCCAATTACGTACGGGTTGTGCAAAAGGTACCTGCTAGTCCGTGAGTAAGGTGAGCTCTGTACTCGTACTAGGTGAGAAGCCTTACAAATCCACGTATTCCAACCGCAGTCTCTCAAGGCTGGCGTCCAAAGCTGCCGGAACATCTTCCCATCCATCTTGAACCTTGGTGGTGATGAAGAGCTTCTCTCGTGAAATACTACTTTGCTGTATTGCTAGGCCAACTTCTCGCTCAGTTCCGTATGAGTCTGCAGTGTCGATATGTGCGTAGCCCTGTGCAAGGGCTGCCTTCAGTAATTCAACGAGCTGGAGACTCAAAGGATCTTCTGGGTTGTTCTTGTACCATGTGGTCCCAGTGCCGAATCCAAGCTGAAATGGTTGTTTTAGCGTCACTTGCGGACTTGATCTGAGGGAGACGTTGTCAATACTTACCATGGGTACAGCATTGCCATCTTTGAGTGGAAGCGTGGGGATCTGCATCGTTCGAGTGGCCAGAGACCGAAAATACCTCCAGTTCAAAGTTGAAGATGGCGGAGGAATGAATGAAGGAACCAAGGTGCCCAGGTTATTTGTAAGAAATCCATCGAATACCACAAGGGAATGGAATGTGGCCTTTAAGAGGGTCGGTCGAGAGGGTGCAAGCAACGGCATAATGGCAGCCTAGTCAATGGCACAGTCAGTTGCACGTCAAAAAGCTGCTCCGCTTGCTTTTATATGCACTACCAACCAAGTAGTGTGGGCAAGGGGTAACTCGTCCTTGACTGGTTGAACACGCCCTTCTTAGGCTCTTTGGGCTCCCTTGATTCTGTACGCCTGCCCTGGACCGGAAAGGGTCGAGATACGGATCTTGTAAAGAGTAATGCTCCTGGAGAAGTCTAAGAATAATAGTTGTTGTTTGAAGAAAGACGAAAAATTATAAGAAGCAATATTCTCTTACTGCTACAATTGAGAATAATAGGAATACAAGTGTAACATAAGGAGTAAGACCAGATAAGCATAAGATCAGATTCTTGATGAATAGCCTAGTCAAATCTGAACAATGGCAGATTAAAGTAGGTAACGGAATCTACTATTTCGTACGGGATCCTCTGGATTTGCACCATCTTCCATATCCAATCTTTTGTTTTCTCTACCAAGAACAATACGTAAAATCGTAGCAAAACAAAGTGACATGGCAAGCATGGCTATATTGATGCAAAACGCTTTGGTATATCGCGGCGAGTCGGAGTCTTAATTTGCACCGGTCAGCTTTGTGATAGACCGCCAAATAACAGGAGATATTACCAGGATAGAAGTAAGATGTATAGATTGAGCATGCATTACTTATACAGTTGATAATAGCAATTGCAGATGCACGTTTGTCCGCTGGCCTCGGAATAACTGTCGTCTAATGAGTCAATACATTCTCAAGACCTCAAGAAATTGGTCTTACCGTTGGAAATGTATCCCAAACATACCACGTAGCCAGAATAGACTGCTCCAACTACGAAACACATCGCGCTTGGGAGCTGTCAATCTCTTTGCAAAGGGTGGGTATCTTCGATAGAGCAGCCAGACTTACACATAGCGAGGCGCAAAAGATGTCGTCGAGACACCTAAAATGAATGATGCAATAGCGAGCACTGTAGGCAAAATTATGTGGAGATATCGTTCGCCGGTTTTGTCGGCATGCCAAGCATTGATAAACAGCATCACGGCCCCAATCAAATAAGGCGGCGTCGTTAAAAGTAGCGTCTCAACGGTGCCTTTACCTAACCCTTTCATAACGCTAGAATCGCTTCTTAGTAAAAAGGTGCGCAGGCATATTTGTGATTTCAGCCATCTAGACTTGGATGCGCTCACGTTGGAAAAAATGTGGTTATGGATCCGGCGGATGTCGAGCCATACACTGACCCAAGAAGCAGCCAGACCTTATAATCGCTACGTGAGGGAAAGGTTAGCATTGGCGATTCCCAAATACAAGGGTCAACTTACCAGAATGCTGCCCTTGCCCCCATTATGAAGGACTGATGATTGCTGTCTACCCAATCATCCTCTCCTATATCTGCTTCCAACCTCCACACAGCTAGTTTCTTCTCCTGGCTATTGAGCCAAGGCGTAGTGCGAGGCAGGTCCGGGAGAATAAAATAGGCAATAATGGCCACGGTGATCTTAAGCGAGTACAATAAGCATCACTCCTAACCAAGAACTCTGAATATATACCCTGTACACCTTCACAGCACTATCTGGCAGATGGCGCGGTACCACATCGTTGGGCATCCGGCGCAAGAACAGATATTACTGAGATGATGAATTAGCAACATTGACTTACCGTCATGCATCCCTCAATGATGAAGAGCCACCTCCATGCCGAGAGGCCACGAGTTCCGTCGAGGTTTTGAGTAATCCCCGCCGCAAAAAGTCCTGAAAAGGCACCTGATATGATAGAACCAGAGTAGAGTAGCGCAGTTCGCTTGACCAACTCCTTTCGAGTGTACCAGCATGACAACAGATACAAACAGCCAGGCTAGATATTGTTAGCTTACCCTTTAGAAAAACACGATGCGTGCCTCATTCGGAAGCCCTACAAAATAAGCTGCTTCTATAACTCCAAGCAGAAGTCGACAAGCCAACAAGCCGCCAAAGGTCGTTGTCGCTGCTGTTGCGGTTGACACGATACCCCAAGCTACCATGCAGCTTGGAAGGTACAGAGAAGGCTTTCCGAGTTTGTTCAAGACAAGATTAGAAGGAACTTGGAGTAAGTCAGCTCAATGATGCTGCGTGCTACATAAGAAAAGGCGGGCCACGAAACCTTGCATCAGAATATAACCAACGAAAAGGATGCTAACTGCTGTCTTGGGTTGAATCAGCATAACGAGCATTTGAATGAATGCTGGCACATGTGTGCGTGTTTCGGAGGTATCACCTCGTATTGGTTTCCGTGAAGTCTCAGGTCTGTCTGCATACCGGCCAGTTTGGCTGAAGCAATGTTGTTGCGATCGAGATAATTGAGAATGTACATTAAAATTGTCATGGTCAATAGTCTAACGTCCACTTTTCTGATCATTTTACGTTCCATTAGATTCCTCTCGCTGTCCGTCATATCCTGGAAGGATAATGACTCCGAGAATCCGGATAATTCTAGCTGTGTAGTCTCGCTCTTTAGATTCTCCATTGGTAAATATTTTGAATCGCGTTAATTCCTGAATTGGCAGAAGTTGAATGGAAGAACAAAGCGAAGAATAAAAGTTGGGTGAATACAAAGGGTGGCATTGCAGACAAACCGTGTAAGGCGTCCTCCTCTCTGCGTATATTTCAACCCGGGCAACACCCACGCGGCTAAAGGTCCGAGGAGACTGCATCGAAAGCAAAGAGAAATACTACATATCTAATAGGTCAGAGTATTTAGCTAAACTTGGCAATGAATGTCTCTTTTCTTAAGCCTAATCATATGATTCTTCTCCTAGCCGGGATATTAATGGCTATTTTGCTAGCCCGGTCGATCATGTTACGAGGTTGGCGCATCTCCTGGTCCTTGGTCCATTCTAGATCGCCAAAAGTCTTCCCCCTTTTTTATTCCTGTTGCACTTTGTGGTTTGTGAGGCATTTTCTTTCCGCTGGTTTGGTCCGATTTGGGGTCGCTTAAGCACCCCGCTTGGAGTAGAGCCAGTTATTGTGTACAGAGCTTGGCGATCGACTTCTTTCTCGAATGCATGTTACGCGGATGTTGGTGTATTGCGGGGATAAGGTTGTTTTCCCCACGTGGAGACGGAATCAAGTTCCCCTTCGAGCAGCCACTCCCCGCAAGTAGGCTCCTTGCGTGCATTAAATGCAAAAACTACGCTTCCATTTCCATTTTCTGTATCCTAGGATCCTAGAACTCCAGATTTAGTGGCATATAGTTCTTTTTTTTGGGGGTTGAGTAATCTCGCGTTAAGACGCTCGCCAACGTTTAGTTTCCACACAACTAAAAAAGAGACCAACGCCAGCATGTTTAATAGTAGTGAAAATAAATAAGTGAATGAAATGGAGCTGATCAAGAAGCCCTTCCTCCATTTCCCATTGAAAATTGTCAAATGTGAGTTCTTATATACATAACCACCACTTGTGAGATAATAGCGGCTTCCCGATAAACAACAGTTTCTGGGTTTTCGACCTCGCCTCTGTTTACATTTGTTACAATCTCAACATACAGACACATGAGATATATTGTTAATTATAGACATACTGAATCATACCCTGCGTCAGGCGACGTTCTCCAGGGCTCGGCCCTGTATACTTTTGAGATCTCCCGGTAGTGACGATATCCAGGTATATGACATGTTGGAGCGATCTAACATGATGACTCAACACATAATTATCGTATTCTACAGCAGAAGTTAGCTGAAGTTCTGAAGAGAGAGCATTGAACTACTTTCTATATGAAACACTGCTCGTATAAAACTCTTTACCAAACATGTTTTGCTTGCCTGAAGAGGTAGAATTTAGTAATATATCCACAATAGTTCGGTAGCCATTACTCACCAACATACTGTAGGCAAAATGAACATTTGAAAAATGGAACAGAAATGACATTCGAGTTGATAACAAGCATTCAAATGCTGGTTGTCATTTCCAATGCGACAAGCATGCGTCGTTTCATGAAAGAGGTTTTGCACTTCTGAGCCTCCCGTACAGCTCTCAATTTAGTTTCTAGAAGAGGAATTTGAATAAGCAATGTTTCCATCTTTGACAGAGAGCATATACCTACGTGTAAGCTCTAATACGACTTCCCCGCTCTGCCAATGTCTTATTGTCTATTGGTTCTGGTCATGGTATTTATATATACATTAAACGTGCTTTAAAACCCGGTTCTCGAAATATCTAACTGCCTTTACTGTCCTTGGAGCCTCTTCTCTTACTTCGGCTACTTAATACCAACTTTCCCCCCCTTGTTAGCCAACGTCCTACGTGGAGTAATAATGGCCTCTCTTGGTATGGACGCCAACTGGAAATACTTTGCCAAGTCTGCGAGTAGCCTACTCAATGTATTCCAATGATGTCCCTTTGTAACCTATGTCTAATTGGTCGTTCCTAGGAGTTCTGCAACAAATAGGGTCGCCTTGCGTCGTATTGTGTTCACAGCTACTTCTCACGACTAGGGATTTTGTGGCGACGAATCAATGCGAGGCAAATATGAAGGATCCTTCCCTGTTTTTGCGACACGAGTGATCGCTCCCAGGGGCCATCTCCGGGTGCCAGAACATGACGTTCAGTCAAATATAATTGGCAGTCAAGTCTTCAAAACACATATCAACTGTTGGGCTTATCATAATTCTGGCCTCGTAAGCCTCGACCCTAGCAATGATGTGGCCGCGAGTCATGAGTGGTGGTTTTCGAAAATCGAGAGCAGAGACTGGATCCAAATCGTGCTGGGTGCTTTCTTTCCAGGCTGGTCAAACTATTTCAAAGAGGCCCGCATTGAGATATGGACAGAAAATTGGCATGGTTCTCGCTATTTTAACTAAGTTCTATGCCCAAAGGTCAAGTAGTTTGATAACGTTTATATACCATCTCGCTATGTGTTCCAAATACATACGACCATAGGTAGTGGAGAATTCGGGGTCCCGTCTGCTCCCCCATAGACAAGCCACTAACCGGCAGATTAGTAGTTGAGTGGGTGACCATCAGCGAACACCGGCTGTTGTATGTTTTTATTTTTTGCATTATCTGCCATGAGGTTATCGTGGCTGTTCTATGATTGCCGGTAGCAACGCATTCTGGCACATACGACCATATCCATTGGAATATACGGGATCCCGTCCGCTCTCCCAGAGTCAAGCCAATGAGAGGCAGATTAGTAGTCAGGTGGGTGACCACTGGCGAACACCGGCTGTTGTATGTTTCCTTCTTTTTTTGCCCCTTTTTTCTCAATATTTCCAAGATTCCCATTGCCATTTTGATGCTCTTCTTCAATTTCTGTAAGAAAAATCCCCCTTTGGGCGGGAACATAACGAGACTACGAGAAAACAAGCAAGCGGTGTAGCATTCTGCCAGGCAGAATGATAGTGGGGTCTACACTTTATTTTAGCTCCAAGCGCTGCCTTGCCATACAACTCGCAGTTACCCCACTAGAGCTTCCATAGTTCACCACCAGCTTCTTGGCTGTAGCTCGTTATAATCCTTCTGCTGCCTGCCATTCCCCTGGTTTCATCGCTTCGAGATTCCTGTGATATTGGCAGTTTCTTCTCGCAATAGCAATACACCAACGCTCCTCACTTCTCTGCCCATCGCCGGCAACAATACCAATCAATCAATCACAGCCTTCTAGCCAGCACAAACAATACGCCACCATGTCGTACGTCACTCTGGCCCAGCAGGGTCTCAGTGCTGCCGAGTCGCGCAACTGGGATGAAGCCGTGGCCAAGCTTTCCACGGCCCTCCAGAGCTCTACAAATCCAGCCTGGCTCGTTGCCCGTTCAAAAGCCCTGGTTGGACTCGAGCGGTACGAAGCGGCGCTGGACGATGCTGACCTGGCGTGGCACACTGCCTATGAGCGCAACAAGCGTGATCTCATGGCCAGCGCCCAGTACCGCCGCGGCGTGGCCTTTTACCACCTAAAGCAATATGCAAACGCCGACTACTGCTACCTGCACTGCATGAGGCTCATTAAGGGCGGTCCAGCGGTGCCCAAGGAGGATCCTGGCCTGAAGCATGTGGATGACGGCGGATTCTGGAAGGTGACTGCAGACGAGGCCACTGCTCATGCTCGCAGCGAGGACATTGGCAAACAGGACGATGCTCTCAAAACCGCCATGGGACAGTCTCAGTCTCAGCCACAGCACAGAGAGTGGCGAATGGCCAGTGCCATGCGAATCCAGGCCTTGAAGGCAATGGAGAAGCTGCCAGAGGACGATGCGGGAAGGAAATTGACGACAGCCTTGATTCCCGAACAAAAGAAGCTCGCCGTCCACAAGTCTGATAAGGCTCAAGACGAGACTTCACAGGCTAAGTCCCCGGCGGCAAAGCCTGTGGTTCCCAGCGATGCACCACTTCGCCTTCAGGATTTCCAAAGCAACACGGCCATGTCTGTTTCCATCTTCTCAAAGGGCGTCAATAAGGAGAAGCTAAAGGTGGAATTTCTCGAAAGCTCCGTTCGACTGGGCCCTCTCATCTACCCCAACGGCGACGAGAAGGAGTTTCAGCTTCATCTGTGGGGAGAAATTGATCCCTCCAAGTCCAAGTTTACCGTCACTCCCAACAAGGTCGAGCTAAGCCTGGCGAAGAAGACGGCCGGTAAATGGCCAACTCTCCAGTCTGATGGATCCCCAGCAGCGCAACCTCCAGTAGCAAAGCCTGCCGTTGTAACAGCGTAAGCTCTCATTCATTCATTCTTGCCTCCTTGCTTTCTCTCTGGTATATATATCACCGGCTAACTGAAAACTTCAGACCCGAGACCAAAAAGCCGGAATCTGTCGTCGATTCTGTCAAAAGCGAGCCTTCAGAGCCTTCAGAGCCTTCAGCTGCGAAGCCATCCTACCCCACGTCCTCTCGCTCTGGTCCTAAAGACTGGGACAAGGTCGGCGAAGACGAGAATTCAGATGATGATAGAGACATCAACTCTTTCTTCAAGAAGCTCTACAAGGGAGCTACCCCCGAGCAGCAGCGCGCTATGATGAAGAGCTTTACCGAGAGCAGCGGAACATCCCTGAGCACGAACTGGGACGATGTCAAGGACAAGAGGGTTGAGACTGTCCCACCCGATGGTGTCGAGGCAAAGAAATGGGAGTAGTTAACTATTACTACATCCAGCAAGTTTTCAGCGAAGTTGTCGGAGAGAATTGGAACAAGTGATTATCTAGATTGATTGACGACGCATTCAAGTGTGTATTATGTGCGCGGCGCACGAAACGGAACAAAAATGGGATTTGCTTTTATCATTGTTGCTAGCTTGCTTTATCATATCATACTGACTCGAGATAAATTCTGTACTATACACATATTTTCATTTCTCATTTCCACTTTGTCTGTCTATTGTTGCCGTGCATTCAAACATGGCAAACATTCTATGCTACACACATGCCGCATAAACATCATCACGCTTCCACGCCAGGATCAAGCTCCTTGACCATCCTCACAACATCCTCATGCCACGCACTCTGCTTCAACCTATGCTGCGCCAATCCCGGCGTCCACGGCTGCTCCCCACGATACTTCTCCGCCATCCCCTTGGGTATATGCGCCGCCCTCGACAAAAAGTCCTCGGCGGCAATATACGCTCCTCTCAGCCATCTCGACCCTCCACCCTGCGCCGACACATCAAACGCATTCCGTCCATGCAGCACGCGCAAGTTGTCGAAAAGCACACAGTCACCAGGCTCCATCTTGTGCTCGTGGATGGCCTCCTTGTCATTAATCAGCGAGGCGAAGATGCGCGCCGGCTCAATCCACTGGCGAATGTCCTTGACGGGGCTGAGATACTTGCCCTGGAAAGGAGGCGACCAGTACACATTTGAGAAGCCAGCGGTGTTACCGTCAAGCACGTAGCGAGAGCTAAAGTAGTGGTAGCCGTTTTTGCCGTACTGATAGGGAACGTGGTGCTCGGCCAGGGGCGCCATGCGATGTCTGGTGATGAAGGGCCAGAGCAGACGACCAACGCGCTCGCCGTCGCTGAAGAGAGATTCGCCGCCGGGGCACGAGTTGTCCATGCAGTGCAGGACTTGGATCATGGGCGGCGGGTCGAGATACAGGAGATCCTGGTGCAGACCAAGGTAGCCGCTCGTGTAAGCGACGTTCTCGGCGTTGGGCTTCGCGCGGACGTCAAACGTGCGTCCGTAAAACGTCTCGCGAATGTTTGCAATGCGAGTCGTGATGCGCACAATAGACTCTTCATCTCGCGGCACATTCTTCAGATAGACAAGGCCGAAGCGACAAATGTCAATGATGACGTCCCAAAACGCTTCGCTATTGTCCTTCATAAACTCTGCGTAGTCAATCCTGCGCACCTGCTGGGCAATCGTCTCGCGATCCCAGTACACAACCCCCGTGCGCCGCAGGACAGATCGCTTGCGAGGCAGACGCACATCCTCCATGCCCTTGCGCTTGAGCGACAGGTCGACCGATTCCCAGGGCAGAACCATGACATGTTCCTGGCCATTCTCCACAAACCGCGGGATGTCGTTCAGGAATTTGATTTCCAGGCCCTTCTTCGTCGGCTTGACGTGCTCCAGCCCAATCTCGACGGGAATCTCGACCGACGAAAACGTCTTTTGGCCCGACGACGTGTCCCTGCATCGCGGACAAGCACAGCTATCCCGCAGCGTCGCAGGCTTCAGCGTCCGGCGGCCATTCTCCGTCGCCGGATCCTCCACAAAGAGAAACTTGTCCGTCCAAGCAACCGACACAGGCCCATTCTCCTCAGCGCCATCCAAGTCGTGATACGTAAACCGCTTGGCATGCTTCGGCGTCTCCAGCTTCGGCCAGTACCGCGCGGCCGAAGTCGCAGTCTGTTGCGGGCCGCCCAGAGCAGCCGCTTCCTTGGCCTGGATTCTCCTTGACTGCGGCCTGTACTGTGTCTGCGTCTGCGTCTCCTCCGTCTCTGTGTCTCTCTGCGGCTGTCTTTGTCTCTGCTTCTGGCTTTCTCCGCGCTGTTTCCAGGGGGCCTGAGTTCCCACGCCGCGACAAGCCGCCGCCACTCTGACTTTGGCCTTTGCCGTGGCTGCGGCTCTGGCTTGTGAAGTGCGAGCCAGCGACAACATCGTGATAAGGTTGCTGCTGGTGACTTGGCGAAGCCGAAAGTTGCAGATAGTAATTTTAAAGAGCCGCCTGTAAATACAAATAAAAATTGCAACGACACGTTAGTCGTCTTATGAGCAGGACAGGCGGATGAGTTGAGAAAGTCGCATGTCATGCCGTTTTTTGCGCTAACAAGAGAAGAGAGCTGAGTGGACCGAGGCACAGACCCGGCAAGAAGTGTACGACGTGAACCCGCTAGGAAATATTATGACCTTGCCAAAAACTGGGAATCAACTGAAAACCAACGTCATTACTAATTTAGCCTGCATTGAATTGTTTTCTTAGCTTTCTCAGCAGTTACTCGGATGATGTTGAGAATCGAACGGCCATTGATTCGGCTCAAAGGAACAAATCAGCCACCTCCAACCCCTCCATCTCAGGGTCCTACCTATCCAGGCAACCTCTGGCGTTGGCAGCATTCACATTGTTAAACAAAGTCCAGTCCAGTCTATGTTCAATACATTGTGTTTTATTGAATGAAATACATTTTCATCTTGAAAAAGCAAATGTACCCTTGTAGCTCGATCCAGATTCATTCCATCATTACTCATATCCATTAAAAGGCACGTCGCTGTCATGTGTCCAACTCCTGTTTGCATACATATACACCCAAGTATCACTTTACTGTTACAACGCAAGTCGGACAAATAAAAAAAAAACAGAGAGACGAAAAGAGAGGGACTGAAAGTAGGGGTCCAAGGTCTCTTCATCGATTTCGATTGCTCGACCATCTCTTTACCATAACCTCTCTGATCTTGTACAATTTCATCGCCTCCGTAATGCCATCCTTCAACGCCTCTTCAAATTTATGAGGAGGCGGCACATCCACGTAGATTAACACCAAGCTCTTGGTGACGTGGGACAAGACTCGCACAACGCTGTGCAGCCACGACCACGGCTTTCGCGGGCCTTGTCTTCCTTCTTTCTTCCACCATGCATCTGAATACGAGGGAATGACAATCAGGCCAAACTCGGCGTGATCAAACACTGGACCCCTGGTGTAAAGGAGCCAATCGACTCCAAATTTGATGCCCCCACGAGGAACCCATCCCAGAGATCTGAAATGATGGTAGACGGCATAGTGAACCAAGAATCCATCGTCCGGCTCCAGATCGGGTTCGTCAGGGCCATTGCGGGGAGGAAAGTATGAATATTGCCGGAATAGAGAAAAGAGCTCTTGGCGCGACAGCACTCTGCCAGATGCAGGGTCGGTAACTTCTAAAACACCAAGGCCAAAGGAAAGGAAGAAAGCTTCCTCTGGCGTCAACTGGAGATGTTCCTTATTGATAATGGGGTCGGACACAGGTACGCTTGCCAATGGAAGTGAGGGCAGGGTTTGGCTATCTGAGTTGCCGTTGCCATTGGCTTGGGATGGCTGGGAAAACAACACTGGAGGCGAGCGGTTGGGGCTTGGAGGATCGGATGCCTTATACGTTGCCGATTCCACGGTGGGAGAGAATCGAACGCTCTTTCTGCGGTTCAGCGTCTTATTTCCCACGCCATCACTCGATGAAATTACAGATCTATCATCTCTAAAGACTTCTGGAGTTTCGTTGGTGATGGGGGTTCGGGGCTCTTCGGAGTCTTCCGTTGATGAACCGTGAGGAGAAGAAGACGATTCGTTGGCTTTGGACGCATTTACTTTGGCAAGCTTGGCAATATCGGCAGCAGAGTTCGGGAGTGCCAAAAGCTGCAGCGGTCCAACAGGTGCAAGAATCGATATTGGTGTCAGAATCGACTCTAGGCGCGATACAATGACTGCTGAATTTGGAAGTGCGAGGAGCTCCAACGGACCAACAGGCGCAACGAAGCTTGGGGTAGAGTCTGGCACAGCCTTGTCCTTTTCTGCACGGCGGCTGGATGCGGCCAGCCGCTCCTCTTCCAGCTTTGTCCGCAAAATGGCCTCTTGCTCAAGTCGCGCACGCTCCCACTTGGCTTGAGCTCGCTCCTCTCGCCTCTGTTGCGTAAAGATTTCGCTGACATGGACTTCCTGGAGTCCTCTTTGGACTTGTTCTCTCTTAAGCCAATTGGGCTCACTGCGGCTCAGGTTGCCCTTTCCGTAGAAGCCTTGCTCCCACAAGGCCCTCATAGACTTTTCGTCTTTGATGTGTACTGAGATTGTCGTCTCAGACCAGACGCCATGGTGGATCACGGCAGGCTCTGCGGGCGGGGGTCGGAAAACCTGGCCCAGCCATGCATAGGCAACGTGAAACAGCGAAATGGGGTTGTTGGGATAGAAGGTTGGGAGGGGGAAGGTTCGGATGGGTGCAGGAAGCGCGTATATCTGGTGGATAGATGGACCTCGCTTTTGCTGCTGCGCAGCCGGAGCTGGAGCGTCAGATGGGGGCTTGGCTTGAGCTTGAGCCGGAGCCGCAGAGTTTGGCTGCAGCTCAGCCGAAGCCTTGCCAATAGAAGGGGGCTCGGTTTGGACTTGCATCTCAGCCATTTCGGACTGGGATCATTTTGACCTTGACCTAGAGGAGCTTCGGGTCAGTGTTTTAGCTCCAAAAATTGCTGCATTGGGACAGTGTGCCAAGAATAGATGAAAAGCAACAAGAATTTCCACCACTGTATCAGATACCGTTGTAGTCTATAATCAAATGGCAATCACAGAGGTCTCCAAATGAATGGTCGCTCTTTGCACAAATGGTAATCATCATAACAGTGGGAGGGAAAAAAGGGCTGAAGGTGAAAGAAGGGGAGCTTTTTTTTTTTTTTTTTTCAAGAAGCTTCTGCGTCCGTCCATCGCTCAAGACGCAGGCACAGAGCCGTTTTTGGGGGTGGAAGTTGAGTAATAACAAGCTCAAGCTTGGATGGAAATGTTGTAAAGGAACTGACGAAGCAAAAAAATCGAAGAGGGAAAAAAAAGAAGAAGAAAAAAAATAGAAGGCTCAACTTACTTCTCTCAAGACATGGCCTGGTAACGACGACGCTCCTCTGCAGGATGAGCCCAGCCGGATCTCATCCAAGACGTTCCAGAAAGGCAATAGATGCTCTACCAGCCTGGAATCCGACAAGAGGAGGATGTCGGGGCGCAAGAAATTTCTTTGCTTGTTTATAGGAAAAGAAGTAAGAAGAGGGAAATTTTTTCTGCTCACAAAGGGATTTTCTTCGGCGGTTGGTCGGAGAAAGCCGCTAAAACGGGGCCCCGGAGCGGATGCCTGGAGCGCCAGGCGTCAAGAAATGCGAGCCCTGGGTGGGCAGATGCAGCCAAGCATGCAGTCTGCAGAGGCTACAGGCGGCACAGCGCCCTGGATCTAGGGCACATCGGCAGGCACCGCAAGGCACGGCGAGCACTACAGGCCGTCCTGCAGCATCGAGCGATCCACTGAGAGCGTTTGACGTGTGGGCTCACCGCTGGGGGGTCAGTGCCTAAAGACGCCGGGTTTGCCTCCATCAGATGCTGCCAGCCCGGATCTTCCGACAGGTGAAGAAGCATTTCCGGGGAGATGCAATGTGTTGCCGGAGCCGATATGTGCATTCCGATATGTTATCTAGTACTAATATAAGCTCCAAATACCTCTGCTACTAGTTATCGCGCCAGCTGGGAGCAAGACAGCTGAGCCCGGCCCTACATAAGCCCCTACAAGACTCCATCATGGGCTGGCTTGAAAAATGACGTAAAGACAGCTCTCATGAGTTCTCCCTTTTGCTGTGCTTGTGACCCTTCTAGCTAGTACTTCGCGTATTAACATACTACTAAGACACACTGTATCTCCCACTACCCGCCTGGCGAAGCTTCCAGGGCTACTATCCCAGGCTTCCATCCGCTGTGCTAAGCCTATCCCAGAGATGGCCAGGGTCATGCTCTTCTTTTTTCCCACGTCCTATGGCTATCGTCGACCATCTTGGGCAAAGCCTCTCTTCCCGCTACTCTTTCTCGACACGAACCTCGACTTCGGCGCTGGCTTGGGAAAAAAAAAAAAAAAAAAAAAGACCCGCGAGCTCGAGTGGGCTTGTCTTCCTCGTTAATCTTACTCTGCCGAATAAGCCGCCGTCTGCGCGACTTACTCGCTGTATTTTATCGCTTCATTACTTGCTACTTGTCCACTACCATCACCCCGCCTCGTCCTAATCTTCTTGACTATACAATACACGATCCTTACCTACCTCACCTTATATACCCACTCTATAATGTCCCAACAGTCCCTCCCTATGCGCAGGTGATAGTTTTCCGCCCCCAGTGAAGCAGTAATGGTCATCCGTCGATCCTAGACGACGACATGTTTGATACCATTCACGTTGTGGCCACGGTTTGCCTCGTCTGGTCCGTGGTCGTCGTCTTCGTCCAAATCGTCGGCATCAGCGCCATGTAAGCCTCTCTCCAGCCTTCACCTTCACACCAGCTTGTCGCCTCGGCGGGCATCAGGCTAATACTTCACGGCCCCCTCCTGCTAGATTCAATCGCTTCTCGCGCCGAGCTCGCCCATCCAGATCCTCCGGCCTTGGCGCCGATGCGCCGAGCGTCACTATTATTCGGCCGGTCAAGGGCCTGGAGCCCTGTCTATACGAATGCATCGCCTCGACCTTTCGCCAAAACTATCCCCAGGACAAAATCTCGATTCGGCTCTGCGTAGAAGACATCAACGATCCGTCATACCCGGTCCTCCAGCAGCTGATCCGCGACTTTCCCTCCCACGATGCGCAAATCCTAGTCGAGAACCAAGACCCGGTCCTGCACGGCCCCGACGGCCGCGTCAACACCCTGGGACCGAACCCGAAGATACGAAATATCAGCAGGGCCTATCGCGAGGCTCCAGGCGAGGTCATATGGATCATCGACTGCAATGTCTGGGTTGCCAAGGGCGTCCTGGGGCGCATGGTGGACAAGCTCATGGGCTACTCCAGAGCCGGTGAATCAGCACAGCCTTACAAATTCGTCCATCAGCTGCCCATTGTCGTCGATGTCGTCGATTACCAGCAAGATTCCTCCGCCGAAAGCCAAAACTTCCTTGGAACCGCCGCCGAGACATCCTCTCCGACCAACGAGACACTATGGCAGCGAATATCCAAGAACGGCGGTGGCCGCCTCGACGAAATGTTCATGGCCACCACTCACGTCAAGTTCTACGGCGCCATCAACATCGTTGGAGTCGCCCCGTGCATTGTCGGCAAGAGCAACATGTTCCGCAAAGCTCACTTGGACCAAGTCACCGATCCCGCCCGGAACCCCATTCTCCCAAAAGATTTCGAACGCCCACGCGGCGTTGACTACTTCTCGCATAACATCTGCGAGGACCATCTGATAGGCGACCTCCTCTGGCGCTCCAACATTCCCGGCTATGCAAACCACGGCATCGCTTGGAGTGACTTGGTTTTACAGCCGATGGCGGGCATGTCCGTGTCTGCATACGCTGCTCGGCGAGTACGTTGGCTGCGAGCTCGAAAATTCACGGTGCTGGCTGCTACTCTGGTCGAACCCGGCGTTGAATCATTACTATGCTGCGCTTACTTTGCTTTTGCCGTTACTACCCTGCCCTGGTTCAAAGATTCTATCCCGCAGACATGGTCGGCCATGGCGATAATTTGGCTCATCTCCATCACCGCTTGGATGACCATAGACTGGTTCACATTCAGACTCTTACACACAGGCCGCACCATTGAAACCGACGAAAACACTCCACAATTCGCGTTTGGCTCATCCAGCCCGCGAGGCCTCCCCAGGCGCCGTTTCCTAGAATGGCTGCCGGCGTGGATTGGAAGAGAATTCATGGCTCTGCCAATCTGGACCTTGGCAGTGCTGCTTGGCACGACAGTGAGCTGGCGAGGGAAAGTGTTCCGCGTCCGGTTGGATACAACCGTCGAAGAACTGCCGAGCGGAACGCCAAGAAGAACAACGCGGACGCCAGAGCTGGAGAAGGCTAGGCAAAGGAGTAAAGATAGACTGGATTGATGGGATGGAGAGGAAGTGCTTGTTAATTCTTAATGTGGCGTAATACGGAACGACATGGATTGATTATAAAAACGATACTATTAGACTAGACGGGGCCATTGGGAGAGTTTATGATTGGAGTGGGCGTTTAAAGTGTCAAACGAAACAGTTCTTTATACGTATTTTCGTGCTATAGACATACTAATAAAAGAGGTGGATGAGTAAATACAAAATCTCAACAAAACTCGCTATCAGATAATGAACGAACATGCTAATAAAATGAAATGAAATGAGAACAATCATTAGAAACATGACAAGGAATATATATATATAATATATATATATATGTATATATAAGGGAGGGGGGGAAAATAATAATTGTATCTCATAATCTCATAACTTCATATATCCAAATTCTTCAACCAATGCTCCCTCAACTCTTCTCCACATTTGTAGCCTCTACGCTTCCAAACACGCTCGCCGGGACGAGCCTCGACCTCTTCGCAATAAGATCCGACAGCTGCATCATGGACAAGGAGCTCATCAGCTCCAACATCTGGACATGTCCTCCCAGATAACCCGTGATCCAGTTCCGCAGCTCAACTGAAATGAGGGAGTCTACGCCGTAGCTCGACACTGAGCGGTCCGACTGGATCTCCTTTGTAGGAACGGCCAGCAGACCGGCGAGCTTCTCCTTCAGGCCGGTGTATACGGCTTCGACGGCGACTTCTGCGCTAGACGCGCTCCGGAGGACGGCCTGCACATCAAGGGCATCTTCGCCATTCTTGGAGACGCGAGGTGCCGCGCGAGACCAGACGTGTGCGAAGCGAGCGTCTGGTCGTCGTGTGGTGGGAGATGCAGGATCTGGGGCGAATTGGCTGGCGCCGCAGACGATCTGTGCCTGGGATGGATTCGCCACAATGGGGTTCTGAATAGCATAGTTGATCACCGCGAGGACTTCATCGATTGTCTGTGGCTGGATATCAGAAGAAGGCGGTGCGTTTCTAGCATCATCCGAGGTTTCTTGCTGCACTATGCCAATATTGATTGCTTTGACGGGGAACCCCTGAGAAGCTTGGAATCGGGCAAAGCTATCTCGGAATGCGCCAATAGCACCAGCGATGCCCTGCTCAGGGCTACCCACAACTAAGGAAGTGCTGTTGAGTAAAATGAAGAAGTCAAGCTCCGAGCCGAAAGCATTTTGGAGGCTGAGGATGCCAGCGGTTGTGGACTCAACTGCAGCGGACCACTGAGAATGAGTGAGACCTTTGAGATCCGCAATCTAATTATCATTCTTGTCAGCTTCTCCTTCTGTGGAACACCAGCCATGAAAGTAGTATCACTTACGTGAGTCTCAGAATCTCCGAGAATTATGCCCTTAAGGGGTACTCCTACGCTTGCCTCCTTGAGCTGATCAGCAAAAGGCCTGTCAGAGACATTGCCAGGAATAATGGCAATATCTGCGCCTAACTTCTTGATCTCATCTGCCAGAGCTTCAATGTCTGATCCTTGCCGCGCAATGAGACGACAGGCTCCCAGCTTCGCCAAATACTTCGCAACGGCTACATCCAGACTTCCATTACCTCCGGCAACAAAGTAGGAGCTGTTCTCTCGAAGTGCCGCAGACTTGGGCTTCTGAGGTTGAATCTTGAATCAGGTTAGTAAAACGATGAGCATGAAACCCTGTAGTGAGTATTCAACTTACCTTCAAGGGAAGGCTAGAGTCCAACTTAAACACCGCCTTGCCCAGTTGGTCACCCGCTTGCATAACTCGAAGCTGCTGAGCAACATTGGAAGCATGAGAGGTAGTGATGGGGCTGATCAGAGCCAAATTTCCTTCCTGGATCATGTTGAAAGAAGTCTGTAGCAGCTCTTCAAACAGCGTAGGCCGTTCCCTCGCGAGGAATGCCATGTTTACAACAGAAAGAGAAGCATTTTTCTGGAGGGCCTCCAGGCCAAGCCGGCCGTTGTTTGCAACATCTCTTTCGCAAAGCTGAACGATTCTGCCAAAGGAGGCTACAGCGCTGCAGCTCTCCGAAAATGCGTCTCCAGAAAGAGAATTGAGAATAACATCGACGCCCCGACCGTTCGTCTGCTTGAGAAGGCGATCGCCAAAGTCTATGTCTCGACTTGAGAAGATGCGTTCAGCGGGGATGCCAAAAGTCTTGTTGACGAGCTCTGCCCTGTCTGGACTTCCAACAGTAACAAAAATGTCTTCAGCGCCAAGGGCCTTTGCGAGGGTAATCGCTGCCTGGCCGACTGCTCCCGCTCCAGAGTGAATCAAGATAGTCTCGCCTCGCTGAAGCCTGGCAATGTTCCGGAGAGCATAGAGCGCAGCTGAATAAGCCAAAGGAATGGCTGCCGCAATGTCGCTGGCAATACCGTTGGGAATTTTAACAGCGTGACGAACATCTACGTTACTCACGGTGGCAAGTCCATTAGGGGCAAAGAAGCCAACTCGATCGCCTACAGAGAATTTTGACTGAGAAGCATCACTAACATCGATGACCGTACCACTTCCTTCAAGGAGAAGAGAAGAGCCGCCTTCAAGCTGGCCAGTGGTGGTGAGCATATCATTGAAATTCAGTGCAAAATTCTCCACACGAACTCTGACTTGTGTTGGCTTGGGAGCAGCCGCATGGACTTCATTATCCGCCCAATATAAAGAATCAAGCACCCCAACGGAGCTAATATGTAGACCCAATGATCTGCTGGCACTGGTATACATCTCTTCGCGTGGATGATGCTTTGATACAGCATCTTCAATTTGCTGATTGACCGCTTTATTCTCTAATAAACGGGGAATCACTATGCTGCCGTTATAGAAGGCAAGCTCCCACTCGGATGCAGAGTACGGCGAAGCGTTTGGCCCGAGGTACTTTTCATATACTTGCAAAATCGCAGGTGCTTCTTCCGAGCCCGCAGCACCAATGTCCAATGTGAAGAAATTGAGATCAGGCCTAGATGATCGCAAGCTGCGTGCCAATCCGGTAATGAGAGCCCGATGGGGCTCAGGCTCAGCCAGGGAGGTTCCCCTAGTCACCCACAGCACAGCTTTGGCATCAGCAAGAAGATGTAGAATTTCGTTCCAGTCATTCTCGGATGCTCTCAACAGGGCGCCTTCAGAAGCTTCAGGAAGGAATATGTAGGTTCCAGGAGATGCTACTTCTCCAGAGAGGGACATTGTAGACACGACGGTTTTGGGATACTGTGCCACTAACGCACTGCGCAACTCACTCGCCACGGAGTCTCTTTCCTTTCCAGTGAAAATAGAGATATTCTCAGTGTGCGCTTTCACTTCAATATTAGCGGCATGAGAGATGATCAAGCTCACTTCGTGCTCCTGATCCGAGTCGTAATCCTTCAATTCACATGACACACCGAAAAAGCCGTTCCTGACCAGAGCCTTATCCCACTCTGGTGTTGATACAAGAGGCGAGCTTGTGCGGCCATCTTCGGCTCCCAGCCACCAGTTCTGCAGGCGCCCGCCAAGGACTCCCCATCTCAAAGACGGCGCTGTCAGCTCTGTAAAAGCAATCTGGCCACCAGGCTTAAGCAAGCTCTTTAGTTGGCTAAGGGTATTATCAAGGTTGTGAGTTGCATGAATGGTATTTGAAGCAACAATAATGTCGAAAGAGCCAGGTTCAAATCCTTGTTGCGCAGGAGACTGCTCGATATCAAAGGGCTTGAACTCTACAACACTTTCAAATTTCTTCAGCTTCTCTTGAGCGCTTGCAATGGAAGGCTCGGAAGCGTCTGTGAAAACGTATGTCCCTAGAGTAGTAGCATAATCACGCTTTTCTCCGTAGAGGGCTTCAAGCAGAGTAGAAGTTAGGTTGCCCACTCCACCGCCGACTTCCAAGACACGCAGATTCGGCACTTTGTATTGAGCAAGCTTGAGATACTCTGCTAACTGAGTGTGGCATCTGTTGAAGCCGTCATCCTCAGAATAAAGGCGATGTAACAGGCTTTCATCGACTGGCAACTCCTGGTTTCCTCGAAGAATGCCTGGTAAGTGAGGAGCAATTTGAACCAGCAGCTGACCCGCAACACTGAGTGCTTTGTTATCGGGGTTCAAGGGCAGGGCATTGGATGTGTCTTGCTCGCGCATCCAATCATAAAAGCGTCGCAGGTGACCAGTAATCAATGTTTCATCTTCACTTGAAAGCTGGCCAAGAGTGTCTTTAATAATGCCAAGAGAGATTGAGTCAAGGTTTTTTCGCTGCTCTTGACTCTCCTGACTAAGATTTCTTTGGCAGTACTCCGCAATGGCCTCTTTGGTAGAAGAAAAGGGATCCACAAGCCACTCAACTTGGTGGCTCAAAGGGTTATCAGCGCGATTACCATCCGCCTGATAGCTTCCCAGAGATGAGAACTTGATTCCTTCAACCCGAACGATAACATTGTTTGTATTGTCAGTAGCTACAATATGAGATGAGTGCTGTCTCAATCCATATGGTCTAGACTTCGCCGCAACAGAAAGCTTATGTCCTGGCTGGAGATCAATATCTGTAGAAATGTAAAGCTCATCAATGGAGGCGACAACTTGAGGGCCGTCCAGGCCATCAGCAAGCTTTACGCCTGGAAGGGTCGTCAAGAAGCAGCCTTCAAGCGTTGTAGGATGTATGTGATGCACTTCCTGATGGCCTCCAGGCATCATTGCTTTCACATCCTGCACAGTCAGCTCACTGTTGGACTCCCAGGGGCGAGCTGAGATATTGTCGAGGTTTGCAAAGCATCCAGAATAGTCATTGCCAGAGGCACTAAGTAGTTTATACAGTTGATTAGACTCGAGTTGAGTCCAAGAATTTGAACCGGCTGGGTTCTGAAGAGAACCGGCTGCATCTTCTGTCTTGATATCCAGCTTTCCCAAATCTTCCGACAGAGCAATCAAGCCTCGGCAATGCTCAGTCGATTCGTTATTTTGAGAGATGCTATAGATTCTGAACTCTTGCCACTTTTGGCTAGAATCACGAGATGTTACAGAGTAAGGTCTCAAAAGGGTAATGACTTCAGCGCCAAATGCGTCTTCTTGGATAAGAAGAGGTCTATCAATGACAATATGCTTGAATTGTATGACTCTCTTCATCCAGGGGCGATTTGACGTAATAGACTGACGTTTCAGGGCCTCCACAATCATGGCCAGAAAGCCAGCTGCAGAGTATAGGACTTGACCATCGATAGAATGACCCTTAATCCATGGCATCTCCGAAAGCCTAACATACATTCTCCAAGACGGCTCTGCGCTGATACTATCCGCAGCAGCAGTTCCAAGTAGATCATGGCGGGGGAACTCTCGCATGCGGTACACTTGGCTTCGACGGGACTCATTCCAGTGAATCTTACCGTGATGCCAGTTGTATGCCGGCAAATTTGTCAGAACCTTTGTCTGCGTGCCATGGGGGTTATTCGTGCCTGTGAGCTCAATTTTGATGCCATGGTTGAATAGACCAGCTGCAGTCGACAGCATGCTCTGGACTGCACCCTCCTTTCTCCTCAAACAAGAGAAATAAGCTACAGAAGGCAGCTCCTTGATCGTTTTTGCTATCTGTGTGGCCGGCCCTTGCAGTGCAGCGTGAGGCCCAAGCTCAACCAGAACAGTCGGTGGTACCGTAGCACTGCCGTCATTAACTTTACCATCCTTGTCCGTAACAGGTACAGTCAAGCTAAGGAGCTTGGTCAAGGCTGGCGAAAACCGGACTGGACGTAGCAGGTTGCTCACCCAGTAGGTGCCGTCCATTTCTTCGCCGCTAAGCTCTTCACATGTAACTGAAGAGATCATCCGCACGCCTGGCTTAAATTTGCGAGGCCGTAGCGACTTCAGCGCATCGCCATATAACCCCTCAATAACATTCATATGAGAAGAGTGATACGCTACTGGGACGGCTAGCTTTCGGTTGAAGATGCCATCTTCCTCCAATCTGGCGGCAATCTCTTCAATGGCCGAGATATCGCCCGAGATTGTCACACTGGTAGGGCTGTTGATGCATGCAACATTTACAGCGTGCTCGCTATACTTTGATAGATACTTTTGCGCATCAGTGTCTGACAGACCTGCTGCAAGCATTCCTCCTTGCCTTGCACCCTCTTTCCGCATGATTTGATATACAGACTGGCCTCGGTGATAGGCAGCCCTGAGGGCTTCTGGTGCAGTCAAGCTTCCAGCAGCGTATGCGGCCGCAATCTCTCCACTTGAGTGGCCACAAACTGCATCAGGATGCACGTTCCAGGAGGCAAGGAGATCAACCAAAGCGATCTGAATGGCTGTGCAAACTGGTTGCGCTAATTCAGCTTCATTGATGCGGGAATTCTCCTTGGTCTTTCTCAGCTCATCAATCAGGCGCCAAGTCGCACCCATTCGGATAAACTCCCGCTCAGACTTTTGCATCGAATCAGCAAAGAGTGGGTAGGATAGCAATCCCAGTCCCATCTCTGCCCATTGAGCTCCCTGACCTAGAGAAGTGGGATCATATCAGCATGCGTTGGCTTCACAGTATGTGGATTAGGACAAGGGGGGGCTTACCAGTAAAGATGAAACACATTCGTGCATTCGTCCAAGCTTTGACGGGGCGAAGTGATCCCAGCTCAATTTTGTTGAGCCCCTCCAAAAGCTCTTCCAAGTTGGAAGCAACAACTGCAGTTCGCTGTGCAAACCGACTTCGTCTCTCTGACAGCGTATAAGCCAAGTCGTCTAGGTGCAGCTCTTGGCAGTTTGCTTTGGCCACCATCATGAACTTCTTCCACGCATTGGCCAACTTAGAGAATCCATCTTCCCGCTGGTGACTCCACACAAAGACCTTGGGTCCTGGAGCAACGAGATCGGAGACTTTTGGGCCACGCGGTGCCCTGAGTTCTGCTGATGGTGGTGTCCCTACTACCTTGGTTGGCTCTGTCCATGCCTCAAGGATAACGTGGGTATCTGTGCCTCCATACCCTGATCCATTGATAGATGCCCGATGAATTGATCCTTCTGGCCAGTCTTGGAACTTTGTTGAAACCTAGAGAAAAGAAATTCCGAATGAGTTTGATTGCTTTTTTTTTTTTTTTTCAATCAAAGATTTTTGTGCACTTACTTTCAGTCTCCGCCGTTCTAACTCCAACCTTGGGTTTTCGTTTACAAAGGTTGGAGTGGGAACAAGTTTTCTCTTTTCAAGCATCAAGAGGACTTTTACTAAACCGGCCAACCCTGAGACACACTCGGTATGGCCCAAATTTGATTTGACACTGCCGATGAGAAGCTTCTTTTCAGAACTGTCCGAGCAAAAAGCTCGGTTAAAAGCTTCGGCTTCGCAGTTGTCTCCAGCATTGGTTCCAGTGCCTTTTTATATAGAAAAAAAATATGAGTTAGTTGAAGAAAAGCCAACAGGTTACTATGGGTTCCAATTCACCATGTGCTTCCACGTAGACTGTTTCTCGGGGATCGAGCCCAGCAACCTTGTATGCACGCTGAATAGCTGCAAATTGACTATCCGGCGACGGCATGGTGATGCCCGGAGTTTTGCCATCGGAAACAACCGCGCTACCGCGGATCACAGATCGAACTGTATCGCCATCCCGTAAGGCGGCACTAAGAGGCTTGAGAAGAAGGGCGACCACGCCCTCTCCACGGGCATATCCGCTGGCGCGAGAGTCGAAGGAATAGCATCGGCCGTCCGGGGATAGGAACCTTTGTGTTGTTAGTCAAGGCTGTGGCCGGTAAGGGGGACGCCTAAATCTTACGACATGGAGGAAATGATGGACATCTTGTCAGGGTCCAAAATTAGATTAGAGCCCCCCACCAAAATTTGGTCAGCGTCGCCAGCTCGAAGGGCGAGAATGGCATCGTGTAGGGCCACTGAAGCGCTAGAGCAAGCGGTGTCAACGGCTTTACTGGGTCCGCGCAAGTCGAAGGCGTAGGACACGCGGCTGGATACGAGAGACGGCCCTGTTCCAGTGAATCGGTACCTATACTCAAAGGTGAGCATTTGTAAAAAGGCGACAAGTTATCAAACGCTGCGGGCTCCTTTTCCTAGAGTCGGCTCGAGACTTTGGAGAGTTGGGAGGCTTGGGCGAGACTTACATTGGCGATGTCTCAGGGTCGCGACCCAGAATCTGGTCGTAGTCTGTGTAGGAGACGGCACAGAAAACTCCAGTGTTGGACTTTTCCAGTTTTTCCAAGGGGATGCCGGCGTTCTCAAAGGTTTCGTAAGCCACCTCGAGCATGAGTCTCTGCTGAGGATCTATGGCTTTGGCTTCAACTCCGCTGATGCCGAAGAAGTCACTGTCGAAGACAGCCGGGTCTTGCTGAAGAAGGTGAACGCCCCTAGCGCTGGTCTATAAGAAGAGCAGTTAGTTTGCGACGTCAAGACAGCGACAGAGACGGGGTTGAAGCAAAGAAGGGGACAAGGGGGTTGTCCCTCTCCTCATCGTCCACGCACCGAGCCCGGGAGGTGAGCTTGAGGATGCCAGAAAGACTCCATTCTAAACCGATTCCTGGCATTGCTAGCCCAGCTAGTTCTCCCCTTTGACAAAAGCTGCCACAGGCCATCCTCGTCAGAGGCCGTGCCTGAGAACCGGCAGGCTACTCCTATGATGGCGATGGGTTCATCGCCGTTGGCATCAAGCCAGTGGGGATCAAGAGGATTAGACGAAGCCATGTTCGGCAGAATTGAAAGAAGGGCGAGGGATTGGCGAGGTTGAAGGGCACGGTGAACAAGGAGAAGGGCACATCCGGGCTGGGATCGAGGCGACAATTATATGGAGTTGCCACAGTGCAGGAGACGCGGGCTGCCGAGCACATCAGTGCGAATAAGCTGACTTCATAGGGAACAAGCTCGCTCTCGGCCGCCCCAGTTTTGATTGCAAGGCATGGGTGCGAAGATGGAGGAGGGAAAAAGACCAACACGGGAAACCAAAAAGAAGGGTTGCATTAATGCAGTCCCTAGCTCGCGGCGATGCATGTCAAAAACCAGCCCGTCTCGAAAAGTGTCCGGGCCAAAATTCTGGAGACGCGCTTGAGGCGATCGGCCCATCCGCGGCGCCCATGCAATATAAAATTGCAACTTACCCTGCGATTGGCAAGATGGCAGTTCCAAGCCAAAACGTCACAACGCATCGCCGCAATTCCTCTCTTGCTCAGCCAACACGCAGTTTTCAATCATGGGATCAATTCCTACTCTGGCAGAGAGCACTCTGGTCCAGCCAAGCATCCCGCTTGTGCCGGGCCTTGTTGATGTCACACCGCTTGACCAGTATATGGTTAGGGTCATTCTGCCGATGATGATCTTCTTCAAGGTCGATGAGCCTTCACTCCGGCCCGTAATTCTACGCAACCTGAAGAAGGCTCTTTCGCTTGCAATCGACGAGCTGAAGATTCTGGCCGCGGAAATCATCCCGAAAGACTTGGACCGGAACACAATTCAGCTGGAATACCGCAAGGACTCGGGCGTCTGGTTTCACGTCAAGGAATTGCCACATGTCGACTACGAAGACTTGGCTCGGCGCAACTTTCCATTTGCTGCGTTGCCGGCGTCTCAATATGCCTCACAGCCTCTGGGGCACTCTGAACGAGCCCCCGTCATGACCTTGCAGGCGACCTTGATTAAAGGCGGCCTGGTCCTCACCTTTGGTGGCCACCATGTGGTCATGGATGCCCAGGGTATGGGCACGTTTGTAGAGGTCTGGGCCAAGCATGTGGCCGCAGTGTCTACCGGAGTCGTCGTGCACCGCAACCAATGGCTTACCAACGAGCATCTGGATGCGTTTCAGCTCTACAGCCCGAGCATGGACCGTCCACTCTCAGAGTTCCCACTATATCATCCTGTCAAAGATGGATCATACGAGAGGTCGCAGGCGGACCTGCAGGCCAAGGTTCTGCAACAGGCAACCTCAGGCGACCATGAAGGAATCGCCAAACTCATCCGCGTATCTCACTGGGCCATGACCCAGGAGAAGATGGATGAACTCTGCGATGCAACGCTGCCAAAGACAAAGGAGGGATCGTCTGTGACGTCTCATGCGACGCTATCCGCGCTTATCTGGAAACAGGTGAGCAAGGCTCGACGACTTACAGAGAAGCAGGTCGCCTCGAGCTCGCTTCTAACCTCGGTGAATCTAAGGAGGCGCGTGGATCCGCCACTGGCACCCGAGTATCCAGGCAACGCCATTGCCCTCGCTCGAGCTAATGCGACTACTGCAGAGCTAGAGACACCGGGCGTGGAGCTGGTCCATGAACTTGCGAAGAAGGTTTCGGCTTCTATTGAGGAGTGGACCGCAGACGAACTCTGGTCTCTTACCGGGGCCTTGCAAACATATCCCAACGACATCTCCAACAAGCTACTCCCATCGCTCAACTACGACGTGTTAGTCACTGCACCCTCTCGGCTAGGAGAGATGCTCAAGGCAGCAAATTGGGGGCCCGAGCTTGGAGACATTAAGGCCCTTCGATGGGCCTTCCCGGCCTTCATGGACGGGTTTGTCATTGTTCTACCTTCGATCCATGGAGGCCTCGAAATCATGCTATGGACTGCACCGGAAACTACCCAGCGGCTGACGGAAGACCCGGACTGGACAAAATGGGTAACACAGTTGGAGTAGAAGCTGAGGAGGAGGAGGCTAGATTCGGTCGAGGCAACTGATACGTCGGCCGCGGAAGAGGATTCGAAACCGTATGTGCAGGCAGGGCTAGTGACTCCCCTCTGCCGCAGTAGTAGACTAACGGCAGTTTATGACCAGTCGACAACGTCACAGCATGCTATGAATTTGTTTTGTTTAGTTGTCTCTTATCAATAACACGGAGTATCTTTGCTTCTCGATTCTACTTGTGCAAACAGAGTGGCTGCTTGCTTACTTGCTCAGCTGATACTAATACGCATTATGCCGACCCATGACAGCGAGACGGTGTTTATAGTCACCAGGCTTGCGGCCCGGGCCACGATTAGGGGCGGCAAGAGGCGAAAGGTGGCTTTAGACGACCAAGATCAATTCCCTTGTCAGGCTAGTCCTGTTGCCAGGAGTAGTGGCACCAAGTATCGTAGCACGGGCCAGAATGAAATCCAAAGCACGATGGGCTGGCTGCTAGTATGTTCAAGGCTGATTCTGTTGCATTACCCAGTCCTGCCGGCGCCCCGGGCTAGTCGTCACAAGGTTCGCGTTTGGAACTGCAGGCCTGACTATCGACGGCGTTGCAACCTGGATGGGATGGGATGGGATGGAGGGGGACCTGAGATGGAGGGGTCCCGACAAGTCGGTTGAGACAGTGACGGCTGATTGGACAGGCGGCATGGAAGAGGCTGCGAAGAAAGCGGGCGGGGTCCCATGGCGCGGAATTCTGCAAGAGCCCCAGCGAAGGTTGGACGAACGAACCAAAGTCGTACGGCAGGGTTGTTGGACCAGGGCCACGGCCAGGGGTCGGGACATCGAGCGACAGGCGGTGAGAAATTAGCATGTTCGTTGCATCCGCCACGCGAGAGATGTGTGGTAGCGAAATCTGATTTCATCAGACAAGGGCTCGCCATCGCCTTCCAGGCCGTCGTGATGGCGCGGATCTGCTCATTCCCCGGACGGACACACCAGAGACAAAGCATCGACGTGGCAGCACTAGCAGCTTGCTATCCATGCCTCAATTGACCTGTCAGTCCTGCTCATGCACTCCATGTCTACTCCGGACTGGGACATTTGTGCATACGCGAGCTGCATCGCCGGGCTCGTAGGAGACTCGTCATCGGGTTGGCGGCCAACGGGGGTCAAAGGGCGGGCTTCGAACACGCCGCAAGCACTGATGAGTGGCGTCTAAGTTGGCTGCGGTGCCGTATCACATCACTTGATGACGGCTGCTTGATTGGAGAGGCAGTTACCGAGGTGATGCCCGGCATGGCTCGCGCTCGAGTTGGCATTACCAATGTCTTCACAGTATTGCTCGCTGCCCGTACAGTATGCGGTCCGTGGATCTGATTCTCGGCAATGCGGCGGCGAAGAGCTGCAGCTGTCAGGAATGCTCTCTGCGCAAGGACCCAGACCCAGACGCAGTGGCAAGGTTTGACCTTGGCGGCATGATGGCCCAGAGCTCGTTACCTAATGGATGGTTGGAGAGGAAAAAGATGCGTCCAGACTTGGAGGAACATCCAGCGCCGTGTATCTGCTAATACAGACGCTGAACGGCACGGGCACATGGAGCCGGGCCAGTACATGCCTCATAGACCGGGCCAGCAATTACTCCGTGCTCTGTGATGTCAGTCGTGATCCAACACCATCCCATCCATCCGCCAACATTGTGTGTGTCTGGGACGAACCGGTTTGTTACGCACAGCCCAGCAACTGCCCAGCAACTGCCCGCCCGCTTTTCCAGCCGAGCTCAGCACCCATTCGCAGCATGGATGTTACTGCCTTGCGAGTAGCGTCGGCCGCGAAGCTTCCTGGGAATCGGCATTAAAGAACGACATCCAACGAGCTTGGCCGTGGCCAGAAGATTCTCGCACGCTGCGGGTGGCCCGATAGCACGGCGCTTGTTATGTTGCTTCCGCGAAATGAGGCCACCTCAATGCTTAAGAGTCAACGGTATCATGCGAATGGAGGCTCCCAGAGATCTGCAAAAGCCAAGCTTGCGGCTCGCATTGCAGGCAGACACGCTCCATACATGAGGAGGTAGTTCATGTATTGTTGGGTAATTCTCTCAGCCCACCTGCATGGCTATTGTTGCCATGTAAGTTGACAAACGCTGCTCCGCCGCGCGGAAGATTCTCAATACCCCTGGGGGGCCACCCAGCAGTTTGCAATAGCGCCGATGATATTGCTCGTTTGGGGCAATGGCATTTCTTCTACATTGTCCCCGCGCGCTGTAGGGTCCAGCATATGCATATCCCCCTGGACCATATGAGACTCTATACTGTTCGCCGATTGATTCCACCCCATACGAATCCCGGAAGCTCCCTCATTGGACCAGCTGTAGAAAAGGATGACTCTTAGCGCCACTGCAGCTGAGCTGGACCATGCATGAACTGACGAGATCCTCCCGGCCTGACAAGAGTCCAAGTGCAGCAGTTGATGTATGTATTAATGCCAAAAGTCTCCCAGCTTTGCTAGTTAACCAGCCTTTCAAAGACACCCCAATCATGTAAGACTCCCAAAACGGGTCTGACGGCATGCGCCATTTCGTACATCGCGGTGGTTGTGATAGAGCCTGGCCAGTGACGATGAGACGCACATAACATATTACTGCACGTGGTTTTAATTAACCTGCATCCCTCAAGCCCCCTTGTCATCGATCCTTTGATCCAACATCCAGAAATAAGTTACGGAGCCCCTGTTGTCTGCTTCCTTGTGGAGGTGCAGACCAACCTTGGCCATGCAAAATCCGGATTGCGAGAGTGCCTGTCTATTTCGGGAGAGGATTTAGACTGTGCATGCCTGTGCAGTAACCCAACGTGGATATTTTTAGGTGCCACGGAGCCAGTTCCTCGCCTCCAAGGGAAAGGGAAAGGCTTGCGGAAGGATGACGCATCAGATGAGATATAGCCTGGAATCCTTCGTCGACCAAAGTGGTTGTTGATGGTGGGCTCATCTAATGAGTGGCGGCGTACATGTAGCTAGAGGTGACTAGATCCCACTTTGATGAAACCCATTACCGTCAACACCGAAAACTAGCACGACTACACGGAATCAATTAGTAGCTGCAGGGGGTGCATATTCCGATTCCCTGGTCCTGGAACATCAAACCCTCGTGTTTATACGAGAGCGATGACACTAGCAAAATTGCCCCAGTTGTTTCACCAAGTGTTTGGATGGGTCATGCGCGATTATGAATACCTATTGAATTACACTTATATCATACAACAATAGCAAAATGTGACAGTCTTGGTGAGAGTCCTGATAGGTGAATACCTATTGAATTGTACTTGCATCATATAACAATAGCAAATGTTACGGTCTTGGCTAGAGTCCTAATAGGCATTACAACAGTTGCTTGATTATTACACTAACTTGGTTGCTAATCTGTTCTGCATATGGCGAGCAGAATTGCTGCTGCTACTACTAGTATTAGATCTGTGCGGTATAGATCGTGTTACCCATTGCAGAATCCTCTAGCAGCACACGCTGTACCGTGTTACAACCTTTTTCTCCGAAGCTCAAGCTCAGCTTCAGTTGTTAGTTGTGTCGCCCAATCTCCAGAATGCATAACGCTTGAAAAGTCTATTATAACCAGAAACATACCCTAGAGTAGTGAGCTTCTTAGGGGTATGCAGGTGTGATGTTAGCTATGTTTATTCATGTTGCAAAAACAAGGGTAAAGGGGTATCTAAGCTCGGCCGTATAAGTTGTCTTCCTAGTGCCTTGCCTCCTCGCTTGAATGATGCCAGAGGCTTTCATGTGTATTTCTTTTTTACCCGTACGGATACATAGGAACATTATCCTTTGTCTCTACTTGGAAAATATTTCTCATTGCCTCTTTAGAGTAACGTATGTTTTCATAAGATGGGGTCTTCTATGAGATGGGTTGATATGTGAATGTTGATTACCAGTAAGCTAGTTTGTTTCCAAGTTTACAGAGCATGAGGCTAACAAGGGGGCGCAGAATGCATATTGCGGCGAATACCACCCAGTTCAGGCTTCATCGGTTGGTGCGTACAGATGCCAGCATGCCATTGCCTATCACATCTCTGCAATCGCAGCTGTCATCGTGTTAAGTGCGTATAATCATCCTTCGCCTACGATTCATGATCCTCTCGACCGAAAAAGGACCGACGCGACTAGCAGTCAAGCAGCATAGTGGTATGTGATTCATTCAAAAACATGTAGTCAACATTTCAAACTACGCTCCGGAACCAGTCCTCATAGGCAAAGATCGACGGTACTTTATGATTATACGGGGATGCAAGCCGAATCGAGTCAGGGAAGATGGAAAAGTAAACAGCAGCAGTAGCAGCAGCAGTAGAGGGCTGCGTGTGATTTCTTTACCGTCATCTCTAGTCATGTCAAGGTCCAGCTGCACGTGTTGTCGAATCGAATCGTACATCTCGGCGGAGCCTCGACTTGAGCGTGACCTCAATCCTCGTGTCTCTCCCTCGATAAAATCAAAACCCTTGCAGCTCTCACCGGGCGCATGTGTGAGACGCTTCTGTATGCCGCCAGCAGTAGACAGCTGAATTCCGATTTTCATTATCCAATACGATCTTGATGCACGGCATCGGGAGGCCGAATATTGAAAAATATGAATCTTCTTTTCCGAAAAGGAATTATAGTATCATTTAGGGCATCTACTTGGATGGCGGATCGACGATCTTTTGTCTTGCAAAGAATATGTTGCATACCTCTCTGCTAAGCACGTATATGTTGTACTTGTCGCTCACTATCATCATTCTACAAGACATTTTCAGCTCAACTTATAACAATATACCAGATCGATCAACAAGTAAAAGCACACTATCTGCCTTCATAATACCTTGTCATGCATGGTTGAAGCGTGTAGGCTATTCCCGAAAATAATGCCGGACCAGTCTTACGGGATGAGCCTAAGACAGTGTGGTCTTACTATATGTCCACAAGCTCTCGAGATCGACAAAGATTTGGCTGTGGGATGGCCTAATACTGCCTAGTTAATCGCCATTCCTTCACTCTTCTCTTCGCTGTCACATCTCCTGCGCTGGTTTAGACTAACGCCGTGTAGATATGTGCGTCAAATAATATCCATTCCTTTCTGCAAGTTAATGATTTGAAGTAAACCACTCAGTAAATAGCTTCGTTGATCATTTCAATGTGCATATGCCTCCTTTTACACGAATCGTAGTCATCTATCAAGCTGTATATTTCGATATTGCTACAGCTCCCTTTCCGCCCCCTTTCCGCTCTCTTCCTTTTCATCCTCCGCCAAGACACTCTGTCACAATATTGGCACGTTGGCAGCTTGTTAGCCAACGAACGTTCCCATAGTTATGTAAGGGTGGCCAATGTCTCACATACTTTCCACGCGTTGTAGGTTTTATTTTCCGCTTTCGGTGATCAAGAGTGGCGTATTGTCTTAGATAGTAAGATGAATACTGGCATACGCAGTAACTCGCTACCGTTTATGTCTTTCAGCTCCTTGGCCGCAGTAGTAGTATCTCTCTATTAGGTATCTATGCCAAGGAAAATTCAGGCCGGTCTGCTCCGAAGTTATGATTTACTCAATGGTTTTCTCTCACACGCCTGTTTTCATCCCGATTGTCGCAAATGAATGGCCGAAAATTGTCGAGGGAGTCAAGGAAGTCTTACATTAATATCCAAAGGAGTGGGAGAATATGTTCTTCAGTCTGCCGCACAATTGCCCGACATGAGTAGATCGAGGCGGTGATAATGATATTCTACAAAGCAAAACAAACACTCGTGGGAAATGGGCGATGCTGAGCCGACCTTCCGAAGCATAAATAGTGGCCCTTTGTCCAGCTTCAGGTTAGATTTCTTTTCATTATCGCCATCGCAAGCTTCAGTAACAGTCGAGATACAATACTTCGCAAAAGATTCTTCAAGATGCAGTTGACCGCTCTCCTCGCTCTCGCCACTTTGGCCATTGCCGCTCCGGCTGAGCCCTCCGAGGTTGCTCCCCGTAACGTTCTCACCGGCCCTTGCTCTTCTGGTGTCACCAACAGCAACCCTCAGTGCTGTGGTGCTGGTATCCTCGGCATCCTGTACTTTGACTGCGAAACTCGTAAGTCTTCGATACTCTTTACTCAATGAGCCACCGTATCATGCTAACTATGAAACAGCCGATGAAGTTTCCTCTCCCATCAACCCCTTGAAGACCATTTGTGCTGCCGAGGGTCTCCAGGCCAAGTGCTGCACCCTCGGAATTGTAAGTTCTTCCCTGAGTCCATAATTCAAATTGATTCTAATTTTTTTTTTCAGGCTGGTCTCGGTGTTCTCTGCACGGATGCTCTTCCCGAGTAAATATCTCTCGCTAGCCTATCGCCTTTATCAGGCTGCTCTTGTGACTGGGTTGTAACTTGAGGAAACTTGCGTACAATGGATGTGGCGATGGAGTATTAGGAGGGAATGAATGTCGCAACGGACGAAGTGGAGGATTGGAACTCGGATATGGAGCCTTAAAAGCGGTTGGTAGTGTGTGTTCAGTTAATATATACTTATCCAGCCAAAGCATCTTGATCCATGGATAGCTAATGGTCCCAAGGCCATGTTAGCGATTGAGTGATATATGAGTCTCTGAAGCGCAAATACGAGAGGGCTCCTATCTATATTATAAAGCCCTGACAGATGAAGTTGACGTATGCTTTGGCACTTTGGCGCACTACGGAAGTCACTCGCTTTCCCCTATATATATTCCAGCGTTTTGCCCTAAACAATTTAAATATAGCCGTCCGTCCTGGTCTATCACTAGATGATCGCTCACCATAGTCTATAAAACTTGGGCCTTTCCTTGGCCTTTTCTTTCATATACAAAATTGGTGTGCTACCCAGCTGTGTATTATCATAGGGTAGTAGTAAAACAATGCTACATATAACTGCGATCATAACACCACTCCCATAAAATATTCATGCATTTATATACTTCATTCAAATAATATCCGGACTATACTCTTGTATATTACTTAATCTGTACAGGAGATAGGCTGAGAAAATATGTTCGTCTTCATGATTTGGACTTGTACTACAGAGTGATCTCCACCCAGAACTCGCTATACTCAAAATAGCGGATCATGGCAATCGTATTAACTACGTGGGCTTTAGTACTACCTTGCCACGTGCTCGGATACGCTTCCGATTGAGGATTCGTAGGATTTGTGGGATCCACAGGATGACGGTTTGCTACAGAAACGTCCGGGGTTTTGGATATGCGGACCATGATTTTACATGCATGAAATTTACGCACATAGGGAGATTATATCCAGGAAAAGATTTGAACCAAACATTGGTACGTTAAGGTTCCAGCTTATAAAATATACGCAGCAATAAAAAAACACTTGGGTCTTCATTAGCTACTAATTGAATGTATTCATAGAAATATAATATGACGAACCATAGTCTTGTGCTAACCATCCCCAGCATTAAGTTACTTGCTGCCCTGATATTACCTACAATGCAAAAAGCGCATTATCATAACTGTGCCTGCGCAAGTATGAGAGGTTCATCAGCAAGTGCGCATCAAAATACAAAAAGCATACGATAATAAGTAAAGGGTACGATAGAGAACGGCGACTCAGAGTGGAAAGCGTAACTTACTTTGCCTCAAGAAACGATAAAGCGGAACTTGATATCAGAAGCAATTTATTAACATAAAAGAACTTAAACCAAATTCCGGCCTATCACTCGTTTCTTTGGGAAAGAAAGAATATGGAAGCGACGACACGTCCAGTTTCAAAAAATTAGAAATAAGGGTAAAAGGAGAGATAGGTATGGGTAAAGAAGTGGGAATGAGTCCTGTTCGATTGTACAATTCTAAAGTGGGTTATATCAAAAAGTGTGTATTGATAGCTAGCTATTTATTAATGATTGTGCTGAAGTTAAACTCTATTTAGTTAATTTAGAGGCTTTGTTAAGCTTATGAGACAAGTGAAATAAGCCGCAAGATGTTCTCCGCCATAGATATTTACTTAGCCATATATTTTATCTTGCCCTGTAAGCTGATAATGAGTTCTAAGTACTATAGTTTGTTGAAAAGTAAATTTCTATAGTGTATTATTATTACATTGCCAAGAATATCCAGCAGAGCTGGTTCTAATCATCTTGATTCAAATCATCTTGATTCATTAACCCAGCCTGTGTTTTAACAAGATACACCGATTCTGTTGGTGGCAAACGTCCAAAAAAAGGTACATGTATACTGCTAAACATTAGCCCTTCCATACCTAGACAAAAACTATAGTGAATTAGCCACCTAAGAGAAGTCTATGGAGTCATGTCTGCAGTCTGATGGATAACCCTAGCCATGTCCATCAGCTACTTCGTTACACGGTCCCTCAACGGCTTAAATTTGCGCCACATGTTAGGTCGATGTACCTCAGCGACGGTGCGTAGCTCTCAGTAGCCTGCTCTCAACGTCGCTGCTTCCACGGCGTTTAATAGTATATTCTCAATACAATACTGTGATAGTAATCTCTAATTGACTTTGAAGAAAGAATTCCAAGCTTGAGAGGCGATTTGCGATCCTGGTACGGCGTGCCAGCTAGTTCATACCGCGCTCCGGACTCTTCTTCATGTCGGTTGCTAAGCCTGAAGAGGCAATTTTCTGCAAGATCGAGACCTTCCTCGGCTGATTTGGCGTCAAAGAGCCCAGACTTTTTCTCCATTTAGGCTTTGACGATATCAGAATACTTCTGGCTCCTCATCGTCCGGTTTCCGGCAATATCCTAGCAATATAATATTACGACGCTCCGATATGTTGGAATCAAGGTGGCAAGCTCCTATATAGGTCTTCTCGCGATGTGGCATTTGGAATAAGAAGCACTTTTAACTCTTTACGTTTGCGAGTGCCTATGGCGAGTGCTAGAGTGGATAATCATTTGCTCGTCCGCAAGCCTACATCAGCTCTATGCTTGATGAGACATGTAACTATTATTCTAACGCTACACTAGAAGAACTCCAATGCAAGATGAAGAGCAATGTTCTTCGTTGCTCCTGGCCTATTAACCCATTTCTGAAAGTCATCCTCTTGTATGTACTCAACCATGTCCGCGTCATGCTTGGGGAGAGCTAGATGAAGAGCTGCATTGCCATCCCCAATTGTCAAGGTCAGGCCCTCTGCTCCGACGACGAAGGTCAACGACGACACATTTTCCTCAACCAGTTGCATCTCATTCTTACCCGCGTAATGTAGAGGTGCTTTCGCTGCCTGTATGTTCCCCTCACCGACGCTTTATATCTCAAGAGGGCACAAATAGCCTTTATGCTTCCTGCACCACAAATCTGACATGGAGATCGTGGGGTTTCCACCCAGTTTCTGGAGAGATAGGCTTTCGTGTAGGAGTTACTGAACGATTAGCAGCTGTCCTAGATCCGACGCTGCTAAAAGGCACTGGCTCTCTCTCTCTCTTCCTTATTCGTTGAGACATGGACAAGTCTTGAACTAGAAGACTGTTGCTACATACATGAGAGTTTGAGCCAATTTTTGCTATCAATTCGTTCTTTTACTCCACTGCATAATCTTGATAGCAGAGCAACTCTTCCACAGTAGCGAGAAATCCATTTTCAGCGGCATACTGGAAAGGAGTGGAGGCTGGTGAGATTTTGGAAATTCTATGAAGAATTTCACAATAGGTTTTACCGTTTTCTGCCTGCCTGCCTCGCCCAGCTGGGGTGATGGATGGCATCTGGGGTAGTGTTTGCACAGATCTAACCAGTGGTAAGGTCTATAAGCAGGTATAAACCAGAAATACCAGATACACAGCGCAGCCAGAGAGATAGACATACTATACTATGATTCCCCAGTTGTTCTATGCCGAAGTGCAGACATTCCGTTTTTCTTTAACAAAGTCGGCAATTGAATACATGGAGGCGAAACTGTGGAAATGATAAGAAATCTGGTTTACTGGCCCCACGAGTGCAGAGAGCATTTGTGAGGGCCTTTGGTTGGTATTTATCGTGTTTTGGAGAATATTTTCCCATCCTCTGTTTTTATCTGCGCGATATGGAGTTGAAGAAAATCCCTAGGCACCATTAGAGTTACTCCCAGAGACATGAGAGGCAAAAGGGAAAAAGAAAAAAANATGATAAGAAATCTGGTTTACTGGCCCCACGAGTGCAGAGAGCATTTGTGAGGGCCTTTGGTTGGTATTTATCGTGTTTTGGAGAATATTTTCCCGTCCTTTGTTCTTCTTTGCGCAATATGGAGTTGAAGAAAATTCCTAGATTCCATTAGAGTTACTCCCAGAGACATGAGAGGCAAAAGGGAAAAAGAAAAAAAAAAAAAAAAAAAAAAAAAAACTTTGACACTTGCAAGTTTGGCAATTTCATATGCAATGTGGTGGTATTCGAGGGACTTTTTGCGAGGATGATGGCCCAGACAGTGTCAGGAAGAAGCGGCCCCTTTTGAGTAGCGGAAATAATAATAGAATAGATCTGACAGCTTTGTTCCATGGTCTAATTTTGTGTGAGAAGCGGGAAACTACGAATTGTTTTTGCTTCGAGATGAGAGAAGGGTATATACTAGCGTATTCAAGAGTCTGCGACAGAGGTGCTGATATACCTGCTTTACGACGTCGTGATTTTTTTGTCTACCATTTCAGGCTCTGAAATGGGTAACAAACATTGGCATGGGTGTAATCCTCTCCATGATTCGTTCAGGCAAAGAGACCACGGCATAGAAATTGGCGAGAACAGATCCATTAGAGCTCAAAGAGTTCACCAAGGATTGTTGGATCATTCAATTGGCATCACTTGCCCAAATCAAGACCACCAAATCCACTGCAGTGGGGACATTGATGAAAGGGCTATCCAGATTAGGCTCAGCCACCATGTTCGGTGAGGAGGCCCGAGAAAATCATATTTGCGGACCGGAATTTTCTCGTGCCAAGTGAAGGGGATCAAGTCTCCAAGAGGAGAGTTATTGTTTAAACAATTCTGATTGTCTAGTTTTCTATTGTGCCACTTTCGGCATTTGTGGAAAATTGGGGTACCCCACACAACCTTTAATTTTAAGCTTGTAATCATGGTTGGCGTTAGTGGAAGCCAGTATTTTGGGGGTAAAAGATTTTCCAATTCAGGTCCTACATGAACTCCATTCAGATGCGGAACGGCACTACAATAGCCTGGGGATAACGGCCACTTATCCCCAAAAGCTAAAAGCATCGCTATTTAACACTAAACATGTTTCTTTAGCGCATGGTTTGAAGGGTTGAAAAAGCCGTTTATCCTAAAAGTGCACTACGCGCTTCTCATCGAGATGAGCTGACGATGCGCTGTATCAGCCATACTTATCATAATGCAAGGGACTAGAAATGCGGTGCAACATCAATTTTTTTTTTATACCCCCTCCAGTTTGCCAGTAATCAAGAGAAATATTATGAAGAAAAGGAAATCTTTCTTTGGCCCTCTCCCTACCTCTCTTTCTCTTTGGGAAAAATGTTTTGCCTCAGGAAAAACCCATTAAAGGGACCCATTAAAGGCTTCAAAGTAATCCCAATCGCCACCATGATTCGAGCCAAGCCAGGCCAAGGCTCTTGGTATGCGCCACATTAAATGTCGCTGCATTCTCTAGATCAAAAGGGCCTTATTCTCCATCCTATTCTTACCTAGTCCTTCCACAAAATCTAGCTCTAGAACCAATCCTTCCGGATGTCACACTAATCAATGAGGATGCACTTGCATTGAAACTGAAGACTAGCAAGGATTACTCTAAGCGCTAATGTGGAATTATATATTAAACAGTAGCAGTGTAGTGAAGCGGGTTGGAGCCTTTGGACGCTGCGTTCCCCGCATGCGGTACTTCAAGTAGAAGGGGTGCTTAAGTTGAATGCCGATATAAAGATCAACTTTAATGTACAGATGCTTAGTGACTACCTAGTAGCCATATGGTCTCTATGAGCGGATACGGGAGTTGGAGATACAGGAGTTGGGGTTCAGCTCATGGAAGTCAATGAGGGTTAGGAGGTTCAACTTGTGCGACATCTTTATCATACATGTCCATCTCGTCGCGCAGGATGAGCTCGAAACTAGCTGCAGCAATATCACTTCATCTATTCAATCCTCAGGCAACAGCAGCCATGATAACTAAATCTCTAGCCTTTCATATTCGGGACATCTCGGAAGCTTACAACTCCTCAACTTGTTGTTCTGCAATGCTTCCCCCAACACAACAGTTCACGTCTGGTGCTTGTATCGTATTCTGCTCCACAGCAGGCTACAGCAATGCGCCCTCCCTCTTACCATATCCTTGGTTAGTCAACCATCATTCAACTAACACGACGAACACGCCTTCTCTCCACTTGTCCACCCCTATTCCACATAGCAGGATGGCCCCTCGTACGGCCTTATACCGGTCTAGTTGCCAAGAATTCCAGTATTGAACTAAAGCAATCTCTCCAACGATGCTTTTACCATTTCCCCTCTCTTCATACAATCCTAGCTATTCCCTCCACATTATCCCCGCATTCCTCGTTACGGCTCCTCCAGATTACTTCCCCATGTTCCCCAGGCTAAGAGGAGCAATACGCGGCCAATGTTCGCTTACCTTTGGCTTTTTAACCTCTTAAGCCTAGTAGTTAAAACTTCGTGTTTGAGCGAAACAGTCCTAGATTTGGGGTGGACAAAGCGGAGGAAAAAAAAGTCAATCTCGTTCAGATCCTTCGAGGCCAGCCACAATCAAGCCAAAAGATAGAAGCCCCGAAAGGTTGGCTGCTTAGCTCTCCCCACGACGAGATTACGCGGTTGGTTCAGAGTGCGTGTGACTATATGCTTGCCCAGATATGGGTCAGCATCAAGGCTTTCACCCGACTCCAAGTGACGATCTTTGCTGCAGCCTCGCGATTTATCGTCTAGCCTCCTCCCCCCATGCTAGTGCAATTTATGAAGCCATCTTTTATTCTGCGTATCGTATTATTTCTCCGAAAAGTTTATAAATAAAGTTCCTGTGGCCTCGATCGCACCTTGGCCCTTCTTCTCGTTAGGCTACCGTGTCCCGTCAGGTCATCGCTGCCGCTCGTATCATACGTCTATAAATACAACCCTTTTGTCGGACTCAGATTCAGACAAGAACTCACCATCAGGTTCATTTCATTCTTTCCCATCTTCCTTTCCCACCAGTAAGTCCAATACCAGGTAACAAGCTGGTACAATGTCAGACACCGCCGCCTCAACACGGCATGAGCCTGCCGACAACCTGGCCAAGGGCGTCATCGCCACGGCCAGACAGTCGTGGAAAGATCTTTTTGTCTGGAAGCAGCGGGTCGTCCTCACCAACGCCTACGGTGAGACTAGATGCGAGTGGCACGAGCCGGACCGCATCCAGAACCCCATCTCCCTCTTCGCCCAGCTCTCCGCCAGGGACTGGATCTTCTTCATCGTCGGCTGGCTCGCGTGGACTGCCGACGCCTTTGACTTTCACGCCCTCTCCATCCAGACAGTTAAGCTGTCTAAATACTACGGCCGCTCCAAAACTGACATCACGACGGCCATCACTCTGACGCTGCTGCTTCGCTCCGCTGGCGCTGCCATCTTTGGCCTGGCCGGCGATAAATGGGGTCGTAAATGGCCCATGGTCTTCAACATGCTGGTGCTGGGATGTCTTCAGATTGCCACAATCTACTGCAAGACGTTTACTGAGTTTCTGGCGGTGCGAAGCTTGTTTGGCCTGTTCATGGGGGGCGTCTACGGCAACGCCATCGCCATGGCTCTGGAGCAATGCCCGTAAGTATTGATGCCTCACTTGTTAAGCTTGATCTTTCTCTTCTGCACTTTACTCGGTCGAAATCGACATCCTTTTTTGTCGGCTACGCTTTCGGGACACTAACATCTCTTGGCTCTCAGATCCAACGCGCGTGGCTTGATGTCCGGCATCCTCCAGCAAGGCTACTCGATGGGCTACGTCTTGGCTGCGTGCGCCAACCTTGGCGTTGGGGGCGCCGTCGATTCTTGGAAAACGGTCTTCTGGATTGGAGGTACGTTGCCCAGCTTTTTGAGCTCTCCGCTTATTTCATTTTGGCCTCTGATCTGACTTTTTGTGGCTTCAGCGGGATTATCCATTGGCGTCGGCCTGCTCCGCATCCCCTTTCCAGAATCGCAACAGTTTCTGGACGCCAAAAAGGCCGGCAAGAAGGCCTCTTCTCCGGGGGCTTTTTGGCGCGAGACGCGGACGATGCTCGCCCAGGAGTGGAAGATGTGCGTCTACTGCGTCATCCTCATGACGTGGTTCAACTACTACTCGCACACCTCGCAGGACTCCTACACCACCTTCATGCTGGAGCAGAAGAAGCTGGACAACGCTGGGGCGTCCCGCGCCTCCATCGTGATGAAGGTTGGCGCCGTCGTGGGTGGCACCATCATCGGCTATCTCAGCCAGTTTCTGGGCCGACGCCGCACAATGATGGGGGCTGCTCTCATGTCCGCCATCTTGATCCCCGCCTGGATTCTCCCCGAGGGAGAGCCAGCGCTGAGCGCCACCGGCTTTTTCATGCAGTTTTTCGTTCAGGGTGCTTGGGGTGTGATTCCCATTCATCTCAACGAGCTGTCTCCTGCTGCTTTCCGGTCGTCCTTTCCCGGTGTTACTTACCAGGTGGGCAACATGATCTCGTCTCCCTCGGCTCAGATCGTCAACGCAATCTCTGAGAAGACTTTTATCACCATCAGAGGCGGCGAGAAGGCCGAGGCGTACGGCCCCGTCATGGGAATTGCCACGGCCATCATAGCCACAGGCATCTTTTTGACTGTCATGGTTGGACCTGAGCGCCGTGGCCGTAACTTTGATGGCGTTGTCGCTGGTGTCGAGAGGAGCGGCTCGGATGAAGAAACTGGTGATAAGCCGACGGATGAGGAGAAAGGCGAAGTCACAAACGTAGAAGAGGCTGAAAAGAGAAGCCAGACACCAACACAGAGGGAGGTATAGACTTTTCCCTGTTCTGGCTTCGACTTTCAGTGTGACGAATTCCTTTCTCTATGCATCCAAGTACGGACGCCAGGGTGGATATCCTGACTGCGGCAGAAGCTCGTCACTCGGCCGATCTCGCTACAACAAGTCTTCTTTGGGTTGCCATTTTTTTTCATAGTTGTCCTCATTTTGGTGTTGCTACTTTGACAAGTACTCGAAATGTTCGTGTTATGATATCCACTAGTCGTTTGAAAGAAGCGGGCCTGCAAACTACTGTAATAATGTATATCACGGAATATGTATAAGCGAGAAAGAGAGTTTCTAGAGCAATTTAATTTTATTTAATCCAAAATTCTTAGTCATTTCATCATTTAATGCATCTAACCCTGATGGGTCAAACTTCTTTGCCCATGTAAGTCAAGTCATGGTGACGTCGTTTTCGGCTGCAACACCGTCATTTTCCCAAACCAGCTACGATAGGCCGGCATCACTTCAATGTCGATAGGTACCCATCAAAGACAAGGTCAAGCCATATTCTAAAAATGATCTGCATATAGCGTGCCACCAGTAACACGCGCCTGGCACTATCGCCCACACACGACTGGTCTGCCATCATAGCCCGGCTGGTGGAGACGTCATGATCGCCGCGGATTCGCCACAAATCAGGAACCCCCAGATTTTGCGAATACGTAGTTCGTTCGCTTCAGCACACTGTGTCCGGAATAGGAATTCCATTTCTTGAATGTTTGCAGGGTCGGTGGGACTATTATGAACCATGGGCCGTCATGGCGACATCATGAATGCATGTCATGGACTTGCCACAGGATGCGCCAGAACGGTTATAAAAAGACCCTTGAAGCCTTGTTCAGACAACATAGAATAATCTTGTATTACAATCAATTCAAACAAAAAAAAGAAAGAAACAAACAAACAATTCTACAACACCAACAATGCCTCTTTCCAGCAAAAAGAACCAGGCTCTCGCAGCAGAGCAGCAAAACATTGCAGCCTCCGGCGCTGCTGGCCCCACCTACGGCACCGGTCCCGGCCACGCAAACGCCGCAAACGCAAACCTCCCCGGCCCGGCACCGTTCACCGCCGGACCGCACCGCCACGATGTCCTCAACAAGCTGGATCCCACTGTCGACAGCGGCACGGGAGGGATGCAGGTCCTCACCGGCTCTCACCACAACGCAGGAATGGGCGGCGTGCCGGGCCAAGCCCCCGTCCAAGGCAGAGCCGGCGGAGTAATGGGCAGCAACAACCCCTACCATGGCGGCAATGTCGCGGATCCGACTCTGCCCAACGCCGGCAACTACTACACCATGGGCACAAACGTCGTCCCAGGCAGCAATGCCGCTCCTCGCAACGTCCCCGAGGGCACCTACGGGCCGCATACCTCTCGCGTAGCCAATGCTGCTGATCCGCGAGTCGACTCTGACGCAGACCACCGCCGAAGAGTAGGACTCGGCACTGGAGCCGGCTCAGGAGCTGCAGCTAGAGGTGGAGTTGGAGCAGGATCTGGGGGAAACAGCAGACCGATATTCCCCCCTGGAGTTGGGGGCCCAGCCCCGACGACAGCAGGACCTCATCGACATGATGTGCTGAACAAGCTGGACCCAACTGTGGATAGTCGATCTGCCACCACGGTTGATGCCACTGGCCGCAAAATCATCCCCTAAGCAATAACGAGACGACGATGTGAAGGTATGCTGGTGGTTTAGTCTTTCTATCAGAATGCTATGTACGATTAACGATATGGTTTGGCTTGAGATTTCGGAAGATACCAAATAGGAATGTTTTAACGACGGGTCAACCAGCAGGAGAATTTTCTTTGTACACTATCTAGGAGATTTCAGTTTATGAATAATGACCAGTTTGATCTACTACCTCTGGAAAACAGCAATAGTAATTGTGATGGCATGCAAAGAAGTAAATTTATATATCAAGGATAGAAAACTACGATTTGCCAATGCACAGCAATTATTGTAATTATAAGTGATACATCTTGTCAATGAAGACTCCATAGTGTTTCAACGAAGAATGGACGAATTCTACACAAATCGTATTCCCTCGCTCCATCGTATTGCTCACCTTAGCCCCTACTCACGCTATCGGCAACCTCCATCTAGGGCCTTTCTTTCCAAGCACTCATTTAGATTATTTTCGGGTCTCACAAGCAACCGAAATCGCAGCTTGAAAAATACTCCAATAGCATGACAAACCACATCCGCTTCGAAGATTTCTCCCTTATTATACACGCCTTATCATACACGCGGTATCCGCTGTGAGCTTGGCTACCAAAACGCTAGCTGGAGATATTTTAGGATTCCATTATGAACGCTTATGGGTCTTCTCCTCGCTCCATTTAGAAAATATTCCGCTCCTAGCGAAGCCGATTCTGTTGCTGTACCAAGCTACCAAGTGGCAAGGGCCACGAGCCGACATAATCCTCAGTGCCTATACCACAGAGGAAGCCAAGCCCTCGCCCCTCGTAGTGCGCTTTTCCATATACGCTTTCAATATCAATCATTCCTAACCCATATCGCTGGCTTCAGCTCATTGCGCCTTCCCTCGGCTGTTGAAGATGGTGATGATACCGAATCCAACGTAGAACAGGGCTACTGGGTAGGCCACAAGGCCACGCATATCCTTCATTTTGCCGACAGCTAAGACAAGTTAGTTGTATATTCTCCCAACAGAAACAACCTTTTCTTTTCTTCAACTTTTGAATCGTACTCACCACAAAAGATGGCGCTTGATCGTGACGTCGACCAGCAAATAGCCAAGCTTGTAAGGATATATCCCGCCATGCAATCAAGAGGCATGACAACACCAACCAATGACGTAAGGACAAGTGGCAAGAAGCTATATCCCAGTACACTAGCATTCTGAGTAAACGTAAGTGTGCTAGGCGTAGGGTCGGCTCCAGGATATCCCGATGGGGTGTCGGGCGTCATCAAGCTGAGAATCATATACAAGGTAGTCGAGCCCATGACTGCGAGACTGTAAACGTAGCCAAAGTGAACCTGGCCGCTGCAAAGCAGAAAAGCGCCAAACAGGATCACGAACAGCAAAGGTCCAGCCAAGTCAGAGTCGTTCATGACATGCTCCAGCCGCTCGATAGGGGAGAACGGGTTGAGGACAGCAAGCGTCTTGGCCTGCATGTGCGCAAAGTCGACGCCCAGCTCCTCTCGTAATGACGGTTCGTTGTCGTAGCCCTCTGCGGAAAAGGCAGCCAGCCAGCCCGTCCTCAGGCCGGTCTGTTCGCGATAGCCGCCGCCAGGAGGGACGCCGTAGCTGGTCGGGGGAGCTTGTGAGGGCGCGGCCTGGTAGGAGCCATGATAGAATTGGAGGTTCTCGGTCGCTGAGGGGGATGCAGAGGCGCCGTACTGGTTGTAGTATTGCGCCATTGTCAAGTGGTGATGCTGCGGTGGCGGTACGTAGAAATTGCGGCGTGGATGACGTTTGGAGAGTGACGCGATGCTATATGAATTGGAGTTGCAGGCGGCTCGACTTGACATGTGGTTTCAGAGAGGTTCCAGATGCTTAGGTGGCGGATTACGTAAGACAAGGCTGCGATAAGAGCGCCGATAACGATGGCCGTTGAGCTCCAGCTTTGAAGCTTTTGGCGGTCATTTTAGTACATCAAAGTACAGTATGTACCTCCGAAGCCACTTTCTCGTATATATTTTGGTCCGAATAGGGTCGATCCAAGGATGGGATTTTAAAACCAGATCCATAATAGAAGCGCAATAGAAGCGCAATAGAGCCGAGTGAACTGCCATTGTCGCACCGAATTGCAGCTGGAAGCTACATCAGCAATTGCACGTGCCCATACTCGAGTACAGGTACTCAGACACTAAGGAGGCTCCCGCGGTGCTAGCAGGTACCTTGCATGTACTGCCCAAAGCCTCTCTTGCGACAACCATCTTGAACTTCCTCCTTCAACACCATACACACCACATTCGACACACTGCCATTCACCATCAGCTCTCGCCATGGCTTCATTTGGCGAACCCCCGCCGCCAGACGCCGGCTCTGATGTCCGGAACGAGGTCAAGAAACCTAAAAAGAAAAAGGTCCTCCTCATGGGCAAGTCCGGGTCCGGAAAGTCGAGCATGCGCAGCATCATCTTCAGCAACTACATAGCGCGCGACACTCGAAGATTGTGAGTTCCTCTCTCTCTCTTTTCTCTCTCTTCATGTTCTTTTGCTTGCTTCATACTAATTCTCTCGCTTGCAGAGGCGCCACCATCGACATTGACCTCTCCCACGTCAAGTTCCTCGGCAACCTCACCCTCAATCTCTGGGACTGCGGCGGCCAGGAGGCCTTTATGGAGAACTACCTCTCCCAGCAGCGCGTCCACGTCTTCTCCAACGTCGGCGTGCTCATCTACGTCTTCGACATCGAGTCGCGCGACGTCGACCGCGACCTGGCCACCTACGTCTCCATCCTCTCTGCCCTGCTGCAGTACTCCCCCGCCGCCAAGATGTACATCCTCGTCCACAAGATGGATCTCGTTGTGCCTAATTCCCGCGAGACCGTCTACGATGAGCGTGTGCGGCTCGTGCGCCAGAAGACGGCCGAGTACGTCAACTCGGTCGGCATGGACATTAGCAACGTCGACCTCACGCCCTTTGCCACGTCCATCTGGGACCAGAGCCTGTATAAGGCCTGGGCGTCTATCATCCATGATTTGGTCCCCAACCTCTCCGTCATTGAGCACAACCTCGCCAACCTCGGTGTTGCCATCGAGGCTGAGGAGCTTCTCCTCTTCGAACGCACGTCTTTCCTCGCCGTCTCATCGTGGACCTCTCCCGAGGGCCGGAACAACCCCACAGAAGACCGTCAGGAGCGCATGTCCAACATCATGAAGCACTTCAAGCAGAGCATATCACGCTACACCGGTACGCCACGCAATGCCGAGCAGTTCATCCGCATGGAGCACAAGGCTGGCCTACGCTTCAGCCTCTTCATCCTGAAATTCACCACCAACACCTACCTCATGGTGGTGCTGCCGCCTGGGGAAGCACGATTCAATGCCGCCATGCTGAACTGCCAAATTGCCATTGAGCATTTCAAATTTTTGGATGCTCCAGCAACCACGCCCACTGCCGCTGCACAAATGGCTCCACAGGCTTGAGGAGCTGGGATCACAAAGAGATGGGAGGAGAAATCCTAATGAGTTATGAAGCAGGCTATGTTAAGGGGGCGTTTCGGAACAAATAATACCTTGGTTTAATTCTTAACGGTAACAGCAGTGTTTGTAACTTACATTTACTCTGGTGTCTGATTTTTTTGGGGGATGTTTGGTTTTTTTTTTTTTTTTTTTTTTTTTTTTTTTTGTACATAATTAGAACAGTCTGTAGCATAAACTTGCACGTCAGCAGTTGATAACTTTCGAATGGCTACGGCTACGTGAGGACCGAGAAAGAACTAGCGCAACTGTGATTTCTGTCTTAAAGTTGACCTTTTTTTTTTTTTTTATTTAAAACCGATCTCTACTCATCTATGTGTGAGTTTTGCCAAACTTGATTTAAAAGCAATGCATCCCGTTGTTCCCTTTAGTTCAATGCCTAACCCATGTCTCCATAACCTCGTCTATGCCCACTTAACAACGGCTGTTCCGCCCTTCTTGAACTCGGGCATCTCACCCAGAACAAGAGCCTTATCTGTGTGCTCCTTATTGGGGAAAGTCGTAGCCAGGACCCAGGCTCGATCACGGGTCTCTACTGAAGCGCCCTGAACAAAGCCGTATACATCGCCCACCGTGTGCGTGGTGTTGAAACGAGCAGGCAGTCTAGATCCGTCAGGCATCTGGATTCTAATCATGATTGTTGGTTGTGTATCGTCAATGGTTGGCGCCGGAGGAGCAGATGACGATGAAGCTCCGGAGGGAGCGGCGGCTGCAGATGTCGTGGCTAGGGCACCAGGGACTGGGCTACCAAGGCGATGGCCAGCGCTGGCAAAGGGTTTGTATTGCTTTGGTGGCTGTTTGTAGGGGCTGTCGTGTTGGTGGAGCTTCACATCGACAGATTGGTCGTGTTGGACATTCATCAGATGTAGAGGAGCCCGGCCAGAGCGTATCAGCTGGAGATCCGCCTCGTTCTGAGGGTCGTCAAAACGACGAAGCTCGCCATCGTCAATACTGAATCCATCGTGCCAGATGTGGAGCACTCGTTCAACTGGGGGGCCTGTTGGCCTCTGTTCAGCACCACGAGGATCGGGGATGCTTCGGCTCTCCACGCCATCTCCACCAAGTGTTACGCCGGTGCCGCGGAAATGAGTCTGGCGAGAAGGGCCGGCTTCGGGGTTGGCATCAGATTGCCGTGAGTTGCTATATGATATTAGAAGACTACCATTTCAAGAAAGTATATCCACGTCACTCACGCTTTGGCCTTGGCCAAGATGTCACTGATAATCTTCCTCGAGCCGCCTTCTGATGTGGGATCTTGAACCGCAAGTCCAGACTTTTCGCCGCCGGCAAACAGATTGCCCCGTCCATCTTCCTCATCATCATCATCGTAGTCGTCGTCCTCGTCATCATCATCGTGGTGAGCAGCTGAGCCTCCTAGTGATCCCAATGTGGCAATTCCCTTCTTCTTCGGTTGCTTCGACTTCCGAGATGCCGCACTAGAGAAGTCTTCTTGCGGTGCAGGGCGGCCATCCAAAGTTCGTGGGCCGCTATACTGCTCAAGCGTGCCCTCTTCAGCCTGTTTCCTGCGTCGTTCGTCGTTTCGCTCATCCTCGTCGTGGAAGTAGGAGTTGCAGGCCGCCAGCATGTCCCAGCCGTTGGATTCAAGGTACTGAATGGCCTGTATCAATCAGTATTAGCGACTTGCTAAACAGCATGATGGATCCGCGTTCATGATTATACTAACCAGCTCTTCTGAGGCGCCACTCATGGTAACAAAGTTCCGTACCATCTCCTCACGATCTGGCACTTCATCTTCCCGCGCCATGGTGATGAGAAGCTATGAGGGGTCGTGAACAAGGTTGGAGATAAACAAAATTTGCAAAGAAGCAGAGTAATAGAGCTGAAGCTGCAACTATCAGTCGTTCTTGTCTTCCTCCTGTAAGTACGTACTATCGATGCCAAAAAAAAAATTGTATCTGTTGTTTGTTTGATAGCTTTTCGATTCGATTACCAAAGCAAGGCAGCGGCTCACTTTCGTCATGCGAGCTGTCCCACACGCCTCTCACTTTCGGCGCGGCACCTAAAAGTAGCGGGTGCTTGACCCCACCGGAATAGCGATCCACCGACCCGACGATGCATTATGTCAGCTTCCTTCTAATGCCGAGCATCTGCTCCGGATCGGCTTTATTCCAAGTAAACGGAGGTGCATCATAGCTTGCCAGCGCCTTGTCCAGCATCAATTCCCACCAGCGGCATCCCGTCATTCCATCTGGAGAAGCCATCACGATGTCTACCGATGATCTAAGCGCGCATCTGGCCGACTCCGGCGTCACCATGCGGTCGGACAGCGAGCAGTACTCCCCAGGCAACGAAGTATCGTCACCATCGTCATCAAACTCGCCGGTCATCCTGTACAATCCCCCGACAGCCTGGTCGCTGATACGGAGCGCCGCCATCAATTTGGTGCTGCCATTCATTAACGGCATGATGCTGGGATTTGGAGAGCTCTTTGCTCATGAATTCGCATTCAGACTAGGATGGGGCGGCACAAAGGTGAGTTTATGCAGCTGAGGGGTCGGATTCGAGAGAATCTACCTTTTGATTCTCTCGTTTCCAATCTCCTATATAAAAAATATATAAAAAAAAAAAAATCATCAATAAAAGTTGATTCGCTGACTTGCCCCGATGCATTATAGGTCTTCCCTGTATCTCGAAGACGGGCTCACCCCATTGGCCCTGGCATTGAAGTCCGCGAGCGACGAGAGCGGCCCGGACCTTCACTAGATGACATTGCAAGCTTGGAATAGGAGAGGAAGCATTTATAAATGAATAAAATACCTTGTATATGAATCAACCATGTCTAAATACACATATGCAGATGCATTCTAAAGACTGCGGCTCTCTTAGCTGCTGCATTTCAAACCATCATATTAGCTTAGCAGCGGGTAGCGGCATAAAGCTATCAGGCAATAATACTGCCGCGAAGTGCATCGTCAGCAACTCAACTTGCACGAAAACTGCGCTTCATGGCATTAGCATGGCCAATTCGGCTTTTATTATAATTGAGATACAAATACAGACTCTTCTCAGCTGTAACCCAGCAACGGTGCTATCATCCCACGTTCCATATTCGCTCTATTTACTACTAGCAGCTATCTCGCAGCACGCAGATCAGCGCACCCGGCGTGGGGTAGATCCGACATTTATCCGCCACTCTCGAAAAACCACCCAAGGCAGGCCCCGTCAGAAGCGCAACAATTTGATATCCAGACGCTTCACTCATACCGACAAGAATCCAGTCGCAATGCTTCCAAGCAGAGGGATTGCACGCTCCCTCCCTTCACCGGGAGCTTGGAGGCAAGCACAAACAAATCGATTGGCGGTACGAAACAGCTCTCCCCCGGAAAAAGAAAAGAATACCCTTGCTTTTTGGCGCAAATTTTCTTTATACAACTTTTTTTTTTTTTGGTTGGAGATCTCGCGACTAATAGCCGAAAGCAGCAGAATCTTTCCAATCGACAGCTCAGCCATGGCCGCCAATTCGGTACCTTGCTTCGAAGCACCAACGGTAGACTGACGACTGCCTCATCGCCATTCCGCACTCGATACGCCGCCGCCGCGCCAATTGTGCTCGGAGGAGTCTCGTCTTCAAGATCGCTGTCTCTGTGGGGTTGGGGTGGGGGAAGCAAGAAGGACGATTCTGCTGTTGCTGCTGCGACGACAACATCAGAGACTGCCAGCGATGCTGTTGCTGCACCGGCACCGGTAGAACAGGCCTCTGCTGCAACCTCTGCCGCAACCTCTGCTGCTCCCGCTGATGCTGCCGCCGCTGCGTCTGCGACCGAACCCGCCGTCGCCGCATCCGATGTCGACCTCTCCTCGATTTCGGCCCTCATCAACGGCCAAGACATCCTCAACATGCCCGAGGATCTCGGCTACCTGCACGCGATTGGGCTGGACTACGGCTGGGGCTTCACCTCCATCATGCAGTGGACTCTTGAGCACGTCCACGTCTGGTCTGGCCTAGGCTGGGGTGCCTCCATCATGGCCACGGCCGTCCTGCTGAGAGCCATCATGTTCTACCCTCAGATCCAGAGTCTCAAGTTCAACGCCATCATGCAGAGAATGAGAAAGGACCCTCGATCCAACGAGGCCATGAAGCTCGTCCAGCAGGGTTTCCAGGAGAGCGACATGGAGAAGCGTCAGCGCGGCCAGGTCCTCAACAAGATGCTGCGATCCGAGTACGGCGTCAGCAACTGGGGCATTCTGTGGTCGCTTGCCCAGATCCCCTTTACGTTCGGCCTCTTCCGCATTGTCAGCGGCATGGTCCACATCCCGGTGCCTTCACTGGAGTCTGCCGGCTTCCTTTGGTTCACTGACCTCTCCGCCACCGACCCTTACTTTATTCTTCCTGCTGCGGGTACCGCCCTCATGATGGGTGCTCTCCTGGTAAGGTTTCTCTACGCCCCAACTGACTACGTCTTCTTACTAACCAACCTTTTTCCCCACCAACAGATCAACGCAAAGCACACTCCCCAGCAGCAGCGCAAGATGCTCAAGCCCATGATGTACATCTTTGGCACCGTCGGCTTCGTCGGCACCACATTCCTCTCCGCCGCCGTCAACCTCATGACCGTCGCCCTCGGCGGCTCCACCCTCCTCACAGCCCTCATCCTCAACATCTCCTCCATCCGCCGCTCCCTCGGCCTCCCCGTCGGCCCCGTCGACGAGGCCCCCGCCCCTCAGAAGAAGATCCAGTACGAGGCCCCCCGCACGGAGGCTCCCGGCCTCAGCGGCCTCAGGGAGCGACTCACCAACAGCCTTGACGACATGAAGAAGGGCGTTTCCGAGTCCGTGTCCAACTACACCGGCACGTACTCTGGTACAGAGCAGGAGAAGGCCGAGAGGAAGCGCAGAGAGATGATCCGCAAGCTGGAGGACATGCGGAAGCAGCAGGAGCGCGAGCAGTTTGAGCTAAAGTACAAGGGCAAGAAATAAACAGCCTCATAGACTTCCAGGAGAAAGAACAAAGACCAGAAGAAAAACACATGAGTAGCAAGAATTGATGAGCAGCAAGAATCGCGCTGTTAGGGGGGGAAAGGGGGAAGAGAGAGGCGGAGGTTCTTTTTTTTTGGGTTAACCCTTTCTTGTACATGTACTACCTATTAAACCGCCAGTGTAACAGTAAATACATACGTAGAACGTATCGAGCGAGGCGAAACATGGGAGGGGTAGGAATGGCATAAAAATGACGGTGAAGAAGGGGGAGGGGGAGAAAAGAAAAAGAAGACAAAAAAAAAAAACACTTCAAACAGAGCTGAGACATTGTACAATAATAGGGGCTGAGTGGGCAAACCTCTTTTCGCAAATAGACTAAAGCATTCAAAGACACTCCCGACAAATAATTATAAAACAAACCAAATATATATATATCTATCGATCTATCGTGCCTTTTTTAACAAATTTACAATTTAAGATTCTTAAGATTCTCCCCCTATTATTCAAGCAAACCAAGTTGCTAAAACTTCAGGAAAGTTAGGACAACAATTTCAGCACCATGTAGGTAAAAAGGATCAAAATAAAGAAGAAGAAAAAACAGGCAAGGCAAAGCTAAGCCTGTATAATGTTATTTTATTTTCCTCCACCATAGAGCACCAGAAAAGCAAATATCCCATAATCTCTCTCCCTTCTCTCCTTTTGTTTTTTTCTTTCAAACAAGTTCCAACTCTTTTTTTCTTCTTTGCCATTTTTCTTTTCTTGTACGATTTTCGCTAGTGGTACCAAATCGTAATTATCAAGTTGAAAACACAAAAGAGAAAAAAATAGAACCGCCAAAAGATCTGCTTATCATTTCCGCATCGCAAAACAAAAGAACAGGCCAAAAATACAGTGCGTGCCATCCCATATATAAAAATCGAGAAAAGAAAAAGAAAAAGGAGGGTGAGATTTTGGTCGGTAGTTAAATAGTAATTTTTTGATCAATAAAAAGGGGGGAGTGAGAAGTGAAGAGCATCCGCTACCGCCACTTTTATTAGAATACTGTTCCGTCGCTCTCGATTAAGATCGGTGGCTCTTTCGTATTAGGCCGATTAATCTCGGCAATCTCACGGCCACCCTATCGAATGAATTAGTCTACCATTCTTTTAGGTGGTAATGTGTGTGTTGAGAGTGTTTTCCTTACCTTCCAACTGCCTGCTTCCATTAGCTGCGCCATGGTCATCTCATTGCCATCCAACTCCGACTCCAGCGCCAAGTTGACCTCCTCGCAGAGCTTGTCAAGCAGAGCGATTGTCAAGCCGCGCCACTCTACAATAACATCATCCGAAGTCGGGAACATGGGGGCAACTTCGATAACCTTGAGGCCGGAAGTTTTGCAGTATTCGCTGTAGTTGGCCAGCCCGCGGGCCATGTCAACCTCCTTGAGAGTCAAAACGCCGAGGTCGACAAAGAGGCCGCCGTTGCGGTACTCGGCTAGGCCAGTCAACAGCTCAGTTCCGGAAAAGTACATATTTAGCAGGGATTGCATAGGCTGCATGACGGAATACGCAAGCCACTGTGTCAGCTTGTGAAACGGCAGAATGGATTCCCACGAATTTGGGCCCGAGGTGGGTAAGGCTTCGCAGGTCCAGGCATCTCCAAGTTGGACGCCGTTGATTGCTGTCCGGTAAGGCCAGATGGACTCGAGGCTTTCCATTAAAATAGTCCACAGCACTGGTAGGGGGACGATGAGAATCGATGATGCTTGTGTTGCGGGATGTGATAGCAAGTGATCTTTAAGCATGGTTAGGATGGCACATAAACCTTTGATATAAAAGGGCGAATATTAGGGGGGTTACTCACCAACCAAGTTACCAGGGCGGCCATCAGCGCCAAAGTACTCTGGGTGCTCTGCAAGAGCCTCTGATAGCTTGACCAAAACCTCCGTTCGGCCCTCCAAGCCAACAATTTCGTTGTCGGGATCAGACTGCATGCCCGAGGCAATCTTAGCTACCGAGAGGGCTCCCAATGCCGTCTTATCAACTTGGTGCTTGTTGGTTGGGCTTGCCGAGAATATTCCCTGGTTGAAACCGAGTCAGCCATCAAAGTCTTTGGCAAACCGCTCGAACTAAACTTACTGATTTGAACATTTCCAGGCTGGCGACTGCAATGCCCTCTGAGCGCCTATACTTTTTGCCATTTTCAACGCTTTTATAGGTCCACGTAGTCCCGGCACCGGCATCCAGCAGCACACTGACGAAGAAGAGATCGACAAGTCGGCGGCAGCGCTCTGTGTTGTCGACGCTCTCAGGCCAGCTCCCCAGAAGCTCAGCTATCCGGTCTCGTCCCCCTATGCAGAAATGTTGATAGCGGCCATGGCTGGGAATGTCCTGGAAAGGAGCCTCGTGGTCCCTCTGTACACAAGCGTCTTGTTAGTCTAAATTCGCCCCCAGTTCTATGGGTAGAGAGATAATAGCAGGCATAATCCAACGGGGAAGGCGTGTTTTAGAGGCAGGTGAAACAAAAGATCGGACTGTCTTAAACAGTCCATTGTCATGTGCAGAGCAAGAGATACAATTCAAGCCCAACTTGACATTGTCAAATAGCAGCTCTCCACTACCCCAAAAAGCTTCCGCCGCTTCGAATCAATCGCAACCAGCGGACAGACGTACCTTGATAAGCCCTGAAACAAATGTCACAACGTTGGGAAACTTGTTCATATCAACATCGAAGTGGACCAGCTCGTTGTCCTCGGCCTTCTCCAAAAGGACCTTGGCCCTGTCGCGGATTGCGCCCAAGCTTCGCAGGTAGCCGGCCGGGTCCAGCGCTGGATCCGGTGGTCGGGGCAGATCCAGCTTGGGTATTTTGAGCGAGGGCAGCGGTGATAGAGGAGTGTTGGGCGTCAACATGCTTCCGGCAGAAACGCGGTTGTTGGCCAAGCTACGAAATGTGGAGGATCCGAAGCTGGTGGTGGACTGGGACTCGAGGATGCCCGACTCTCGAGGGGACTTTTGTTTACGGGAGAAGATACCCATGGCTGTTGATTATGCCAGGAGAGGCCAGATTCAAAAGGCGGTGGTGACGGCGAAGTCTTGTTCGTGGGTGGATGGTTGGTAGGTAATTTCTTTCTTTCTTTCTTTCTTTCTGTTGTGTGTATGTGCCTCGATATATAGAAGAATCGACAACGGACACCGGATCCGATGTATTCGGGTTTCGAATGCCAAACAATAAGGCCCGAGACGGGCAGCTGCAGGAAAATGGACCGATACAAAGAAGAGGAGACGAGGAGGATGAGGAGGATGAGGATGAGGATGAGGATGAGGAAGAGGAAGAGGATGGCTAAAGTAGGATGGCTAAAAGGGTATCTCGTGCAAGATGGATACTTGGTACTTGGCAGCTTCTGGGCTGCGAATCAACGGAACAAACTGAGCTGAGCTGAAGGAGTGCGGGAATCAAGAAGAAAAGGCAAAGAACAAGAATGAAGCAGAACAAGAACGCAGCGTCAAGGTGACGGCCGAGGACGAGCAGAAGAAGAGAAGAAATACTAATATCGATCCCCAAGCATAAGATTTTTGTTCCCGGCCTGCTGCCTCAAAAGGTACTGCACTGTACATACCTAAGCTACTGCTGCTACCCAGTAATACTCACTACTGGATGCTGGATCCCCCCCGGCCTGGCAATTTCAGGGAACCGTCGCCGCCCAGGACCCCCGACTCGAACTGCCAAAGAGCCGGAACTGGAAGGGAACGAACCCGCCCATCGGCTACAAATTGCAAGGAGAGCGGCGGGGGTGCGAGAAAAAAAGAACCACCAGCATCCCATCCCAGATTGGCCCCAATAGCGGTTACCAGCTGCCAGGTACGACGAGTCGGCGTGCGTGCTACAGCGACAGGGGCAGGTGAGCTAGCAGCTAATAGCGGCACTGTGCCCGGAGTTGAAGCGATGTGCTACCAGCGTTAGCAGGGAGGGCTAGCCGCAGCGCTTGCTGTGGTTATTGGTGCCGCCACGATACGATGGAGGCTGTGCGGTGCTTGCCGCAGTGCATGTACCGCCTCTAGTGAGTAGCAGCAGTAGCCGCTGCAGGTCGCAGTGATGGTAGCAGGCACCACTGAGACTCCTATACCTCTCCCACCTGCAACAGTACAGCACTGGACCCGTACGCACATACGTACTGGTCGCCGCTACATAGCATTACCGGACGGTAGCTCCAGAAGAGCGGGCAGCTCAATTGAACCTGTGCGCGCTACTGGGGCTCTTAGCACGTCGCGGCTAGCATCCCGATTTGCGATATCCGCAACCTCCTCCATCAGAAGCACCACTCGCTCTGTGGCTACCGTTGCCACTCAGGTCGACAGGGCGCCTAATAGGTTGTCGGGCAGCACCTAGACTTGCAAGGCCTGACGCTACAGGTCGCTAGCAGCACCCGGCCTCTTGCCTAGTACTGTAGCACGCTGAGCTGCAGTCAGTCCAAGAGCCTTATCTCGCTAGCATAACGTAACGTGAACCGCATCAATCTCACCTCACCTCACCTCACCTGCAGAGCACTCGTACGAACGCCTGCGGCTTATGGCACCTCGCTGTATGTCATACCCACCATAAACAATGGCTATGTGATGACCAAGTAGTGACGCATGCAGAGTCGAAAAGTGCTGCCTTCTCTTCGGCAGAGTGTGCGGGACTCCGCAAAAAAACCCTGACGGCATCACCACAGACCCTAGATGTGCTCGTGCTCCCTGAATTGACCCGTCGCCACTTATTTAGTGGCCTCTCGGCGTGGAGAGAGCCAGCGGTGCGGGCAACCTTGAGTGGCTCCCCAAAGACCAAAAAGACGCCGGCCAGGGGTGAGCATCCCGGACGCCGCTTGGACAGACTCGGGCCCCTTCTCGCGCTTCCATGCGGCTGGGGACTCGGACCGCCAACCCAATAGAGGCCGGCGGGGAGAGTTTTTTCTCTCTGCGCAGTGGCTCTCGATGGTTTGCCGACCAGGGTGAAAGAGAAGGCCATGGGGACCGCAGCTACAGTGCAGCAGTACAGGCACAGGCACAGTCACAGGCACACCCAGGCTAATGGGCTTGAGCTTGGCCTGGAGAGCGTGGCGAGATGGCCTCTGGACGGCCCCAGCGCTTGGAGAGATTTCGGGCAGTGCAGCGCAGTCCAAGCGCCCCCTAGGCCAAGCGCCAGGCACACGCGGTGCTGTTTTTTAGCCCTTTGACGGGCGGTCGTCGTGCCGATTGGCGATGGCCTGGCGATCAGCTGCGATTCACCTTTATACTGTAAGCGGACGCTGCAGAAAGCACTGATGCACACACTTCTGCTGCAGAGATGGGATGAACTAAGCTGAGCTGAGCCGAGCTGAGCTGAGCGGAACAGAGCAGAGCAGAGCAGAGCAGAACATGGAACCAAATCCGCACGTGCTGATGCAGCACTGCAGCACTGCAGCTGCACCAATTCGTCCAATGTCAGCCATGCCGTACAGGGAAGTACAGGCGAATTCAGAGTTTTCACTCTTCTCTTTATCCATCCCTCCCTCGGCTGGCAACCAGTTTTGGACACCCCTCCAACCACTGAGACGAGACCACAGAAAAAGAGAAGAGACCAGAATCAAGGGCGAGGGGGGGGGGAGCTCATGGCCGAGCAATTCGCATCCCTGTCTCCGGCGCTGCAGGTACGGATGTACATTCCGGAAGTGAGATGCTACCACGCGGATGTGCTCGTACCTCGTTCCCGAGGCCGTACCGGCCAGGTATGCTCCTTGTACCGACTGTCGTGGCGCGCTGCCAACCCGCCGCCCACAGCGACCGCGCAGGGACCATGCAGCAACCCGGGGCGGCGCGGCAGAGACCTCGGAATCGCACAGGTACCTTAGCACGGTGTGCTACTGTAGGTACCGTCGTAACCATCATTTTATTTTCCTCGGGCTAGGCTGTCTTTGGCTGCTGCCTGTCTGCGATCCTCATCTCATCACCACCCCGTATCCAGCAGCTACAGAGTACAGCGCCTTTTAATTTGTGCCTCCTTGGTGCGGCTCATCCATGCTGTGACACGCCAGGCCGGATTGGATGCTTCGAGCAAAGACAGGCGGGCTCGAGATGGGCCTTTTCGTCTCTTGTGTCCTGTCAGGCAATCAACATCATACCACCGCCGTGTGCTAGCACCAATATGCTGCTTTCCCCCGGCCAGTGGATGGTGATGCTCATATAGCACAGTATGTACATGGTGCACCCAGAGCATACAGTACCTACTGCCTAGATAGCACCTTGCTGTGGCCCTGTTTTGACCCCAGGGCAAGGGCTTCTCAATCTGGACAGGCTGGCTTTAGGCGATAAAAGAGTTTTTCCGATCAGGCTTTATACCGGGCAGAGGGACCTGTCACAATGGGCTCCCGTTTCAAAACGCATGGCAAGGATCCCGGGCCAGAAACATCGAACCATCACTTGGACGTCTCCCGCGCTTGATTGTGCAGTCAAAAACAGGAAACGGCCAATTAGCTGCGCGGCATTGCAGGCAGTACGCGTTTTATCTCTTTTATCTCGCTGCAATTGCGTCGCCGGTGCACCTTTCTTGGCGATTGTTTGATACCCTTGAGATGGGATGGGATGCTGTACTGCAATATCCACAGCGTCAAATATGGGTCCTACCTAATTCAGGAAGACCATCCCGGGAAATGATGCCATTTCACAGAGCGTGCAGGCTTGTTCCAGCCCTCAGTTCGGGATTGCTGCTCTCTGCTCTCTTCGTTGATGGCCGTTGCAGCTGGCCGCCAACATCATTGCCACAGCCAGCCCCCATTCTCAGCTCCTGACACCATCAGAACGAGTAATGAGCACGCAGACCGGCCCTGTCGCAGCTCGGGCTCTCTCACATGTCCCGACCCGAAAAGAGCCACAACGGAGCATGACACCGAGCGAACCTGTCCTGAACTGCACCATGCTCTACTTGTACTAGCAGGACCGCGGATATTAACCTACAAGAGCTACAGGCTGCCTAGGCCCAAACAAGCAAAACCAACGAAAGCGACCTCGTCTGCTTCCTCTTGATATGGAGTAGCTGCGTGTTGGCAGGTTCGTGGCCGTGCTGGCATCCTCTCCCAGCAACCCGGAGCCTGCTCCGTTGATGGAAATCTTTAATATATGCACATTAATCAGGATGCAACCTCGCGGCCCACATTAGCAAATTCGCCGATGCAGAAGTCGACGTTGGGCGACAAACAAGTGAGCAGGCATACAGACTAGATACTGTATGTACCTAAGCTCCTGCACTGCACTGGCTTACATTCCGCGGAAGCGATCCTGTACAGTATATCAAGATGACCCTCTGGAACTCCGTGCAGTTGTAACAGGAGCACCACAAGCATGCTACGCTGGACGGCTCATGTCAATCAGTGCAAGAATTTGACCTGTCAAACGTTTTGGCAGTGTTGCCTCCCGTCTCCTTCAAACAACCAGACCCAGCCCAGGGGGGCGTTTCCCAGCCTCTTTTGTGTTGTTGATCTCGCTCTCTGCCTGTTTCCTATTTCCACTTTCACGTGTCCATGGATCTTTTTTATACACTACATTGCGACGGCGAGCCATCCCGAGTCCCCGTAAGGAGAGGGGCTGCCCTTACCCACCCGGCGAAACAAATCTCGGTATCCGTTCTTTGTCAAGAAGCTCCGCAGGGTGGGATTTCACTCGGTAAGGCTTAAAGCAGCAGATGTTATGCTCTTCATTTGTCATTCCCATTTCTCAACATTTGGGCGAGCGAGTTCAGGCTTGGCGTATGAATTATTCCGCACAGTTGCTGGGCATAACTCACACTACTGCAATCCGCCCCTACAACTATATGGGGGAAATGGCTTCAAGTGAATGTGAACAGAGCAATACTATGACTACTACTACTATTGCCAGGTAAGGTGCTACCTACTAACACGAAGCAGAAAGTACGTACCTCACCCAAATCAAGACTCATCTTTCAGCCCTTTCCCACGAGGCTTGGTGTGATCTGGAGCATGGAGGCAGCGGGAAAAGTTACCGTTTGCCGCCTCGGGACCCAGCAAACCGGCCATGGTAGCGAATAAACTTGGGCCTGTGCGATATAGCGCGCGCCATGCATTCTCCAATTGAGGCTCAAGTCAGGAATGATACGCGACAGTGCAGAGTAGTAGTCGTCATTTAAAACGACGCTGCACGCGGGTACCTATTACTGTAGCCAGTGCTACACACCACAGAACAGAATGGTGTAGCAGTACTACAGCATGTCTCACACCAAGATGCATGTTTCATTTCGAATCTGCCGGATCTGTGAAATGAGATGTAGCACCATTGTCACCTCCATTCGCGCTGCACGTGCCGTACACAATCCCGAGATAGGCGCCCATTATTCATCCGCAGGCTGTCTGATCTCTTTCTTTTCCAGGACAAGTATCATTGGACTCATGTCGTGTGACCACATGTTGTGCTATGCAATGTCGCAGTTGGTTGATTAAGATTAGCATCAACGGTGCCGTAATAAGGAGTAGGTGCACTGGAGACTGTGAACTCTCGCTACCCGGGAGCCGATCCCGAATTTGCGAAATATCGCCTTGCCACGTTACGCGCGAGCACAATTCAGCCTATGAAGCCTATTCTTGGTGGTGAGTATAATCTGAACTTTTGGAAATTAGTTGTGTTGGCTTGTGCTATTCTATTGCAGTGGTGTGGGATGCGAAATGTGGTGTAAAGCACGGAAATGAGCTTTGACTAGTAGTAGTTGCGCCTCCGAATACGTGTATCGACACAACATAACATGCCTCTTTAAAGCTACCACCACAAGGATTGATGACCTTTTGACATGGAAGACTAAAAAAAAGGTGCTAATTTTAAATCAAACTCAAGATTATAGTAATGATTACTCACGGAAGACTCTCGATACACCTACCTTATCTAGGTATTACCTTGTGACTGAGATCATACCTGCTAATATTAGTAGGTAGTACGCCCACTCTGAATCGAAGCAACATGCCAAATACACGCCCATGGAACCGATGATCACGAAATTCTTTATCAGCACTTGAAAAATAGGAAAATAGAAACGGGCTACCACTAATTGAACCCAGTTGTAAGAACAATTAGTCTATATCATATGCCAGATGCAGCGGTACTTTTGCAAGAGCTCTCTATCTACGTCTCTAGCTTTATGACGTACATGCAATCTCTCAATCTCTTGTAACACAAGGGGCTTCTTCTTCCCCCCTTCTCCCGTGGTTCTAATCACACATATCTCATTTGGCTGAGATCAATTACAAGGTTCAAGTATAATATTAGTAGCTGTTCTCCGCAAGTGGGAATCTGGAGGCAGATGGCACTGACAGCTGATGATGATGCCAAGGAGTCATTAATCCTTGCTATTCATTGCCGAGAATGGCAAGGATATTGGTTCTTTTGATGATTCATTGGCAGCGGTTTTAATAGCATCTCATTAGTATTCGCTTTCTATTTCTAGTAGTTACCTCTGGCTTTCTATATGAAAGGTTTCTTTGATTGCATCTGATGAAGAGATACCACTGACATACGTTATCGCTTCACACGCCGACTAAATGAGAGCGATGCGGCAAATCATGCACCTGGTATGTAATTTCATGACTCGGTAATGCTTTTGAGCTGGATTTGAGTCTCTGACCGTGCATGGGGCTCTGCTCTGATCTTCACAGCATTTTTAACCCTCCTCGAGGCCTTCATTTATGGTAGATAATATCGCTTGATTGGCTGCTCCCAACCTCTCATTAGCCTTTTTGGTCTGCAGAGTCAGCCCTTTATGCACGGAACTTTTGTCTCCTTCACAGCATTTTAAAGTTTCCCAAAGGCTATATCTATTGATGAACTAGATAATGCTATTTATTGCCCCTTCACGGCGATTTTCCCTATCTTCGAAGCAGACATGTATCAATAATATCCTTCGCCTACAATATATTGGCGAATTCGGCATGTCCAGCTTTTCTCAAGAACGAGCAGTAATCTGACCAATGCCATGCTGGCAGCTAGATTAGGCATAAGACTGGCCAACCATAACCCCATCTTCTTTGATTTGGATACCGTCTAAAAGTTATAGATCATGTATTGTCTCAATGTCTCTTCATGGGTGTTGTTGAAGTACTTGGGCTATTTATCCCTTGGCAAGGGCATCGCAAATCACTGCTGATGACCTTTCACGGCATCAATAGGCCATTATACATAATCGAAGCACAAAGCTGTGATGAGAACACTACGAGTGCAGCCACGACTCAGTTCAACGAGTTACCAATATGGCGTGTTTCTTTTGAGCTTTTATTGAATGATACATCTGTTACTCGGTGACAATTGCAGGATCATGCTCCGAATGAAATCCATAGCCATCATCCAAACACGACTCGGTTCAAAAAAAAAAAAAAAATACCAATCTACGCATTCAAGATGGTTAGCGAAATCATCAGAATGTCACGAGGAGGAATGTTGCTCACCTGATTAAACTTGCTACCCCTTTCCTCCACAATTAAAGAGCCGGGCATGCCCCTAATCCTCGGCTCTGCATTTGCCCCAATTACGTTGCGCCCGCAGTTATACTTTTCCCTTATGCATCTTTCCTGTGTGACAAGGAGAGTGGATTACGCAATGAGATCTGCGACGTTCATCGGCATCTCGTCAATTTGAGTTGAGTAGTACACTGAGTCATGTTAGTTGCTGTCAAATGGAAAAATGTGGGGGGCCGGGAACGTACACTCAATGTCTCGGAGGATGCGTACGTCCTCTGTCGTCACAAAGTTGATGGCTACACCCTTGCGACCAAACCGTCCGCTACGGCCAATTCGGTGGATATAGTTCTCTCGGTTACTAGGCAAGTCGTAGTTGATAACTAGACTGACTTGCTGAACGTCGATACCACGTGCCCAGACATCTGTCGAGATGAGCACTCGGCTGTTACCCTGTCTGAAATCTTGCATGATGCTATCACGCTCCTTTTGAGGCATATCACCATGCATGGAGCTAACAGTAAAGTTTGCCTCGCGCATCTTGTCCGTGAGCCAGTCGACCTTCCGGCGAGTGTTGCAGAAGATGACGGCTTGGGTAATGGTGAGCGTATCGTAAAGATCACACAGCGTATCGAATTTCCAGTCTTCCTTCTCCACAGCGATAAAATATTGCTTCAAACCTTCAAGCGTAAGTTCGTCTCGCTTGACGAGAATTCGGACGGGGTCGGTCATGAACTTGGTGGTCATGTCGAGGACATCGTAGGGGAGGGTGGCACTGACGACCACAACCTGAGTCGCTGGTGGTAGATAACGGTAGACATCATAAATTTGCTCTCGGAATCCCTTGTTAAGGAGCTCGTCTGCTTCATCCAGGATCAACATCTTGATGTGCCTCGTTCTAAGATGGCGTCGTCGAATCATATCCGCAACTCGTCCAGGTGTGCCTGATACAATGTGCTGGCCGTAATCCAGCTTTCGAATATCCTCTCCAACGTTGGTGCCTCCGATACAGGCGTGGCATTGCACATTCATGTAATCGCCCAGAGCCATGACGACCGATTGGATCTGGGTGGCCAATTCTCGAGTGGGGGACAGAACAAGGGCTTGAGTCTCGCGCACGGCCGTGTCAATAACTTGCAGCATGCTAATCGAGAAGGTGGCCGTTTTGCCGGTACCAGACTGGGCCTGTGCGATTGTGTCGCGTCCCTTGCAGATCTGGACAATGGCTCGCGACTGAACGGCGGATGGTGATTCGTAGCCGTAAGCGTAAATGCCGCGAAGAAGGTTCTCTGGAGGTTTCTCGTCAGCATGACTTTACATGAGCGATACAATGCTCACAATGCCAGCAGCAGCAGAAGCAGAAGCAGAAGCAGAAGCAGTAGCGGTTGGTCAGTTACCTTTCAGCGACATTGCTTCAAAGGTCGGATGCACCGTCACTTCTTTGGAGGTGGAGAATTCCATCCTCTCATCCGCCTTGCGGTCAATTCCTCCAGCGCCTTCAGCCATGATGCGAATATGTGTACTGGTGTGATGAAGGATAAAATATTCTGCTGAACCTGTCGGCAGCTTTGGGATGAAGTCGGGTTAGCAGTTGGGGAATCTGGGCTCTAAAACTTTGGCTCGATCGATAACGATTCTAGCGGCGGTAATACTCCGGCAATATTGATAAGCCGCTTTTGCCCCCGGCTCTCCAAAACGCGACCTGCTTTGGTGTTTTTTTATATGGAGTCATCAAACGCTACCACCAGCCTGTCTGACATCTGGATTGGCAGCGATTCTTTCTTGGTATTCGCGCCGGCTTCTTCTCTTTTCTACCACTCATTCTTTCCAGAGTGAAACAGGCACAAGATGTTGGTTTTGGAAGAACAACGATACATTCATGAGGACCTGGAGCGCCTCGAACAGGGCATTGCGGATCGCATCCGTGAGGACCCCAAGCATGTGAGCTCTCTCCCAACCCGAGGCTTCAGTTCTTCGTAGCTAATGATGCATCCTGGTGCAGATCCGCGACAGACTCAACCGCGATCACGAAGTCGCACAGCTATTGGACCAGATCCAAGCGCAATCCCAGAATCTGCTAAACATTTACAAGGACGAATCCGGCAACAGGGCGCAAGAGATCCAGCAGATTGGCAGTGGAGACCCCTTTGAAGAGTTTTATCGCCAGTGGAAGGACGTTCGAGACCATCACGCAAGATACCCCAACGAGCAAGCAGAGAACTCCGAGCAGCGCTACAAGTTATCAAGACATGGCGATCCATCAGAGCCCTTACCGTCCATTGTCGACTCTCTTTTCTCAGGCGAAGAGGCTTATGGAAGATTCTTTGATCTGAACACCTGCCACGAAGCTTTTCTAAATTTGCCAAACGTAAAGCGTTTGACATATCTGCAGTATCTGGAGCTGTTTGATAACTTTGCTCCTGGCTTCGCGGGTGTTAAGCGAAACGAGAAACTGACAGATCAATATTTCCAATATGTTGGTGATTTAAGTGGCTATCTTGAGTCATTCATGCGACGAACTCGGCCTCTGGAGAATGTGGACAAGATCATGCAGACTTTCGACCAGGAGTTTGAAGAAGTTTGGGCCAAGGATGAAGTGGAGGGATGGAGTCTAGAGCAGGGAGCATCCAATTCAACCAAACAGCGAACGGGAGATGCTATATGGTGCGATGACTGCGAGAAAGAATTCAGCAACGAAAACGTCTATAAGAACCATCTCACGGGACGAAAGCACATCAAGGCCGCCGAGCAGCGAAGCCGACGGCAAGAAGAGTCCAAACCCGACACAAACGGATCCGGGAAAGGGGCCGTCTCTGCGACTAGGCTAAAAGAGCGAGCGGTGGCAGAGCGTGAATACAGAGTCAAGCGGTTGGCTAGCGCCATGAGCACTGAGCGAAGCGATACCCGTGTCAACGTTGAGCGTAAACAGGGCATGACAGAAAGAGAACGCCAGCAGGAGTTGGAGAACCTCCTCAATGTGACCGAGACACGGCATGAGCCAGCAGAAGAAGGCGATGGCGAAGGAGAAGACGGCGAGGAAAAGATTTACAATCCTCTCAAACTTCCCTTGGCATGGGACGGAAAACCCATTCCCTTCTGGCTCTATCGATTACACGGACTGGGTGTGGAATTTCCTTGTGAAATCTGTGGAAACTTTGTTTACATGGGCAGACGTGCATTCGACAAGCATTTCAACGAGGCGCGCCACGTGTATGGCCTGAAGTGTCTGGGCATCGCAAACACCAGCTTATTCAGGGATATCACGGGCATTGATGAGGCGATGAGACTCTGGGAGAAGATCCAGAAGGAGAAGAGGAGGGGTAAGATTGATGACGGCAGCGTCGTGCAGATGGAGGACGGCGAAGGAAACGTTATGCCGGAGAAGGTCTACTACGATTTACAGAAGCAGGGTCTGCTTTAATTCTTACATCTATAATCATTCGGGAGTTTATGGAGAAAACAATTCGGGATTATAAGGGACAAATTGTTTGGAACTACATACGTATCTATAGGCAATTATAGTATAATAGGAAGAATGCGATAAATGCTGTCTAAAGAAAGCCTTGGTTAAGAAACAGAAGGAAAAGGGAAAAAGAAATTGTACAGGCACACAAATTTAAACTATAACAGCATATAAGAAGGATTTTAGTGGCTCAAATGTGTGTTATTCACTTTGCATGACAAGCCGTTTCAACCCCCTCCTTTTTCTTACCCTGCATGTTCAATCTGATTGGAGACTTGGTACAGAGGTTTTTTACATTGTGTCAACAACAATATTGCTAAGCCTTGCCGCTTCCCTCACTTGTTTTGAGCACCGTTTTCATCTCCAAATTTTTGAACTGCTCAGCCGCAACATGCAGAAGCAATTTTTTGAGCTGGATCCTCAAGGAGACGTGCTGCTAACCCTCCGACGCCCGAACGTGCTTAAATTCTTCTGGCGCTCACCCACGTCGGACAAGCTAGCTGACCGCCCAGAAGCAGGTAATGATGCTCCTGGAAGCGTCGGCCCTGAGCATAAGCCAGGGCCCGGTGAGCCTATGCCTGGCATGGATGAACCCAGTGCGGGCGAGTAAGTGCTTACCTGTTGCTGGTGGCGGCAATGATGCTACGAAAACGAAATCGGATGAGTAGTCGCCTGTAAGCTCCGTGCTGATGAATGAATTTAGGGAATCTGAACAAGTGCAATTTCTGCTCTCTTCACGGCACTTGAGACTCGCGTCGCCTGTCTTTGATGCCATGCTATTCGGAGGCTGGAAAGAGAGCACTGATCTCGCTGAGCGGCCTAGAAAAATTGCCAGACTAGAAAATCCAGATACATCTAATTCAGGACTGCAGTTGTGTCATGAGATATCAGCAACAGAGTGGAACACAGAGGCGCTTCTCCTCCTGATGAACATTATTCATGGCCATCATAGGAAGCTGCCGCGTGACGTTCACTTAGACATAATGACACATTTTTCTGTCCTTGTAGACTACTACAAGTGTCACGAAATAACTGAAGTGTTTGCCCATCTTTGGATAGACAGGCTCAAGCCTTCCCTGACAAGGTCATACCAGTATATGCCTATGATCTTCGTGTCATGGGTCTTTTCAAACGCCGCTGTATTCGAACAGATGACAGAGCTGGCCATAAAGGAGAGCGAAGGTCCGCTGCAGACAATGAGCTTGCCGCTGCCGCCAATAGTAATAAGTATGAGGCCATGGCATATGTGATGAGGATTAGAGCTGACTTATGACACAGATGCCCTTGAGAAAAAGAGAATGAATTTGTTGCATAATATTCTACACATACTGAACGAAACGCGTGAAGGCCTGGTCAAAGGCACCAAAGGCTGCAGATTTGATTGCTCCTCTATGCTTCTTGGCGCGCTCATCATAGGAATGGAGAAGCACAAAATTGTCCCCCATCAACTTCTAGAATCGTGCTCTGACCGAAGCATAAAGGAGATCAAGTTGATTCTGCTTAGTCTTGATACGCCAATCTGGCATGCCCTACAAGACGGAGGCTATCGTCCAAAACAGCATTCTTGCACCGTAAAAAGCATGCTTGAGCCAGCCCTTGATAGGGATTGGAGAAAATCGAAGGGCCTGAAACTAGATGATTTCCGCGTTCAGCAGAGAGATGAAGAATTGCCCAAGGTGTAAACAAGATTTGGGAGGAGGCTTGGATATAAATGTTACCCGCCTACCGACTGTACTCTGTACCCTAGGTACCTATACAAATACAAGAGAAGCGTGACGCGCATCCGCTCTATGAAGCAATGATAGCTATGGTTTTATTTTTTAGTGATAGCTCTAGGTAAATATATATATATTTCCGGCTCTATTCTTGGCTTCTACATACTAGAACTCAATGTTCTATAAGTCATAACGACTCGCTCATATTTGATACGAGTTGTTCTTCACGTTGGATGAATATGCTTAGTCATCATACTTTAGCCATCCTAAAGCAAACACACGGAGCGCTCCTCGTACTACTAGTAGTAGCAGTCTTTTACCCTCCATAAACATAATATACCCAAAATCGGTGCTGATATTGAGGGAACATTCTGGATTCGAGGCGTCGAAAAAAAAAGGCATGTCAAGTCTGGCCAAGCCTCTGCCTGCTTTGTATGCTGTTTACGTCTTGCGCTCCACGGTGAGAAGCAAATCGATATATGTGGGATCCACGCCAAATCCACCAAGACGGCTCAAACAGCATAATGGAGAGGCCAAAGGCGGCGCGGTGCGAACGTCGCGCGAGAGTCTTCGCCCCTGGGAGATGATTGTGCTTGTCACCGGATTCCCGAGCTCGGTAGCAGCCTTGAAGTTTGAGTACGTGTTTAGGAAAGCCTGAATATCCTGCATCTCAAGGGGTCGCCTCATGTGCTGATATTTATTTTACAAGATGGGCGCTCAACAACCCGCATCTCACACTTCATATACCAAAAGAAGACCGTATTACAGTGGCAACTCGGAGGAAGAAGAATGGCATGCCAGCACGGTCGCCGCATGCTCTTGACTCCATTATCCCCAACCTCCATCTTCTCACAAGTGTACCAAGCTTCGCAAGATGGCCATTAAACGTGCACTTCTTTAGCAAAGACGCACACGAGGCCTGGGTGGACCGACTAATAACAAGCAAGACTCCTGCTCGAGCCGGGCTGGAGGTATTCAGCGATCTTGGCGCATCCGCGGATGACCAGTCGACGACATCAAGGGGTATTCACTCTTTGCCACTGGACTACTGGCCGATGAAGGAGTACATAGAAAAGGCTCACAACACCGTATTATTCGAGAAACAGGGCCAATGTATTCACTGCCATGAGGGAATGGAGTCTGACCAAGGTTTATATGCAATGTGCCCCAACGATGGCTGCGAGGCAATGGGGCACCTTGACTGCTGGAGCAAGCGTGCCTTGGCCAGCGATGATGACCCCACAGCGATTCTGCCAAACAGCTGCGAATGCCCATCATGTGGCGGTAAGATACGATGGGGAGACATGATTAAGGAGCTGAGTCTACGGACACGCGGACCTGGCGAGGTGGAGAAGCTGCTGAGGAAGAAGAAGAGGCTGGCTGCGAAGGAATCGTGACAGAGCCAATTGGGTGTTTTCCGGAGCTTCTCGACCTGGGCGTTATTGGCGAAAGTATGTATAGATTTTGGGTTGCGTGTGTTTTGGACTCTTATTTTGCCTTCTTTTAATGGCATTTAATACCTACCATAGAAGCCATTGACGTATACATTGCATGCAGATACTTTAGTACCTAAGTAGGTTTGTACATTATGTTCCTGATGATCATTGACCATGATCCAGGCAGATTTGCGCTTCGCTTGTGCCTCAACCAGTCTTCATGTTGATGGTGGGGTGATGACGGCACCAACGGTCAGTGGGGGATTTTTTTTTGCCAGCGCCCCAAAGTCGCGGATCGCGGGTTCGGTAATCTGGGCTCGGAACAATGAAAGAAACAGGCAAGGCGCGTGAAAAGCGGCCGTCACGAGACACGAGACCTCCTTTAATGGCTCTGGTGCATTTGGCGTAGGAGGTACATACATGTATGAATAGTGCTACTATCATACCTTTGGTGCGGGTGCAGGTATTGAGCGTTGTGCACATGTATTTGGGCCAATGCAGGATATTTGCAGTGGCACGAGCCGAGTGCTACCCCTTTGCTTTAGTAAGCTCATCTTCTTGTCTGTTGCTGTCATTTATTATTCATCCCGCGTGGACCAGCATGTGTCTCATCGCTGCACTGAAATGATCCTGCTGCATGAGGCTGCTGCGCCGGTTACTGGTTGTGGACACGGCCATTCAACCTCACCGGTGCCTGATTGGCTCGGTTGCTGCCCACCATGGGCCTCACCCTTGTCGGTGCAACCACTCATATCAGATGTGTCCCTCTAGCTGAGGAGGGAAAAAAAAATCATGGGCGCGGCGTGGTCAGCAGCTGCGAAAGGGAGACTAAAGTAGTCGGAGCATATATGAGTAGTAGTAGTATGAGCAGATGTTACTGGTGTGTGGTTAAATCGAACGACTCTGACTTTTTCGATTGATTACCTGTGGAAGCGACAATGCTATCCGCGTCTTTCTCCTTTTCCTGTTTTATGGCAGAACTGCGCCCATTGCTGATGGGCTTTTCCTTGAATACCGAAGGATTTGACGGCTGACTGACTCGACACGCGACCGACGTGCTTCCGGAAACTCGGTATTGTGTCGCTGCGGATAAGCATCTGAATTGTCGTGTCGCCTCTATTGCGCCAGACAGCTTCTCGATGTAGATGACGTTTTCTCTTTTTCTCTCTAGTTGTCTTATACCCAGGCTGCAAGCCATTAGCTGTATTTAGGTAATTATCTCCTGTCTACTTAACAAAATTCGATATTGGCGACGCAGTAATCGCAACACATGCAATGCGCTTGACGGGCTATGAAAACTAAAAAGAAGCTAATGCAATAGTCAGTCGCCTTCTTGCCAGCGCAGCCCACATAAATTTCTTCTATTTGCAAAATTACACTGCTAGTGATAGCCTCGGGCATAAAAATAGCGGGAGGCTGCGAGCAAACAGGCGGCTCAGCAAAAGAACTGCTAGAAGCCAGGCCGGCCGGATGTCGTCTTCAGTGGGGCGTGTCACTCGCATGGTCGATATTGTACTTGTACCTACAGCTTCTCCATCGCCGTCTGGGGCGCCATTGTAAACGCCGCAAAAGAAAAAAAAAAGAGCGAAAGAGAAAAAAAAGCAAGAAAAGTCAAATGCAGTAGATGTTTATGTTTATCTACATTGACGCTACCCGGAAAATGCAGTCGTCAGGAATCATCTACATCTGGCTCGAGGCTGTCTCCCTGGACATGTCACGCCCCTCCGTGCTGTGCGCTGCCTCTTCTGCCTCGTCGCGCTGTTTTGTCGGGGTCGGTGCCTCCGGTGGGAGCACTGCAGCGGGCCCGAGAGCGAGAGAGACGCAGCGAAAAGAGGAGCATCTGAGGGCACCGGATCGTCCGCACAGCGAGCCAAAAGGTCCTCAAGAGCCCGCCTGGACGCACTCCATCAATGGCAGGCTCCATCATGCAGAAGGCACTCTAATTCGGAGCACGGATATAAAGTACAGGTACCGCGCCGCCTCCAAGCAGGCAAGGTACTGAGTACTGGACGCGACAGGGAGCCTCCGGGGCTGAGGGAGCCTGGTCGGGAGCCACTGGTAGTCTCCGCAGGTTCTCGGTACTTGTCGCCGCAAAGAGCACGCGGAACGCCTTGCCCGTATAAAGTTGTTGCTCAATGTACTCCGTACCACGCTCTCAGGCCAGACGCAGAGCAATAGGCCGCATACGGCGTAGCAGCGGTACTTGCCCAGTTAGAAGGCGCCTGGGATCCATCGAATCAGCAACCGTCCATTGGCTGCCTGATGGCTGGGCCCACCCACACGGACCATCTGGCTGGCGGGCTACTTCCTGCCGGGGCTGGCTGCAGCGCATTGCAGAGGTACTGAGCCGTATTACTTGTACCGGTACGCTGCACATACCAAGTACTTGCACTGGCAGCAGCTCGCTCGGCAGGGCAAGTACTAGCAGCTCGCCGTGGCCATGTTCCCAGTACCTGGCCTGGAGCAGCTCGCGCCAGCACTGCAAGGTACTTGGTACCGCAACGAGCACGGTGCTCCAGCCGCTCGAGGTCCCTTCGACGCTCTCTCTGCATCGCTCTCGCCAGGAACGTCCTGCGCACCTTCTCGCCGGAAGCCTCGACCCATATTCCCACTCGTGCGCCTCCCACTCTCCAAAGCTAATCTCGCTCCGGCATCTGCACCACCCAAAGGGCCAACGAGACTCGCAGAACTCGCATCACCGTTGCTGGCTCTCTGCTTCTGCGGCTCCCTTGGCCCTGACGTCGAATCGTCCTCTGTGGCTCTATAATACAAACGCTCCAGCGCTGTTTGTGTCCTATATGTATGTCTCTCCCGCGGCGTGCGCTCTACTGCTCTTCGTGTTAGTTGGGACTTGGCGCCATGTTCCATGTTCCAACTGTGCTTGACCACTTGTGTTAAAAAAAAATAACCGTCTTTCCCTCTCCAACACCAAGTACTCATCCTCTGTTAGTCGAGCCACGATTCGCCTCTTTTTTTATTATTATTATTTTCTTCTTTTTTATTTTCTCAGTGTCGGCTCAGACAGAGGACAACTACACGGCCTGCCTTTGATCACGCCTCGATTTGGTGATCCTCAGACGTTATAGTCCCTCGCATACATGATGCGATGCGGATTGTGCCCTCACGATAGGTGTTTCCTTATATGAGCCTCTCTGGCCGACTTTTCCCTCCCCATATCGAACGAGAACAATATCAACGACTGCGCCTGCTCTCAACCACGCCTGCCGCCTCCGAATTCTCAGCGCCGGGATTCCGTTTGCGCCATGGCACCGAATGCCTCCCTCAGCGCCGCGACGGCTGTCACCAGCAGTGCCAATGCGAGTTCGCGCAGCTCGCCTGCGATTGGATCGTCTGCGACCCCTTCATCCTCGAAGCCGAAACACAAGGTCAACTCCAACGGCTACCACCCCTCGAACCCACCCGTGCCACTGAGCTCCATGGTCAGCGCGCCATTGGATCTGACCTCGGTCGAGAGACGCGGCCAGCCTACAGCGGTACGAGAGCCGCTCAAGAAGAAAACACGACCACATGGCATCTCAGAAGCCCCGACCTACTGCCCGACGGAGGACGATTGGCGTGACCCCCTGCAGTTTATCAATAAAATCGCTCCAGAGGCATCCCAATATGGCATTTGCAAGATTATTCCGCCGGATTCATGGAATCCTGAATTCGCAATTGACACCGAGGTACGCATTTTTTGCACCGATACTCTGGGCTAGCTGCGTGCGCGATGATGCAATGACTGACAGATTGACAGAAATTCCACTTTCGGACACGAAAACAAGAATTAAATTCTGTTGAAGGCAGTGAGTTTCTCTACTATATACAATCTCTCTCCAACGTCGAAAAGAGGGAAAAAAGAAGAGCCTGGGAGTCAGTTTTGCTTATATTAATTTTTTCATTCAGGTACGCGAGCCAATCTTACGTATCTAGATGGCCTTGCCAAGTTTCATAAGCAGCAGGGAAACAACCTGCATCGCTTACCATATGTCGACAAAAAACCACTTGATCTGTATCGCTTGAAAAAAGCTGTCGAATCTAGAGGCGGATTTGACAAGGTGTGTAAGCTGAAGAAATGGGCCGAGATTGGAAGAGATCTTGGATACAGTGGCAAAATCATGTCATCCCTGTCGACTTCTCTTAAGAATTCCTTCCAACGGTGGCTCTGCCCCTACGAAGAGTATCTGCGCCTGGCAAAACCTGGAGTACACCAGCAGCTCGAACAGGAGTACGGCGGCCCATTGACACCGAGCCCCGCACAGACACCAATCAAGCGATCCTCTGCCAACACCCCGAGCAGTGTCCGAGGAGCCTCGCCCGCTCGGCAAGCATCCGATGCCCTCCAGAACAGCGTTGGTAACAAAAAGGAGGTAGATCGAGATACGCCCATGACCGATGCACCGCAGGCAGCTCCTGCCTCTGGTGGATTTACGGCTATTAACACCAGCGGCGGTTTCACGGCAGTCAATTCGGGATTTACTAGTGTAAATCGTCCTACCAATGGCGAGAACAAGAGTTACACACCAGACCCTAAACGTTACGACAGTCCTGCCACTTCTGCGAGAAACACCCCCGAAGCTCGACCATCTAGTCTCAGCTCAGCTGCTGCGCTGAAGCGCCAATTGAGCACTGGGAGCCCGGCAGATGCTATCAAGAAGGAGGCGGATACCGACAGAGATGATGCTGACAACGCAAGCCGGCGTAGTAGTAAGCGCCTCAAGAAGGACAACGTGCCTACGGTAGCCGGGTCGCACATGACCGTGTTTCGCCCGTCTGCTCCACGAATCCCTCGGGAAGAGGGCGCGGCCGCCGGAGGAAAATGCGAAAACTGTGGACGGGGCGAAGACAGCGGCCCTTTGCTTGTTTGCGAGTCCTGTGACCATGCGTACCACGGCCCTTGTCTCGATCCCCCGTTGAAGCGCAAACCCGACGCTGAGTGGAACTGCCCACGATGCCTGGTGGGAGATGGCCAGTTTGGCTTTGAAGAGGGCGGCCTGTACTCATTGAAGCAATTTCAACAAAAGGCAAACGACTTCAAGCAGGGCTATTTTGAGCAAAAGATGCCTTTTGACGAGACCCTCCAATGCCACCGGCCGGTCACCGAGGAAGACGTCGAAAGAGAATTCTGGCGCCTGGTGGCTGACTTGGAAGAGACTGTCGAGGTTGAATATGGCGCTGACATCCACTGCACTACGCACGGTTCCGGCTTTCCCACTATCGAAAAGCATCCGAATAATCCATATGCCACCGATCCATGGAATCTCAACGTTCTCCCTTTCCACCCGGACAGTCTGTTTAGACATATTAAATCCGACATCTCTGGTATGACCGTGCCTTGGGTTTACGTGGGCATGATTTTTTCGACGTTTTGCTGGCATAACGAGGACCACTATGCTTACTCAGCAAACTATCAACACTTGGGCGCGACCAAGACGTGGTATGGCATCCCTGGAGAAGATGCGGAGAAGTTTGAGGCGGCCATGAAAGAAGCCGTGCCAGAGCTCTTTGAGACTCAGCCAGACTTGCTCTTTCAGCTGGTCACACTCCTCACGCCCGAGCAGTTGAAAAAGGCAGGCGTACGCGTCTACGCATTAGATCAGAGAGCTGGTCAGCTGGTCATCACGTTTCCTCAGGCTTACCACGCCGGCTTCAACCACGGCTTCAACTTCAATGAAGCTGTCAATTTTGCCCCCTGTGACTGGGAGAAATTTGGACAGGCTGGAGTCGAAAGACTGCAGCAGTTTCGCCGCCAACCATGCTTTTCACACGATGAACTGTTGTGGACAGCTGCTGAGGGAAGTGCATCTTCAGGTCTGACCATTCAAACAGCAAAATGGCTCGCGCCAGCTCTCGATCGCATACGCCAGCGTGAGCGAGCACAGAGAGACGAATTCCTCGCAAAGCATAACGAAGTATCTCCTCATCGATGCAAGGTCACTGGGGGAAGCGAAGATGCTTGTCCGCTCTCGTTCAAAATCGACGACACTGATGTTCACGATGAGGAAGAGCAGTGCTGCAGCTATTGTAAGACGTTTGCATATCTGTCTCGTTTCAAGTGCCACCGTTCGGGCAAAATCCTATGTATTTTCCATGCGGGAATCCATCCCTGCTGCGACATGCCGGAGGAGAAGCGGCTTGCGGGCGAGGAGCATACGCTAATCTACCGTAAAACCGATGAAGATATGACTTTGGTGTATCAAAAGGCGTCTGACAAGGCACATACACCCGAGGCGTGGGAGGAGAAGTATGACAGGCTTCTGGAAGAGGAAGCCACTCCGTCTCTGAAGACTCTGCGAGCTCTGTTGCATGAAGGCGAAAAGATTCCCTATGAGCTTGCTTCTCTGCCTATTTTGAAAGAATTTGTTGACAGGTGCAATGACTGGGTTGAGGAAGCTACAAATTACATTGTTAGAAAGCAACAGAACCGCCGCAAGAATGAGAAAGTTTGGCAAAACACTGGGCGCCGAGGAAGCGCCAATAACGACGCGAAAGAGAAGGAAAAAGAAATCCGCCACGTAGATAATATTTACCGGCTGCTTGCAGAGGCAGAGCACATCGGGTTCGACTGTCCTGAGATTGCGCAACTCCAGGAACGCGCTACCGCCTTGAAGCTGTTCCAAGATAATGCCTCTGCCGCGCTGAAACAGAACGTGCCTCCTCCAGTTGAAACAATCGAGGAGTTGATCGAAGAGGGGCGCGGCTTCAATATTGATACCCCAGAGCTAGAAGCTTTATCTCGGAGGTTGGAAGAGCTACGCTGGAACGAGAAGGCTAGGTCAAACCGTGCGGTGTTACTCGGAATGACGGATGTACAAGAAATCATTGAGGAAGGGAAGCGGCTCGAAATTCCCAACTACAACGACCACTTGAAGTACTACCATGACAAGCTGGCTGCAGGCCAAGCTTGGGAAGCAAAGGCCCGAGAACTTACGCACGCTGAATTTGTTCACTATTCTCAATTGGAGGCTCTCAGAGCGCAGGTGCAAGCCAATTCCCTGCCTGTTTCTCGTGAGACCTTGGCCGCTGTCGACCAGATACTCCACAAACAGCGCGAGGCGCATCTCCAGATCATTGACCTCACCGAGCGGTGCCGCGATCCCGATTTTAGAAAGCGACCCAAGTACTCAGAAGTTGTCGACATCACTAGAAAGCTAGATGATCTCAATTCCAAGCCGACTGGCACCGTCGATCTAGAGAATGAGAGAAAACGCCATGAAGATTGGATGCGCAAGGGCAAAAAGCTCTTTGGTAAATCGAATGCGCCATTGCATATTCTTAAAAGCCATTTAGAACACGTCCTCGAGCGAAACACTGATTGCTTCGACACCGACCACGACACCCCACGCCTTCCAGGAGAGCCTGTATCGAGAGAAGCTAGCCCGGAGGCGGGATCAGGCAGATGGGACGATCGATCAAGGCAGGTGTTTTGCATATGTCGGAAGATTGAGGCTGGTATGATGATTGAGTGCGAATTATGCCATGAATGGTAAGTCCTGACGATATGTGCCCCCCTCGAAAGAGAGCGAAAAAAAAAAGCTAAGTAGCATTTTTGCCCACAGGTACCATTACAAATGTCTCAAGATTGCCCGTGGCAAGGTCAAGGAGGATGACAAGTATACCTGCCCGATATGCGACTGGAGAATGAAGATCCCTCGCGACGCGGCTCGACCTAAGCTGGAGGATCTCACTGCCCTTGCCGACGAGATACCAGGCCTACCATTTCAGCCGGAAGAAGAGGAAGTTTTGCGGCAAATCATTGATAATGCGCAAAATTTCCGAGATAAGATTGCCCAGTACTGCAACCCGCTTCTTTCGACAGAAGCCGAGGCCGAAACTCAGCGATTTTTCCTTCGAAAGCTGGAAGGCGCCGAGATTCTGCTGTCGTACGAGACCAATTTCTTCCGTCAAGAGCTCCACAAGTGGTGTCCTGTCGCGCCGGAAGCGCCGCCGATTCTGCAAGTCTCCCTGAGCACGCGCAAACCTCGCCCTACGAAGCTACAGAAGATGCTTGTTGAATACGGGGTCGATAACCCGGACGACCTACCAGAGCATGCGAAAGGCAAGGCCAATAGTTTGCGACGCAAGGCGGCGAACGCAGAGGCGGCAGCCGCTGCAGCTCAGGCGCCGACGGCTATGCCTAATGTGCCTAACCCGCACAATTCGGCATATGGACCAGCGGCGTACTTCTCTCGCGGGTCTCATTCGGCAACTCCGAGCATCTCGGCCAATTCGCACGGACAGCCTGAAGAGAAATCCCACTCACCTTCAGATAGTGATGTCAAGATGGGTTCCGCAGAGTCAGACAGTAATCTGCATCCTAGCTTCTTGAGAGCAGGAGGTCCTCACTTGGCAGCGGACGACTCGACCATGTCGCTCGAAGACCGGCTTTTACATGGCCAAATTGACGACATGGATCTACAGACGGAAGCAGACAAAAGCAAGGCTCTTGAAATCTTTGCCCGCACCGAGCTGGGCAGAGAGAAGGCCGAGAAGATGTGGGGACCCGATATCTGGAACAATAGACAGAGGTCTATGAGTGTGCATGGGCGGTCCATGACACCCGCCGATATGGACGAAGGCATGAAACACGACAACAGCAAGGTGGATCAAATGTTCAAGGAAATGACGAATCAAGACGAAGACGAAGATCAAAAGAAGAAAGATATCACGATGACGAACGGACCCGTCACAGCAGACTTATTAGAAAGCGAGAGAAATAATCTGGATGCGATGTTGGACGGGGAGTAGTATGATTGATTTTATTATTGGGAAGGCTTCATTTCTTCAATTCACCCTTTTATTACTATTTTGAGAGAGGAGAAAAATCCTCCTCTCCAAACTTTGGGAGGGATCTGGAGTTCTGGTACTTGGTGCTGCCTGGAAGGGACTTGTTATATGTTTGTAATACCAAGACGGAGTGTGCTTTTGTTTTTTCATCCTTCTTCTCACTTTTTTTTTTCCTTTGACAAAATTATCTCCTTGGCGCATTTAAGAGAGGTCGGGAATGCTTTTTTTTTTTCTTAAATTACTTTTGGGAAAGATGAAGCCATCGCATCAAGGGGATGGAGAATATGTTTGTATGCGCGTGTGTGCAAATACTATTAATGGGATTTCTAGTTAGCTACGATTTGATAGTGTTAATTGCGTTTCATCAAGTAGGAGCAAAACTACTGATGGATAATAAAAAAAAATAGGAGATTTAATTAATAAGTGTGATCCGAGGTAAACTAGAATGTCATACAAGTAACACTGGTATAAGAACCTTAACAGAACGTTCTTCACATGCTTGAACCGGTTTTTCATGTCAGCGTAATTATTCCTGATGGAGCTTAGTCACCGCGCACTGCTGTTCGATTTGGAGGTGGTGGTGCGGAGCTTTCGATCACGTGACATCCCGCTCAACGCGTTGCGTAGTTATCGCAATCGCAAGGTTGGGCTTCTATCGGCATCTCCAGCTGCAGCTCCTTCACAAAGCTCTCGAATCACCATCGGAGGCGTCGGCGCATCGTTTGTGGCACCAGCGCTGCAGCCCTACACATCAGAGATCATCGCAAACATGGCGTCCCCTCCATATGCCGCGTCGCCGTCGGCCATTTCGCCTCCTTACTCGTCACCGGTGCAGATTACAAGCAAGAAACGAACGTCAACGATGGATGTCAACATGCCGCCTGGAAAGCGCAGAAAGAGCTCCATCGTCTCGCAGCCCCCGACTCATCCCCTACGGCAGACGTCATTCCCACCGGAGGCCGGCTCGCCGTATCCAAGGTCGCCGTCGGTCGATGCGACCTCGCATGTCAGCGGCAGCGTGGTCAGCGCGACGGCCGGGAGGAAAAAGCGTGGCAGAAGGTCAAAGAACGCAAAGGGCGATGATTCTACAGAGAAGACGCCGAGCCTAGTGGGAGGCAAGGCACCTACGACAGCGAGCGGCCAAGGCGGCGATAAGGAACTGGAGGACGATGAGGACGACGACAAGGCCGAGATGGCGCTGGAGGATGCGGTCGCGCGGACACAGGAGCAGAAGCAAGAAGAAATAAGATTGAGGGCTATGCTCGTGGAGGCGTTTGACCCGCTGCAGTACGATCGATATGAGTTTTGGCGAGCGGCAAAGCTGTCCGATGCGGTTGTAAAGAGGGTACGTGAACAAGATGATGTGCACGAGTCAAGCAAGGCAAAGAGCGATGGGCTGACAAGAATTAAACAAATCTAGGTTGTCAATGCAACTGTCTCGCAATCGGTGCCTCAGATGGTGGCCACGGCTGTCAAGGCAGTGGCTAAGCTTTTTGCCGGAGAGATCATCGAGGGCGCACGAAACGTCCAGGCGGAGTGGATTGTCTCTGGAGAGAAGCAGAGCGACCTGCCAACGCCGCCACCGTCAACCGAGGAGGCAGAGAACGAGGAAGAAGTCGATCTCAAGAGGGGCCCACTTCGACCGGACCATTTGCGAGAGGCATGGCGGCGTTACAAACTGTGTCACGAGAGTCGAGGAGTAGGGGTCCAGCAATTGTGGCACGCGCAACAGGGGACTGGGGTGGAAAGATTTTCAACAAGGACGCGGAATAGGCTGTTTCGGTGAAAAAAAAAAGGCGCTTGTTTTTGCTCCGGTTGACATGCTAGCGTGGCCTTTTTTTTTTTTTTTTTTTTTTTTTTTTTCATTTTTTTCAATTTTCTATTTTTTTATTCGGCATTAAGCGGGTGGAAGGGACCAATTGCGGGATGGCGTTTTGGAATTGTGCTCTCTTTTTCTTTTTATTATGAATTATGGAGGCGATCGTCTCGACCTAAAGAAAGACGGCTTGTTTGTCACTCAGGCACAACTACTGCTACTACTGCTCCTCTCTCCTACAGATGCTTACGATGCCAGAGATGTCAATTCCAACAGATGATGGTGATGCCCGCCCAATTCGATCGTCCGACCCCGGATCGTGCCCTGCATCTGCAAAGGCGAATGAAACGGCCTGAAGAGACGATGACGCGCAGCTTTCATCTTTCATGCCTCGCTAGCCTGCAGACGTTATTGCCCGTTTGGTCGCAAGTGCGGCTCCGTAATTGGGGCCACGACGGTGGAGCTGCGGTGCCTTAGTGACAGATTTTTTCTTGTCAATTCGGGTGTTTGTTGCTGCAGACGAGTAAAAAAAAAGAATCTGCTGGTGTAGTGTGTCGTTGTAGTGTTAGTGAGTGGATGGGAGAAGGCCTGAAAGCGCGCACGCGACTTTGTGCTGCTGACAAAATTCTTTCTTTCCGTCTCTGCCAACTCGCCCTGGTTTTTTTCTGTCAACTCAACTCTGAGAGTTTTGTCAACAACCGCCACAATTGAAACTGTGTTTTCTGCTGTTCAGTCGCAATTCCCTTCAATTCTTTTTTTGTATTTTTTTTTTTTTTTTTTTTCCTTTTTTTAATGTGCACTTTGACTATTGCATTTTCATCCAATTGACTTGCACCATGCCCAGAGCCAAGGTAAGTCTTTTTCTCTCTCTTTTTTTTTCTACATGTCACTGGCCCCCCCACGCTTTTTGTGCAGCATGTCACCAAATTTTCACACACACTCACTCTCCCCCAAATCTGCACCTTTCCGCACCAAATCACAAAGCAACGCCAACAACATCATTTCTGCCGCGCTTCTCTTTTTTTTGTTAACAGCCATGCAGCAGGAAACCGACAGCTCAGCCAAGTCAAGTGCTGCAGCCATCCGCATCAGAGAAAACCAGCGTCGGTCGCGGGCCCGCCGGAAAGAATACGTCGAGGGCATGCAGAGGAAGCTGCAGGAATTCGAGAGCAAGGGCGTGGCCGCCACGCTGGAGATGCAGCAGGCCGCGCGCGACGTCGCCATTGAGAACTCGCGGCTGAAGATGCTACTCGCCCACAACGGCATCGGCATGGACGCCGTCGAGAGCTTCCTGCAGTCGTTCAAGGGCCAGGACGCCTCCGAGGCCGAGCAGTATGCCGCCAAGATTGCGACTGCCGAGTCCATTGCCAGCCTGGGCCGGGCGTCCACCGTGGCGACGCTGTTCCCGGAGCATGCCCACATCGACAAGCTGGCGGTTCTGGCCAGTGCCAGCATGCAGCAGCAGGGCGGCAGTGCGTCTGCCTCTGGACACGACTCAGACACGACGATTACCTCGGACGATTCTACAACGGGGCCCAGCACGGGGCCCGTAACGCCAAACTCGAGCCACATGAACGCTCCTTCACCGAGTGATGCCGACTTTGAGGCGCCGCAGACAATGTCTTGCGATGCGGCTGCTCACATCATTGCGCAGATGCAGGGCTGTGGCTTTCGAGAACCTTCCAAGGGAGGCCACTTGGAGAGTGGCGGCCAGGGCAGCGACTATTTGATTCAGAACTCGGCATTCTTGAAGATTCTTGAAGCTGCGTCTATATTCAACTAGTCTGACGAAACTCTAAAGAGAAAAAAAAAGGAAAAATACGAAAAAGAAAGTAACGCAAGAGTCATCAGAAGTCTAAGTGGCAAGCCGCTTTGCAACAACTTCTGGACGTTTTTATGAGCCATATACTCTGCTGAACGGCAGCCTCATGAGATCTTTCATGATGTTACGATGCTGTTTTTTTTTCTTTATTTTCTTTATTTTTTTTATTTTTATTTTGCAGCATGGACGTGGCACCCCCTCGGCGTTTCTGAAGAGTGTGGGCCGCTATGAGTAATTGCATTTGTCACCACCAAATTTTTCAAAAGTTGGGATGCAACTGCGGCAGCAGCATCGATCTATGCGCGGCTTCGCTTGTCAACAAGTTGAGCTTGACCGCAGTTGTCCGTTAACAATTTGGAGGGAGCTGCCTCTTGACAATGCAACGAATAGACGACGCAGCAAAAAGAAAAAAGAAAAAAAAAAGAGAAAAAAAAAAAAAAGAAAAACATGACGGCAGCACCTGCTTTTCCAACAAGCAATGTACTAAAACATAAAGGCACTTGGAAGCCAATCTTTTGATTTGCAATTTCATGTGCAAAAAGGGATCATGAATTACATGCATTGTCATTGTTTGCCGGCCAATGTCAATTTTTTTTTAAAGTATTAAAAAAAGAGGAAATGTGGAGATCGGTATCTTGACTAGAGACCGTGTTCTTTACACCTCATCGCTCTGATGATCATTTTTATCATGGCATTGACAATATGGGCCTTTTTTTTTGAGACTTTTTCATGGCGTTTTATTGGGGGCAAAGAGAAAAAAAGTTTGTTTGTTTGTTTTTGCTCATTTTGCAAATGGCATATTGGCATATATAGCCTATACAAGCATTAATGATGGAATCATTTTAAGATGGAAAGCTTTGTTTTTTTTTTTTTATAAAGCCATGAGGACTTTAGTTGTATACTTTGTTAAAAGACAAAGAGAGATCAAATTACAGCCTTCGGGTAGATGATGCCCGGGGCAATACATGTATAAATAAATATATGTAAAACATAGATATATGTGTACGGAGACTATCTACTATTATAGTTCATAGTTGTATGATTAAAGCGTCCGTCCTCTTCACGTATGGCTCCTGCAATACTCATCTCGCGCATATCTCCAACCAGCTACCGCACATCGCCATGTAACCACTACACCTCCCCACGCCTTTACGCAAAAGCTGCGTCCCTGAGCAACAGCAACAGCAGCAGCACCAGCAATAACAGACCGAAATATGACCGCCAAAGCTAGCGAAGAGGCCACAGCAGCAAAAGCATAGTAGTAAGCCGGAACAGCACCACGCGCACTCTCAATCTTGCGTCGAAGCTTTCCCGCACAGTCATCGTATCTAGAGTGATCGCAGCCCCAGACCCCTACATCTTTGTACCAGTAGCTGGCGTACCACAGCGGCGTGCGGCCGTCCTTGTCTTGAGCCTCGTAATACCTTGCGGAAGTATACTCTAGCAAAACCTCCAGAGTATTGTCATGGCCTTTCATTGCGGCGAGATGTATCGGCAAGCGGCGCTGCTCGTCGGCCATGTACGGAAGATGACACCCATACGGGCCGTCATCATCATCATCCACGCAGTTTTCTTCTGTCTGAGACCATTCCATGAGCGCCTGCACGGCGCCGGCTTTCCCGTACTTGGCCGCCCAGTGCAGTGGCGTCTGGCCCAGCTTGTCCCTCAGCCTGAGGCATGTCCCCGAACAGGCCTCCAGGAGGGCAGTCACCAGCTCGGGGATGCCGATTCTGCACGCGTAGTGCAGCGGCGTGGCGCCTATAACGGCGTCTTGCGCGTGGGTGGATGCTCCGTGGGCGAGGAGAGCCTGTGCGAGGCCTATGCAGCGCGCGCGTCTTATGGCAACGGCTTGGTCGATGGTTAGGTTTGCAAGCTGGCGTGTGACTTCGTCTTTGGTGAATTTCTTTAGTCGAGGGCCGAAGAAGAATCGTTTGTTCTGGTGTACGCGGAAGCCGGTTGGATGGATAATCTCGCAGGCAATGTGTAATGCTGTCTGGCCGTGGTTATTCGCCTGATTGATTGCCTGGGCATCGAGTGTTTCTAGCAGGAACAGGACCGTATCTGGCGCTCCTGTGAGTATCGCTGCGTGAAGGGGAGTTTCTCCATCGTGATTTGCGAGAGTTGGGTCTGCTCCCAAGCTCAATAGATGCTGAATGGCGTCTATATCAGCATTTTCATCACCGCAGGCGATGATCAAGGGTCGAGTAAAGCCTCCCCTTTTGCGAGCAATTTTCTGGTTCACATCAACGTTCCACTCCAGGAATTGCTCAAAAAGCTCCCGGTGATAGCCATGGCCGCGGTATTCAGAAAAGGCCTTGCTCAGCTGCTCTGCCGTAAAGGGAGTGCCACGACGCTGCGCCTGCTCATACACTTTTCGCATCGCGCTCAGGTTGCGGCAAGGCTTGCTTTGGCGAACGGCATAAGCCAGAGGCGTCACGTTCCCGTTCGTCACGGCAACAGGATTGGCCTCGTGTGCGAGAAGCAAGTCTACCGCCTCGTCGAGAAATCTGCCCAGCCCCATGGCGTGAAAGAGTGGCGGGAAGTGTCGAGGGCTGTTTGGATCTGCTCCAGCATCCAATAGCATCTTTAGGATATCTGTTTTGCCTTTAGCCAAGGCATATAGTAAGAGATTCTGCTTCGTTTTGACGTTTGGGTCTGCGCCTTTGGATAGAAGCCATTCAACGCCTGCCGCTGACGCTGCGTGACGGACGGCATACTCGAGAGGCGTGTTGCCTTGGTAGTCCTGGCTGTTTATGTTGCCTCCATTTTGATGAATGATTTCCGCAGATTCAAGATTTGGATGTTCCTGTGAGAATACCCAGTGCAGTGGAGTTGCTCCGAGGAAATCTTCATGGTTGACGTCTTCGCCCCCAACAATCAGCTGCTGAACTGTGGCTGGGCTACCCAAGGCGTCAAAAAGCTGTGATTTTCCATCTCCCCCTCTCGCGCTTGTTACCTGACTAGTGATCTTATTGCCAGGGTTGTAGTCCTCACCCAGCATCCAGATCTGAATGCCTACATCGTCAGGAAGATACTTGTGACCAGAGGTACATAATTGGTCAGCAACAGTGTACTCGTGACGTTGGACCTCGGCGAAATCAGAATCGGAATCCATGATGCTCAAGATGCTCGTCAAAGAAGCGATCGTGGTATCGCGAACTGTCGCCTAGAAAGGCCGCTGAGGATATGCACAACTGAGATTACGCGGATGTTGTTGATTCAGGCAGCAGCAGGGTACATCTCCCATCTCCACCCTTGTTGAAGCCACGTGCCTGGATGATCTGAAAACATGCTAGTGCAGCGTGCGGTGTTGTTGTGCGCTTTATGAGGCGAGGAGGAAAGCTTTGGTGGAGATGAGGGCATCATGGCCATGGCTACTCTAACAGTATATAGAAGGCTAAATAGCATTTCTAGCTTGCATTGTTTACTTCATAAGCCCATGAGCTTTTTCAAAAGACATCATCAGTTACAAAATAGCAATACAATAGCGAAGAAACATCGCTTTCAATCATTTCTTGGGCATGTCCATCACTCTCGCCGTTTCTCCAGTACTTTGCGACACGACATCTCGTGGTGACCTCAGCACTGGAGCTGATGTATTTCTAATAACATTAGGACAATAAGTTCAGAAACTGGTCTCCAAGCTTGGTATCAGGGGTGAACGCTGCAGCTAGATGTAGGGATGTCTGGGAAAAGTGCCTTGTCCTCTCGTCCGCAAGCCATGAGACCTCTCTTTCATCATTCAAATGGACCAGAGCGCTCCAGACGTTATTATTGCAGAGTGACAGCCCCTCTCTGTCACCACCTTGCATTAAGCTCCATGCTTTCGGCGCAACATGATGCCGTCAATACAGCCGCCTGCAACGGCCTGGTGAAGCGGTGCAAACCCATACTCATCAGTGGTTCGTGAATTGATATTAGGTGCCTCTGTAGCAAGAAGCATCTGAGCCAGGTCTAAATCACCAATAAACAGAGCCTCAGCTAACTATTCGATGATGCTCAGTGTATATTTTGAGCCACTTCCCGGTCGTGTTGTTGAAGTTTTGACATGGAATCGTGTATGAGCCTCTTAAAAGTCCCTTCTCCTAACAGAGATGCCGATTACACAGGCTGCACCATCCACTTCAAAGGAGACAAGGGGTCAAGTCCAAATTGAGAGCTAGAAGACCAGCAGCATACCTCGGTCATTACTCTCGCCCCCGAATTGGAAGTTGTGGAGTTTAATATCCGATTGCATTTAGATGGCTCAGTGCTGCTGGTCTTGTCGATGTAGCAAGTGTCTATCCATAGGTAGTCGAGTCCTCGGCTAACAGCCAGTCGAGCGGCGCCTGAGATTTGATGTAGCCCTTTTTTTTGAGAGAGAATGGCTCTCCGCTTTTTATCTGACAGTTTAGGTGACGATGATGTGAGCTACGCACATGTCCTCCTCGTCGCCGAAGCTGTTGAACCGTAACCTCTCCATCGCCCCAGGTATGGGAGTGTTGTCGCCGGCGAGGCCGACCAACTCGATGTTTTGGCGTCCAATAAGCGCATTGCGCAGCTGCCATAACCGTGACCGAAGAATAAAAAAACGAGCAATTGAGGGACAGTTTCGTTTGTATTGTGTTACCATCCACGACTCTTCTCTGCTTCATTAAGACGACACACACAGAATCTGAGACTGATGTCTGTGACAACGCCTAGCAGCCAGTCCGGTCCCGGAGGCTGAAGCCCTCCAGTCAGCCATCGCAAAGCCGTCGATAGTTCAAGACGCAGCCGATAAATAGAGACGTCCCGTCGATTGTGTGCATTGCGCGCGTGATGCTGGCGTGGCCCTAAACTTGCAGTAGAGAGAGAGGAGAGGAGAGGTTACAGGCTGCGAGGCAGATTCAAGCGAGAGATGGCAGATCAGGACTAAGCCCGGTTTGGCCATGGCAGCTCGCTTAGAGCCGAGCCTAGACCCCGCCACTCCACTGTAATACTACTATGGGCGTTAAAAGACAGCGCTATTGTCTGGTGGAACTGTCCCCTCAGACAGATCAGCGCAATCCACGAAAAGCTGCAAAATGAGATGTGAATCTGTATGTGGATGAGAAGAGCAACTTTAAATACTGTGAATATTTTTTTTTTTTAAGATTGAAAGTAGGAGCAGACATCTACGCTTTGTCAGTCAAGCAGCTCCTAAGTTGCAGGAGTGTTTGTAGCAGTTTAAGTGAAGTTGAAATATAACAGTACTATAGCCCCCCTACTCAATACTCACTTCTATAAAGAGCGCCCGTCTCTCTCCATATAGCATTCACATCCAAGTCTTTAACCGCATCTCGACCACTCATCCTTAATAAATTAATGATATTTTAACTGAAGAGCGCATCAAGGGTTGCTACATGCGTAATAATTGTATGATGGAGGGGGTGTAGGCCGGCAGCTGTTCCAATACCTCTATGCCGGATGATGTCCAAGTTGAACCTCATCTCATCTTACCTAGTCGCAGTTCAATATAAGCGCAGATGCACACTCATACACCACTTGTAAATTTCTTGTGAGAAAAAAAAAAGCGTCCATCGCATTTAGAGCATCATTCAGTTTCATCTTCATTAGCGCCATCACTATTTATCATGTCCTACTGGCGCAGTCAGTCCCTGTCATTGCGCCATCCCGCCCCCACACCAGTTCATTCGCTTTGCTTTTTTAAAATCCAATGACACACACGCAAAAGGTATCTCTCTATATATACACGCGTGTCATGCCCCTTGCGAGTCAAAACATTGGTATGTACACCATAAATAATCCAGAAAACGGCCTATATCCTCATTTTCCTCCTCTTTTGACCTTGTTTCTTTTTTCCTTTGTTAGAGCCAGGTATTGTTGCCAAATCCCTGCGACATCCAGCTCCCCCCGTTGGTCGCCCACAGATTCATGTCCACCCCCATTGCATAATCAAATCCGTCGTCGAGTCCAAGCCCTGCAAAGGCACCGTCATAGGCGTTATTCAAATCCGACTGCGCATACTCTGATCGGGGTGCGGATAGCTCCGACGCTCCACCCTTGCTGGGATCGGCAGCATGCATCTCTGGCGGCATAGTTTGCTGGTCGATGCTTGACGCAAAGCCGCTATCTGACATCCACGGAGCAGTCATGACAGGATGAGTAAAGGGGGAGACGGCAGTGTTGGCGGCATTTGAAGGAGAGCTGAAAGGCTGCATGCCGGCCGAGGTGGGAGCGTTCAACACATCCGATCCATCTGCAAACTGGGCGTTTTGGGGGATGGTCTGCGACGGCATGTTATTACCAGAGATGGAGCCAGCTCGTCCTTGGCTAATCAATCTCTCCAGGTCGGCCACGATGCAGTCCACCGCGGGTCCAACGCAACAGTCCTTGATAGTCTGCAGACAGAGCTGCGCCTGCTCCATGACTGTCTCTGCCGTGATGCCAAAGCGGCTGAAGAGATCGAGCTGGAAAAGGTACATGAGCATCCGAGCGCACTGGTACGCACACATGGCGAGGTCAATATCCGCCACCGGCTTGGCGTCGAGCTTTTGTATCAGCGAAAATATGTGAGTCAAGGCCAGGGCATGGTCCACGCATTGCCTGTGGCAGTGGTCGAGGAAGACTTGATCAAATGATTCGAGCATAGACTGCGGCAGCCCGCCACTAACATCTGCCAGGGCGAGGCGGTAGAGGTCACAGTAACACTGGCGCCACCAAACATGGATCATGACAAAGACGCAGATTCGTGGGGAGTATGCGCGGAGGCGCAGGGAGTTCTCAGAGAACTGAAAAGACGTTGGGAGGTTGGCGGCGAAATCACTGAGCTCCTTGTCCAAGGCAAGAATGCGGCCTTGCAGCTCAGCAGGCTCCATGCCGCGGTCATACTGAGCCACTCTGGTAAACTCGATAATCTTCTGGCGAATGTAGAGGATGCGCGCATGAAGAGCCAAGGTCCCCACGTCCTCGGCGAGCGGTGGTCGTGGCTGGTGCGAGTCGGGCACGAGCTTCTCTGTATGCTGCGGCAGGTCGAACTCGAAGTTGCGCTCGTTGCATGGCAGGCTCACGTGGATTTGGTCCGCCCTCCAGAGGACAAAGTCGGGGTATCCGCCGCAAACACTGGTATCAATGCAGTACATGGCCCACATGAGGCGTCGACGAGATTCTTGCGCCAGGAAGCGAAGATGTGGCGCCTCATAATTGAGACGCAGCGCGGTGGCGTAGCGAGAAGCAAAGCTATGAAGGACAAAAGCGCTGGAGAACTTGTTACAGAGGATGCGGTGCTTGATGACGAAGACGAGTGCCTGGATTTTGACAATGGAAAGGCGGCTGTAGTCGGCGAGAAGAAGGGCCTCGGCTTTATCGATGCAGTGGTTTCCATATTCGCGCATGCCGGGACCCATGTTGGTCAGACATGTTGTGATGCCGACAATGGCCAGCAGAAGCGGCCTCTCGACTTTGCCGGCCTGATATTGCTCCATAAGAGAAGCCCGATGCAAGAAGGTGAACATGGGCATGTGGTGAACGTAGCGGAAGAAGAGGTCGAAAGCGCGGTTGACGATGGAGTCGAAGCTTTCATCTATGGAAAGGCTGGGTGGGATTGAACAGTTAGCAACCATGGCTCTTGGAAAGAAAGTTGGCCATATATAGAGAGAGAGAGCTTACCCCTCGGTGTTATCCGGCCCAGGACTGACGGAGCTGGCCTGATCAGTCAAGGCCGGGCTCTCGTTGCGTCCATCATCCTGATCTCGATTCTCTCCATGGCTGCGGCCGTCTCGGCCACCTTCTCGGTCGGACTCTCGATCTGGGCTGTTGGGGCTCTTGGTAATGGACGACGGCTTGGTTCGTTTGCTGGGCCGGTAGACGCACTCAATGCCCTGGACTCGACACCGCTCACACGAAGGCAGATGGCCGGAGCACCGCGCCTTGCGGCTGTGACAGCTCAAGCAGGCCTGCTTGACACGCCGCCGAGGCAGCGAAAGAGACCAGGCGTCGACGTCGGCATCGTCGTACGAGCAGGGGAATCCCAGGCGCTGGCAATTGCCACAGCAGGGGCGCGCACCGTTGCACCGAACCTTGCGGAAGCGACAGACGGCACACGTCATGGACGATTTCTTGGGACGGCGGTCGATGGACAAGGATCCGGGACCGTCTGCGGCGCTGGCAGTGCTCGGCTGGGCCTCCGAGAGCGACGACCCGGCGAGGCCAAAGGACGGCATCTCGGCCCCGGGCGGCGGCGGCGGCGGGTCGAGGTCCATCACGGCGACTGACGACGCTCCGGAGAGGGACGAGGCGGAGGGCGAGAAGCACAGCGGCGGCGGCGACTGGATATCGACGAGCAAGTAGGGAGACACCGCAGCGAAGCGGCTGGAGGGCGTCGAGGCTGCGGATATCGAGGCTTCTCGGAAAAACTGGGGCTGGCCGGACAGGGACGGGCGCAGCGGAAGTGGCTGATGATGAGGGTAGAGGTCAAAGTTGTAGAGCTGGAGAGACGAGCAGCAACGCAGCAGTCAGCAAACGATTGGCCGGGGACGGGTTGCGGAGCATCGCCAGCTGAGGCCGATGAGGAGCAGACGGTTGCTATGAGTAAGAATTGGGAGGGCAAAAAAGATGGAGCTCTGCTCTGCTATGCTATGCTATGCCACGGCCGCTGGTTGCACATACCGGTTGAGGAACTTTTGGCGCCGCGGTTACTGGTGGGTACACGCAGGTACCCTCTGGCCGATCCAGGCCCTCCATTTGCGGCGGCGGGCCACTGAACGCAGCGCACTGGCGATCCGCGAGATACCTGCCACGGACAAAAGGCGACAAGAGGCACGCAGTTGCAGCTGATGCCGACGACCCGAGCTAGAGCTGCGCCGATGGCCCGAGAAGCGCTGACCTTTTTTTTTTTGGTACTCTTTATATTAAGAGCTGATTTCAACAACTGCCCATATGTATGCCATGTATCATGAGATGCAGCTGGATACCATGTTTTGCGAGTGCAGCTTTGTAGTTGTGACTGGGTACCTAGAGGGAAATAAGAAGGAAGAAACAAAATAAGAAAGTTATAAGCCAATTGCTCTCGGCAGAGATCTGAGACCTGAGCTGTGTCTTACAACGACTTTAAACAAGTTGCTGCCATCTCTCATCTATATGAATATTTAATGCATCGGTGCTGTGTCTCTGCCAATTCCGTCATGCTCCTGATGCTCGTCCCGAGCAAATACACGCAAGGCGCAAAAAGTAGGATCCGGTGTCTAGCCCCCCGGCATTCGGAGAGGCTCGCACGTGTCTGGCTGGCGATACAAAGCAGCAACACATCGCGTGAGGCTCGACGACATTGGCCAGCAGCTGGTCAGGGGGGGCTCCGTCATCTCTCCACCGCAGCGGGGATGCGCTTGGCCGAGCTGAGCAGGCTGCAGACAATAGCACGGCCAGCACGAATCAACGGCGGGAGACGGGGCGTCGAAGCCTGAATCACAGCTGTAGCTCTCTGGATGGGCGACTCGCGGCTCGCGACTCGGGGCCAGCAGCGTGAAGCACCAGAGAACGCAGCCAAGGACGGCGCCATCCATCCATACAGATTTCTGATTCCGAAGCCATTCCATTGAGCCGGCTTAGACCCGCTAAAACGGCGCAGCAGCAGCAGCAGCAGCAGGCAGCCTTATCGGTGGATCGCTGAATTTTTCTCTCTCCTCTCCTCTCGTTGGCCCAGACAACGCCACATCAGTCGTTCTGCCTCTGAAAATGCTTCCGCTTCGTCTTATTTCCTGCTTACACCCACGCGCGGTGCAGGGGGCTTGCCGACAGTCTGGGCTTGGGAGCATCTCATCTGCCGAACTACGTGCTACGTCATTTTTTTGCTGCGCGGCATAAACGGCTACAGACGGTCAAGCATGAAGAAATAAACAACAACAATTATACTGATACTAGTAGCAGTAATAAAAGAATACCTACTCCATGCAAACATGGAGTTGGTACCCAGTTTCTGTACAGAAAACCTGGGGAATGAATGGAGTCTACTCCAGAGTAGAGAAGAGGAAAACAAAACGGCGAATGATTCAGTAGGTGGCTCCTCCAATGCGTTTAGTGGGCGGTGTCAGCTACCTTTGGCTGTAGGCAAAGAGCACCGATGTCTAATTCTGCATCAATCACCACTCTCTCCATTAAGAGAGAAGAAGAAAAAAAAAAAAAAAAAAAAAAAAAAACCACTCATACAACCATTACCAATTGAAGCTCCTTGCTCTCTCCCTCTTTTTTCTTAACACTTTCTCGTCTGTAAAACTCGTCTCCTGCTGTTCCAAATCTCCCGCTTCCGTGTCGCCGGCGTGGCGTTCGGCTCCTCCGGCTTCTCTCCCCCAAACCGCTCTCCGGCCAGGCTCCACCGCTTCCCCGAGTCAAGTCCGGCATGCCAAATCTGCATGCCGTCACCAGCCCGGGAACTCGGCAGCAGCCGCCAAAAACCCACAGGCTTATGCTTCTCAGGCCAAGCATCGCGACTTGCACCCGTTCTGAGCCTAATATACCCACCGGCAGTTCCTGAAGAAGACGACATCTAGCAGATATCGCAGCTTGCTTGCCTGTCACATCGCCTCATCTAGGTCCACGCCCGTGGTTCAACTGAGACTAACCCCGTTGTCTTGAGACAGCTGCCAGGGAAGCTTGGACGGGATGGCATTGATGGGTTTGGAAGAGTTTTTTTTTTTTTTTTTAAGGTGCTGCTAGTGCAGTCAAAAGCTTGGTTGCTTGTCAAGATGCATGCCCCTTAGATCTCTAGCGCCTAGGCCGTTAGATCTGGACGACTCGTGTAGCGTAGATTCATCTCTACCATGGCGCTATAGCCACATCTTTTCGTCAGCCTTGTCTTCCATCGTTTGATTGTGCCAGAGTGGCGAATTCTTCGGGCATCAATTGTGCGCCCCGAAGCATCAGCCACCGCCAAAACACGCGGTTGCCTAGCATCCCCGTTGATGAGAGCTTGGTTGACAGATAATTTCCTGCTAACATGAGCCTTTCTTAGTGCTTAGTTAGCACATAGTATCGACATCTCAGAGTGGTTGACAGCTACCGCCAAGAAAAGTTCCTGCATGCGGTCGATCTTACCTAATGCTATCGTCCTTATGTGTGGACTTCGAAAACGCCCTAAACGGCTAGGACCGTCGACATAAGCTCTGATCCAACCAAGATTCTTAGTAATAATACCTATGGAATGCTTCTGGGTTGCTTGTCATACATTGGAGTGTATTACCACTGAGTGTTCCTCCTGTCTCCAAGTTCCCAAGTTTCCAGGTCTGTCTCTCGCAGGCCATGCTGCGTAATCCATCACCAATGCGTATAGCATAGAGCTGATGTCGCACAATACCGGCAGAAGCATTGTCCTCCACTCCTATCAATTATTCAAATTCAACTGCTGGCTATCAACTCGAAACATCATGAGGAGTCGTAGAATGGCACCAGGACCGATGCCTGTGGTAATTACTCTTCCGCAAGGCTCTCCAGAGAGAAATGAAGCTGAGAAAAGAATCTTCAGGGTAAAGTAAGAAGTCACCGTCTTTCAACGAGATAACATCCCAACCAAGAGATATTCTTAGAATTGTTGGTAAGCATTCAGAGCCAATGTACTACTTGACGGCTTCACGTTGCCACTCTAGCCTAACGTATAAATAGAAGTTACACAGAGCAAATATTCATATTCCTTCATCGCAGCTTACGATGCTGCATTGGTATGATAGTTGCTGGATTGAATGCGACATACGCATCCGCTGCTTAAAAGTACGATGCCGTCACATGTCATGAGTATAACCTCATTTACAACCTGGGACATCCAAGGGAGAAACTCGGGAATAAACAATGATTCTCCCCGCCGCACAACCATTATTAGCAGGCAAGTGATTGCTCATAATAGTAGGTACAAATTCCAAATTATTTTCAGTCATGTTGTTTTGTACTATATTAAATCTCGTGAGCGTGACCAAAGAAACATCTCCAATCGCACAATCATAATGACCACCAAAAAAAAAAAAAAAAAAAAAAAAAAATCACGCTTTCAAGACTCACTTATAGCACTCTCAACCACGTGGTTAATAAGCCATTAAGCCTCCTCCAATGCTAAATCACCTCTTTTTACTTTCAAGTAGGCCCGTATTCCAGCATCCCATCTCCATACCATTCGGCCCTTTCAATATACCAGTCTGGGGCCGAAGCCCCGCGCATCAGCTCCAGACTTTTCCGCTAACTCAATACCGGCAAGATTTTCCACGATTTTCAGGAACATAACTGGCTAGCGACTCTATCTCATACGCTCCAACAACGCAGTGCCACTGCATACTGTACCAGCATTGTATTGTCTGCGCTGTGTTGTGATGCTTGCCGTCTATCCGTCCTCTAGCCAAAGTCTTGGAAAACCACCAGAACCCCAGGTCCTTACTAGTCTTAACTGGTTAGCCAATAATGATGACTGAAGGATTTGTTTCTTCTCTGGAGAGACTGCTCTTGTTAATAAAGGAGAGCAGTACCGTCTCGCCTCTTATTGGCGGGCTTTTGCTCCCCGCCAGCCTGTGGGGAGACAAAGTGTCACAGGATATGGGGTACGCACTCCATCTGCTGCTAGTACCGAAGAGTATCCCAGCCCCCCCTGTCCCAAGATGATGCAAAATGTTAGCGTCGCGGCATTACTCGCACGGCCGAAAACCACTGGCAGACTTTGTCTTTAATATGGGCGAAGATAGTGAGTAAATGCCGCGATTCCCCGGTCATTAGGGTTGAATGGGTCATATGCGCTGGTGGTATATAGATATAGAGCCTCAGATGGTTGGGAATAGGGACCTCCCAGAGGTGAGTTGCCTTTGCAGGAGGCTGTAATTTCCTCGCTGAAACAGACCGCTCTATCGGATGTTTTTGGCACTCAATGTATCTTCCACATTCGGAAACTACATTTAATCTACGTAAACTACATGTGATACATGTATTCTCTATTGTGAGACATCCTACGCAGTATATAGTATGCTTATAGGTAGGCCCGCTGTTATATCCAAGTTCAAGCCACCTCATTGTGCCTTATTCAGCTCTCACCTCTCACAACGTTGGAGCCCAAACCAGCCATGCTCAACATTCCGACTTTCCGGGTATCTCTCGATGCGGGGAGATGCGGAGCCGAATGCGCGGCTGGTTGTTGTGCTGCCTCCAGCATCCTCCATCTCCGCACTAACAAGGCCATGAGAAGCGGCCGATTGTGGGG